GCGAACGCAAGCTGTCATGAATATTTTTTTCAAGCTTGTTCGTTTGGCCAACTCGTGTCATCATGTCATCTTGGGGTCTATAGCTGCCTAGATGGCGTAATAGACAGGAGTGACGTTCGTACGCTGTAAGAACGTCAGTCTTTCTAACGTAGGCTAACGTGCTAATGTCAGTTGGCTGACAGACGCCTCGCAAATCACATCAACCATTTTTGCTGGTCACAATAACGGTGTTATCGGATAGTACAGTGTCTATTTCTCGGGAACTTTAGAAAAATCTAAGCGAGAAAACAACGAAAAATGTACCTACCATACCTTCACATTAAAAAATCCTAAAATAAATAATGTGAAATCAACGGAGAAATCAAAGGCTCTGATATCAATGTAATCTTAGCGAATGAGGGGTGAGAAGCCCCCTCCCTCCCTCTTGCTAATATTTATTCTGTTCATCCAAAGTGAAATCTATTCTTGAGGTTCCAAAGCAATTTGTCTTTGAATGTGAATAGTCGATCGATGTCCCGTCGTATTTCTTACTTCGTCTGAAGACACTCTAATATCGTGTCCCTCCAGGTTCAGTAGACAGTAACTGGGTCGTTGGTGCAACGTTAGAAAAGAAGCTGCTCCCGCTGCCGCTCTCTCTGGTCCTCTGCACCTTCCTCAACCACCAGAAGAACAAGTTCCAGTGCGGCTTCGGGGTCACCATCGGCTAGAGTGAACGCAGACGAGCAGACTCCGCCATGTACAACGCCGTGTTTGTATGTGTGTGTGTGTGTGTGTCCCATCACTTCTTCAGTCATCGCCTTACTGCTTTCAGAAGGTAGTAAAGCTCTAGGTAAATAAAATTGGAGGCGTTTAATCCTGTAAGAATCGTAGCCTGAATGATTAGAAGTTAAACAATGATTGGTGAGAATTTGTTGACTGTGGACTCCTGGTGCAAACCAGTAGGCAGTGGAAACACATAAAGAGACATTACAGAATTCCGGAACTGCTTGTTTTATTCACTGAGTTTAGTGCCTGACGATCGAGTCTTGAGTTTTATTCTTTTTCTTTTTTTTTTACTGTAAATCTGTCTTGGCGTCCAGCGAATGAAATCGTTGTCCTTTTGTTTGTTTAAAAGTGATTTATTGGTTACTAACCAGTTTACCAGTCAACACTGCATGTCACACAATCCATCCCTGTTTTGTTGCCTTTTTTATGTTACATATGCATTAGTATATATATGATCTGTATATACCTCTTGGAAACTGATAAATGCCATTTCTTACAAAAAAAACCAACATGCACACTTTGGTCGTTTCTTTCAGTTGTCTCGTTTCTCGTGGGCGTCACGTGACGAGTGCTCAGTCGTTTACGTTTAATAATCATTCATTCAGCTAGAAACACGACTGTTACTAAACATGGTGACAACTTCTGGTCCTGTACTTAATGCTCAAATGGAGTTGTGAAATCATTTGCAGGCTATAGAATGCTTATTTTTTATATATAAACATATTTGGATTAACAGGAATAAATTATTTATATATATATATATTTATATATATATATAAAGAAAAGATGTGAAAAGCGTTTTAAACTAAAACTGAGTCCTTAAACTAAGACAGAAAAATATCAATCTTATTTGTTCAGAGACCATTTGTATCATATCAGTAACTTGTGAAATAGATTATTGAACATTTCTCTTCAGTGAAAGAATGAGTGCTAATTAAACTACGAGACTGAACTTGTTTGCCTGATTTTTATTTAGTCAAATATACATTTGGTCAAGTAGAAATAAATATTTTCTGAGTGGAGGCAGCGTGTCCCTTTACTGGGTGGTCTTGGTGAAAGACTCCCACAGAGCAGCCAGCTGAGCCTGCAGATCCTGAGCGCTGACTTCCAGCTTGGCCTTCAGCTCCTCTCCTCTCTGAACCAGGTTCTGCTGGATCTCCTGGGTCTTCTGGTTCAGCTGGACCTCGAAGCTCTGGGTCAGGGGGACCATGCTCTTCTGAAACTCGTCCAGGCTCTGCTCCATCTTCTCCTTGATCTCCTCTGTGTAGGGGACCATCTGGGCCTGCAGCTGGCTCATGCTCTTGTCCAGCTGCGCCCTCAGCTCCTGGCTCCTCTGCAGCACGACGGCCTTCAGGGCCTCGGGGTCCATGGCCTCCACGTAGGGGGTGGCGTCCTTCTTCAGCTCCTCCACCTGCCTCTGGAGGCTGGCCACCAGCTCCTCAGCCTGGGGCCTCAGGGTGGCGCTCACGGCGGTCAGATCCTTCTCCAGGCGGGCCTTCAGCTGCTCGGTCTCCTGGGTGAACCGGGTCATGTACTCCTGGGTCAGAGGAGCCGCCTGATTCCGCAGAGCAACTGTGTACTGATTGACTGTGTCGGCGCTCTGGGAGATCATGGTGCTGAGCAACACAGAGGAGGAGTTGTTAGGATTCCATACAGTCTTAATGATAACAGTGCGTTTACGACGCCACTAAGCTTCCTTATAGCTCTTACTTCACGTCCTGTCCCAGCTGAGACTGTCTGATCTGCGTCAGGGAGTCCTCGGCGGTGAGGGTCGCTTTAGAAACGTAGTCCCAGAATGCATCTTTCACCAAATCCAGGCTGCTCTTGGGCGGCTCCTGCCACAGGATGTTGCCGTGGCAGACTGTGGATGAAAGGCAGCTTTTGTAGAAAGACGGACTACTTGTGGTTCATATTTATTTCATGAAAAAGACATTCACTCACCAGAGAAAAGTGCGAGAACCACAAGTACCTTCATGATTCAATTTGGCTCTGTTGGATAAAGAAAATGATTTAATTGGTTTGAAAGTAATACTTTGACATGTTTATCTATGAGGTATTTACATAATTGTTACCTTACAGAGTGGCAGCTGGTCCCTGATTCACTCGAGTCGAGTCAATGACTTGTGCTGAGCAGACGTCCGTGCCGGCCTTTTGTAGCCGTGTCGAGGGGTAAAGTCCTCCTCTGCTCGCCCCGCTGGACAGATTCCTGTCACGACTGTCATTCCACGTCATAGTGTGTGACATCGCCTTGTCGTTTTGTGATACATACATACATATATTCAAGCTAATGCATTGGATTTGAATATTAAACACATGTATGTGTATGTATGTTCTTTTTGTGACGACCTGATGAGATTATTCACCAGCTTTGTGCTCTGCTTTTGGTCTCATCGACTCATCGCGTGGGAAATATCTGCCTCTCTGCTGCTAAATGCTAAACTTAGTTCATCCAGGTGTTCGCACAACAAAGTATAAAACTTAAACAATCGATCATGACGTTCGCTCAGACACTTCTAAGGAAATCAGAAAACCATATTCCTTTGTCCCCAAAAGCCATTTGGTTATGTACTTTTGCCATTTGATGTATTCCCTTGGCTAATGTAGGCATCTTATGAAGAAAACAGTATTGACTGGGGCGTCTTCAGCTATGTCCACCGCACCTTATAATTGGCTTCACCATTACTTTGTGCGTCACAGTCACAGTTGGATGTGTATCAGTAATTCCCCCCCGGGGGCAAAGAAGTATGCTCCTCTGCGTTTGTCAGCAGGGAAAATGAGACTTAACATTGTTAAGAATAATCTGCTAGTCAGATTACACAACGGGGTCAAAGTCCTGCTCTCATTTCACTGACAACAGTAGCCTTTGTAACGAAGCTAAGAGCTTCATGTGTGTATGTTTACTCTGCGATGGAGTAATCAACACGAACAATACAGTAATGAGGAATGAGCCTCATTATCTTCTCTGTCGACATTTCTTACCCCCGTGTCACAGAGATGTTACATAACGAGTGACCCTAATTTGTGCCCCATGTTACAATCAAAATGTGATGTAATGTGACAATTACAATATTATATTGTATTGATTATTAGCTATATTCTCTGTGTATGTATATGTATATATATACATATATAGCTCATACATATATAGCTCTGGGCCTATCAAGATAACTTCTGTTTTTTTAGTTTAGAGTTTAGCATCAGGAAGTTGCCGGTCATCCAAGTTTTGATGTCTTCAAGACATTCTTGAAGTCTAAAAGGCTGGTCCGTCTCTTCTGGCTTGATCGACAGATACAGTTGAGTATCGTCTGCATAACAATGGAAGATTATGCTGTGTTTCCTGATAAGATCGCCCAAAGGAAGCATATAGAGGGTAAATAAAATCGGTCCAAGTACAGAACCTTGTGGGACTCCGTGACCAACATTGGTGGTCTTTGAGGATTCACCGTTTACAAGCACAAACTGGGATCGGTCCGATAGGTAGGATTTAAACCAGCTGAGTGCAGTTCCTTTGATATCAATCAAATGTTCTAGTCTCTGCAACAGGATACAATGGTCTATGGTATCAAATGCGGCACTGAGGTCCAGCAAGACAAGAAAAGAGATGAGTCCTTGGTCCGATGCAAGTAGAAGATCATTCGTAATTTTCACCAGTGCTGTTTCTGTGCTATGATGCGCTCGAAATCCTGACTGGAAATCCTTGAATAAAGCATTGTTTTGTAGAAAGTCACATAATTAATTTGCGATGGATTTCTCAAGGATCTTTGAGAAGAGAAAGGCCTGTAGTCAGCCAACACCTCTGGAGCAAGAGTAGGTTTCTTAAGAAGAGGAATCCGGCTGACTTTGATGATCCTCCGACCTTGTTACACCACATTTTTTTACTTTTCATCTTGGACTACCATCCGAACAACCATCCGAACAACCTTTAATGTGACTGGTACATATTTTAGTTAAAATTTTACATTCATCAATAGTTGTTTTCTTGAAGAATAGACACACAAGGTGTTACTTAAAAACATTACACCAATTACTGGGTATGACTCATGTGTGCGTGTTTCTGAGCGATGTGCAATGACATGTAGGCTACACAAGGTTTCGTCAGACAGTGGTGACATCGTAGTCCACTGTTACCACAGTTACTGTGATGTGGAAGCAGCAGTGACAGCGAGGCACTTAGCGGTGAACTTTGCTCCTGCGTTTCCTCTGCAAGACTCTGCTGCCTATATATACTCAGCCATGAGACACAGACACACACACACACACTGAACGCTCACTGACTGACAAGCATCCGCACAGGTATTTATCTAAAATAACCACAAAGAGCAGTTGCAGTCATGAAGGTCATCGTGGTACTCGCCCTCGCTGTTTTCACTGGTGAGAGACCATTTTTCAGTTTTTGTGAAAATCAACAACATTTAAGTGGGAGACGAAGTATTCCGTCTTCCACGTGGCAATGAATGCATTTGACTTTGTTCTCTCAGCAGGTTGCAATGCCAACATCATGTGGCAAAACCAGCCCAAGAGCCACGTGGACCAGTTGAAAGATGCTTTTGAGGACTACGTCGACAAGGCTACCGCCGGGCACCCTCTTAGTCAGATCAGAGAGCTGGGAGCAAAAGTGCAGTAGGTGTCTCAAAGGCAGATGATATTTTTCATGGAAATTAATGCCGAATAAACATTCATGGTATCAATAAGTTACAGTTAGTCAGCTTGAAGCGGGTGATAAATCCACAGAGAAGAGAGTTTCCGGTGCCTGATCTCTCATTGTGTCTCTGCAGCACCCTCATCACTGAGAGCGCAGACGCCATCAACAAGCTCACCAACCCTCTCTGGACTCAGGTGGCTCCTCTGACCCAGGAGCTCATGTCTAAGTTTACCCAGGAGGCGGAGCAGCTGAAGACCCGTCTAGAGAAGGACCTGACCTCCATGGGACACAGCCTGCGACCCCACGCCGAGAACATGGACGCCGAGGCCCTGAAGGCCGTCGTGCTGCAGAGGAGCCAGGAGCTGAGGGCGCAGCTGGACAAGAGCATGAGCCAGCTGCAGGCCCAGATGGTCCCCTACGCCGAGGAGATCAAGGAGAAGATGGAGCAGAGCCTGGACGAGTTTCAGAAGAGCATGGTCCCCCTGACCCAGAGCTTCGAGATCCAGCTGAACCAGAAGACCCAGGAGATCCAGCAGAACCTGGCTCAGAGAGGAGAAGAGCTGAGGGCCAAGCTGGAAATTGACGGCCAGAACCTGAAGAGGCAGCTGGCTGCTCTGTGGGAGTCTTAACAAGATGTCCCAGTAAATGGACTAGTATCTCTTCTGAGTTTATGGGACAAATACAAAAGTGCAATACCTCATTTTTTTTCTTTATGGATGAAAGATGCTCTTCAAGGATTGAATATTTTCTCTGTCTGTGTTGCTGTTTACTATAAGATTTCACCTGTAACAATAAATTGCTAAAATGTATTTTCTTTGTGTTCATCAGTTCAAAAAAGGGCTATAAATCAAGAATGGAACCTCCTGTTTCACCACATTTCCAACAAATATATTACCATTTAAATTAAAAGTAACTTTTTGTACACTTACTCAATACTCTGTCTCTGCTTTGAGTGGTGTGACCAGGAGCTATTTTTAGCTAATATCTTCAAACCTCAAGTAGATTTTCTTGTGTAACTGTAACATCAATGAGTCAGATGGTCCCCTTTGCCATCATGCTCCACTTGTGCAATTGATACATTTTTGCCACTCCAAGTAACTTGGATACAAATAAATAAAATGCAATGTTTTGATAATATATCATAATCATTTGCCCACTAAAACCCACAGATGATAACGGCAGTACAGTATTACCAAAGTATATATAAATAAAGACAACAATGCTCCACATTCGCAAGGACGTTGAGGATTGTTTTGTCCCCCAAATATTTAACCATTCATCATTTGTGATTTTCAAATTCCTGTTCCCATTTTCCATCAGGTGTTGATATAAGGTCGATATGATTTTGTATTTCTTTGAGTTGTAGACTCCCAATATGGTTGTAATAATTCCTTTGTTACCCTGTTTAATATTGTGCTTTATTTTGCTGTTAAAAAATCCCTTAATTGTAGATATCTGAAGTGGTCCTGGTTATTTAGCGTGTATTTGTCTTTCAGCTCCTGGAAGCTTACCATACTTCCATCTTTGATAACTGTGCACATTGCTGTTATTCCATATGAGATCCATTGTTTAAACCTCTGATCAAGAATACCTGGAATAAGTTGTGTATCGTAGGCTATCCATCGTAGGGGCCCGAGCTCCTCCTCTAATCGTTTTTTCCTTATTACTTTAAACCACAGCTTTGTAAATCGGGGGACAACGTCCATCTGTTCATAGATGTTTTGCCGTACTTCTGTCTCCAACAAGGCTTTGTATTTCCCTTCCTTCTAGATTTTTCCACTTTGCTTGGTAATCGTTGGTACACCAGTATATTATTGGTCTAATTTGAGCTGACAGGTTTGTTGCCCTGAGGTTTGGTAGTGACATCCCCCCTTCATTTTTCCATCTGTAATGTTTCATATTTGATTCTTGGCTTTTGGCCATTCCATATAAACCTTAAAATCATTTGATCCCAAGCTCTGAATTGCTTCTCAGAGATCTCGATTGGAAGTAATTGGAAGAAGAATAGGAGTTTTGGAAATATGCTCATTTTTAAACTATCTATCCGTAGGCTGAGATCTAACGGGAGGACAGCCCACCTCTCCATGTCACTCCTAATGTCTTCATCCGATTACAGTACAGTTGGCTTTGTGTAGATCATCAATACTTTTTGTTATAGTTACTCCGAGGTATGTCATACTTTTAGAACTCCATTTTAAATTAAGTGTTTGTTGTATATTTTCCGAAGGTTTATAATTTAGAGTTAAGAGGGTTCTGTATCCAGAATAAGAACAGAACATCTCAAGTTGATCGATTAATACAGGCGGGCGTCTGTCGGGGGCCTCCAGGTAACAGATCACGTCATCTGCAAAAAGCCCAATAATATGTTCATCCTTTCCAATCTTTATCCCAGCAAGGTCTGTATTCTGCCCAACTGCTTGTGCAAGGGGTTCTATTAAGATAGCAAATAGAGTTGGTGAGAGACAACATCCCTGCCTGGTGGACGGCTCTGGTGCTGTCAGGCAGAGTGACGTTTATTATCCCTGCAGTTGGGTTATGGTAGAGTGTTTTGACACATTGAATAGCTATTTCACTTAGTCCACATTTCTCCAATACCTGGAATAGAAAATTTCAGTTTACCCTGTCGAATGCCTTTTCTGCATCAAGGCTTATTAAGGCTGCAGTAATGTTTTTACTATTAATGTGTTCAATTTTGTTCTCCGTAATCCGTAATCCAACCTTTTATTGCTTTTGAACTACTAAAATAAAGCCGTACCTGTGATTTCTTGTCACTGGTTGGATTTTCTTCTAAATAGGTCAAAATGATTTGAAAGGCTCTGAAGAAAGAGGATTTTGTGTGAGGACATATTCCTTTATTTTATTTACCACCCCATGTTCATGATCCTTGGTCAACAACACAAAAACAACATCTACTTTGTACACATTAACAGAGCACTCATAGTGCACACAAATCTTCTAATGGTTAATAATCTCTGTTTAGGACACGAGAACATTTCCACACGTACACACAATAAAGTATTTCATTAATTACCCCAATCCCTGCTGAAGGTAGATTATTGAGAGGGTATAAAAGTTGGATAAATGCTGGCGGTGGTTGTTAAAGCACCCAATAACGTGAACTTTGGCCTTTCTCTTGTTGTCAAAATAATTGTGCTTCTGATGGTGCGCAGTTCACATTTCTGTTGCTGTGACTAAATTATTTTAATTACAGCATTTAATTAAATGTTTGCACAAACTTCCCTGCATTTCATTTAAGAGTGAAACTGTGGAATCAAACTGTCCCCCTGGTGACCCCATGGACCCATGGACCCCATGAAGTCTCCTAGTTTTTGACGTGTGCTTGAGTGTGTACTTTCAGTGTGTGACGTGGAGCTAAGATCACACACAGACACACACGCACACACTGCAATAAAAGATAACAGCACCGCACTTCATGATGAGAACTTCGGACGCAGGTCATCGATCCTCCCGACCGGATTGCATTAAAGCCCCGTGAACTGTATAAATACTGAGTGACAAGCGTCGTCCGTTTCACAATCGTCATTGATTTGGATCACTGAGGTAAGTCGCACAGCTGGTCGGTCTCGAAAATTTTGATTTGAATAAAAAGTTATAGCGATTCATTGCACCTCTTTGTTTTTTAAGGAGGTGATGTTCAATGGGTAAACATTCTAGCGTTCTGTAAAGAACTACAGAATTTCATTTAATGTTTAAAATATAATTTGACCTGTTATATTATATATCACAGTTGTCATCATGAGGGTCTTGGCTGTAATCCTTGGGCTGGCTGTCCTATCAGGTGAGTCCAAAATGTCTTCTCAGTGACACTTTTTCACAAAATCCTTCAATCAAATGACACTGCAAGTGTTTCACTCTGCAGACCGACGCATTGGGTCTCCCATCTTTTTTCCCCATTTCAAATATTCGTCTGAACGGAATCTCTGACATTGCCCGTCTCTGTCCAAAAGGCTGCCATGCCAGAAGCGTGCCCGGGGAGGGTTGGAAGAAACCCTGGGAGGAAGCGGTCGACAGGTTCAACGATTACTTCACGGACCTGAACTCGCAGGCCGAGGAAGTGGTGGAGACCATCAGGAGCTCGCAGATCAGCCGAGAACTGGAGTGAGTGACAGAAAGCTGTCAGAGTGATGCATCAGGTTCTTTGCACCTTTGACCAATGTGTGAACGTTTTATCCTGCGTGCTACGGCACCCGCGTCGTCTTTGACGGACTGCTGACGTTGTTAGTGTTTTAATACACACCACTTTCTCACAGAAACATTTCAAATCGATTCCACAAGAGTATCGCTGCAGTCCCCAACCAGAGCTTAACTAGCATTTTCTCTGTTGATTTCGTATTTTTTAGTTTGTGGTAATACTGTGAAAAGGACAAAGCATTATGTATCTGACTTTTTGCCCACTGGTCTGAGAGACGAGTAGGTTGGAAAGCATCAGCACACTCTTGCTTGGTTTCACAACACACATTGCTGAGTCCAAGGAGGTTGACAATCAGCGCGTGAGTGTGTGGTGACACGTATATCGTGCACTCTGATCTCAAGTCCGCATCTACGACTCCTCATATGGACCGTTATCTGTTATCAGTCCAAGCCACTATTCAATCTTCTCTCCTCTTCTGTAAAAATCCTCAGATTTCTGAACACGAGTGGGCTCAAAACAAACAGAGCTTCTGCTTTATTTCTTATTTCGCCTTTGTTTGTTCTTAAACCCCTTTGGTTCCCTCCGCCACCAGCACCCTGATCCAGGACAGCATGTCCGAGCTGGCCATGTACAAGGACGACCTGCAGACCAAGCTGGCGCCCTTCACTCAGGACTCTGCAGAGAACCTGGGCAGGGACCTGCAGAAGCTGACCAACAAGCTGGGCGATCACATGAGCGAGGCCCGCGAGCAGATGGCCAAGTACAGCCAGGAGCTGCAGACCATGATGGAGCAGAACGCCGAGGACGTGCGGGTCAGGGTGTCGGCCTACACCCGCAAGATGAAGAAGCGCCTCAGCAAGGACACGCAGGACATCAAGAGGTGAGTGGGAGGAGCCTGCTGGAGGCTGATGGGGAACTCCGTCCACAGAGCATCTCCGACTTTTACCAGTCAAAACTTTTCTAATACTTCATCCTAATCTATGTTTTAGTTCTAAATTACATTCTATGGAATAAAGCTTTTGTGTTTGAGTCTCTTTCTTCTGTTTCTGTCGCAGACGGGTTTCAGATTTCCTTGAGGAGGTCCAATCCAGGGGCTCGAGCAACATGGAGGACGTGAGGTCGCGCTTGGACCCTTACTTTGTTCAGGTGCGTGACAACGCTCAGGCCAAGATCACCGCCCTGAACAATCTACTGAAGTCGCAGGCGGAGAACGTGAAGGACAAGATTCAGACCGCGGCCCAGGACGTCAAGGACCGGTTCGAGAAGACTGCCGAAGACATGCGATCCACCCTGGAGGACAAGATGGAGGAACTGAAGAGCTGGTTTTCAGCCCAGACTCAATAATCAGCAATAGCATGTTGCACTGTAATACGTCTGTTTAATCGTCACCTGTTTCATCACTTAACATACTCTGTATGTGTCCGAAGACCCTTCAATAAAAACATACAAAAATAGCTCACAATCGTTTGCACATTATATCAAAACAAAAACATATTTGGAGAATTTTCAGTTGTCTTACATTCGGCACTGCAATTGTTCTGTTTATTACTAGCATTATAACTAGCATTATATATGATAATTAGGGCAATTTCACTCCAAAAAATACCCGTGCACATGCTCACACAGTGAGCGTACATTTAGATCTGTTTGGAATCTGCTCCAAATCCTTTGCTGTGTGAGATCTGAGAGCCTTTTTGTTGCGTCCACGCGGCTCTCAACATGGTGACGACAATGCTTGTAGCTAACAGTGCTAACGGTGCTAACGGTGCAATACACTGACAGACCCCACAGGGTTTGGAAAACAACTCACGCTAAGAGGGAGGACAACTGTATTCTCAGCTAGATAAAAGTCCATTATGTATTATATAAAAACGATAGCTTTTACCCACAGTAGCAGCCAATGCTGTTACCGTCCCGCCTATGGACGTACGTTAATATGCATAATGTATTTGTTGTGTCGGCTGGTTTCTTGTTGATCCGTCTGTGTTCTTATACACAGTCTACGGTCAAATTCTACTATTTCCTGAGACTGTCACATTGAGGTTGAAACAGTGCCAGAATACACTACTCAAGTAAAGACATGCAGTGATAGTTAACACTAAAAGTAGCCCAACGGCACAAAAAAAACTGCTCAGGGACATTATTATTATTACTTTTGGATCATTCCAAGCAGTTCATATTTTTTTCGATCGCGAAAGTTAAGGACAAGTCTCTTGAAACATACTTTTAATAGTGTCGATTTTATTGATATATTATCACATTATAAACCACTAATTGTCAACAGCTGAAAATAAACTCTTTAAATCTCTAAAACACAGTAGCATGGTTTATGAAATGTGAGCAGCAGCTTTGGCCAAACACGTGAAGCCACTGCAGCAGAAAGGTGTTCAATGAGTGTTGAGTAAGTAGCACGATCTACTCAACCGTGTAAAAGAGTAATATTAATAACTTGAACCAGGATTGTATCGACCTTCAGGGAACCTCCTGCTCCACACACACACACACACACACACACACACACACACACACACACACACACACACACACACACACACTTCAGACGGTGTGCAGTCGCAGAACGAGTGGCTCGTGAAATAAAAAAGGAAGAACACCAATCCTCAGAAGTTGATTTAATTCAGACTTAAAATATAAACAACAAAGTGTTAAAGTTTTAACAATTGTTAAGAATATTGCTTATAAGTTACCTTCATAACCCACGTCCTCATACGGCCGGCAAACCTAATAAAAATATTAATAAGAGTGCACCGGAAATGTGTTTTTCTGTGCAAGTAAACCTTTTTAGTTTGTGCGGTAATGTAGGCAAAGCTTTTCCGCAAAACACTTTAGCGGCACTTTAAATTCAAGGCACAGCAGCTCGAGTACTGACATACGGCACATGAGTACAGTACATCAGTTGAGAAACGACTACAGGGCTGGTGACGGGGACAAAATCCTCAACGACTCTTTTGTCACGATCTTGGATCCCCACAGAGCTGGTAAAGACATTTCTAGGCGTCTCTCTCGATTGTAGCGGATGCCGGAAAAGATGACGTGCAGTGGAGGTTTCAAGTGCAGTGTCCCTAAGCGTCCTCTACATCCTCCGTTTCGTCCCCCTAATTCTCGCTGACTTGTTTGCCCTTTCTCAAATCCACCGTACCCCTCCCTCATCACGTCGATAAAGCTCAGCCTGACTGACTGCCGCTCGGAGGCGTCTCCCCCGGCTTTGGCCGCTTGCGAAGGTTTCCCTGCTGAAAAATGGTCCTCATTTGCTCCACGCAGATATCGGCGGCGACCTCCGTCTCCTTGGCGAGCTGGTAGAGGCTGAGGAAGCCGTGCGGCAGGTCCTCCACCACCGTCAGGCTCACGGGCTGGCCCATGTCGCGCAGCTTCTTGGCAAACATCACCGAGTCGTCCAGCAGGGCGTCCAGAGCGGAGGCCTGCGGAGGAAACGCGGCGAGGAGTCAGGGAACGAGGCGCCTATTGCAGTTCTACGGATTCAACAAATGAAGCCGTGTGTTTTTGCATGAAACTACACACCAGAACACCGATACACTTAACCGGACTTATCTTAAATTGTCCTTCTGGGTGATGTGAACACTTACCACTATGTGAACAGGCGGCAGGCCTCGCAGCAGGCTGGCTGGAGCCAGCAGGGGTGACACAAACGGGTTCCTGATGATGGGGCAGGACGTCGGGCGGACAAAGGCCAGGCACTCGGAGCGCATGGGCTCAAAGCCCTCTGGGTAATCCACCTGAGCTCCGCACTGTGCGGCGGGGTTGCGAGCCGCGCCGCCCGTGGGCCCCCTCTGCGCCGAGGACAGGGAGCGCGTCCCCCCCGTCGTCCGCATGGGGTCCAGAAAGGACTGGATCCAGTTGGAGGCTCCCTGGGTGAGATCGCTGAGCAGCGCGGCGGTGTCTCGGCCCAGAGCGCTCAGGCTGCCGCTGCTCGCCGCCGTCTGCACCGTCTGGGAGTGAGCACCTGAGAAAGGAACGCGCGAGCGCTTAGCGAGGCTGACGTCCGTCTGACCTCATACATTACGAAATCCAACACATTTAGGAATATACTCCTTTTTTTTTTTTGAATAACACTATCCAGATTTATTTTTCTACAATGGGAAATAAAGCTTTCGCTCAATAATACACAATGACAACAAGATATCCTCGACACAATATGACAAGATCTGCTCCAATGTTACGCTTCCCAAAGACGGTTATGTGAATCTCCCTGTGCAGGTCACATGATCACTGTGCCCTTGGATTTTGACATTGATTTGCTTTCATAGTTGAGTCACACAGCATTTTATGTAAAACTTTTCCAACAAGCTAACCGGAAAATTATCTTATGTTAGACGAGGCGGGAAAAAATGCTGTGGGCACACGCGCACACACACACACGTACCTGCATAGGCATTGATGCACTTAGTGAGGACACCGAGAGGTAACAGCGGATCGATGAGAGTGAGCAGGCGGGAGGGCGAGGCATCTGTGGTGAGCAAGGTGGCGGGGTAGGCGGCCATGATGCCGTCGGGGACTCGGAACTCCGCTGCAGATGGCCTTCATGGACACGGTGATGCAGAGGTTTCTCTCGGCGCTGTCGCCCGCCAGGCAAACGCGCTCCGCCGTGGAGCCTGAGACACACGGACGGGACGGTTAGCGCATCATTGGGGAGAATGTTAACACGGTCGGTAACAGAACAGAACATGTTCAATACTAACATTACATGCTGGAATGGTTTTCGTTCCTTTTATCATCAGAGCATATTGAAAGCGTTTGGATGTAAGACAGACACAATAACCAGAAACAATGAGGCACATTCTACTGTAGAGATAATAAGTCACATGCAATAATTAGGACACAAAATGTCCCTCCTACTGGGGGGACAAACGGTAAACCACGTACAAAATGTCCATTTGCAATATACATCTGCAAAGGGCACATCTGGAAAGGTGCACACATTGTCTATTTCTTTCTGTGGAAATACAGCCGTCCCTAGAACGGCACGCCCATATCTGGCCAGAAGTATGTGCACGTGTCAGTAAATCCCCTAATATGATCAGTTCATCATAACAAAAGACTTCTCCCTGCTGGTTGGCTACGGCCCGTGTGGTCTGAGAGTGCGGCGGCGTGCACACACCCAGCAGGTGGCAGTTGTTCAGAGCCCAGCAGTAGGCGTAGAAGCATTCCTCCAGAGCTCTGGGAAATGGTGCTTCAGGGGACAGCGAGTAGTCCACGGAGAGGATGGGCACGCCCAGCGCCTTAGACCAACTCCGCAGATAATTCTGAGTCGTGAGGAGGGTGAATGACAATCGTGCTTGTGTTTATAAGAGGATTAGGAATACGAGCAGTAGTATTAATCCTGCAAAAATCCAGCGTTTGCGGTGCCGAACCTCGTGGGATCTGGACGTCTGGGCCACGAAGCCGCCTCCGTGGAAGTGGATGAGCAGCCAGGGGGAGCGAGGTTGCTTCTGGACCCAGGGGAGGTGGGACGCGGAGATGGTCGGGGGGTCGCCCCGTGAATAAGCAAGCAGCTCTTCGCTCTCCTAAAAAAGGGGACAAGTCACAGGGTAACTACCGAAAAAAGATTTGAGAGGAAAATCCCTTTGTCAAGATCATGCCAGGTTATTTGCAGATTTCCTCACATAACAAGAGACAGGAATGTGTCCCAAGCAATTCTTCATAGGAATATTTGTCTCGGTAAATCTAAAGGCTGGTCCAGAGTTGTATTCCTCACCACATCCCTTTGCTGCACATGTGGAGCCTCACCTGTCCTTCTCGCAGCTCACAGGAGATCAGACGCATGTGCACTGGGCCGGGGCCCCAGTGGGCTATCGGAGGGGACACGGTGGCTGTTAGGCTGGGGTCCGAGGCCAGCGGGAGTTGGAGAGGGACAGGAGGCACGCTCAAGGTGAAGTTCACCTGCACCGGGTAGGAGGCTATCCTGCTGAAGCCCTGCAGGGAGAAAGACACGCCGTTAAAACAGTAAAAAGGGCCGCGGCGGAGTCCAGTTGGCAGAAGGATAATTGACCCTGCCTACTGCTAAAACGCCGGACTCTGTGAGGTTCCAGAAGGACTTCCAGAACTGCATGTCCAGGTTCTGGGTGATGCGTTCAAACTCGGCGCCCCGCAGCTCCGGATCGATGACGTACTTTCCCGACGTGAGGAGGGAGAGGGCCGCCAAGCCTGCAGGACGAGGGAAAAGCCTTGTGAAAAAGCTCCTTCGGTACCATGACATTGTGCACAAAACCAAGACTTACCCAAACCCGACTGCTGTTTGCTGTACGTCTCCCCATATGTTACCATGCTTATGACAACAGTCTGGAGGAATGGACGTAGAGCCGGCGAGAACTGCGACAAGAAACGAAGGGCGGATACAACGTGGATCTCTCTACCTAAAACAAGTGAAACAGCTTTTCCATCCCTTCAAAACGGCTGTTTGGGATCTGATTTATTCGGCCACCCCCGACGAGACGTACTCGAGGAGCGGTCAGAGTGATCGACAGACTTACAAAGCTATTCAAATAATTCTCTTGTGAGAAAGCCAACGTTAGGGTGCTAATAATTGGACAAAAATGGCCGACCTGAAAGCCCAGGCAGCGGCCGTAGAAGCAGGCCTTGTGCATGGAGCTGTACTCCCGGACAAACTGGCGGCTCAGGTCCCCGTCCTGCAGGGAGTACAGCTGGCCGTAGCCGTTGTCGTGGACCAGCTGCTCGGCCAGGTGCAGCAACGCGCGCAGCTGGCACAGCGCGCTGCAGTACGCCTCCATCTCAGACGCGTTGTGCTCCGCCCGGAAGAAGGCACTGTTGTAGTTGGAGGCGATGTAACGTCCCTTGTGGATGATGTGCAAAAGGCAAGACAGCAGGACCTGAAGGAGGGAGAAAAAAAAGCAACGGGACTATTGCGGAGAAGGTAGAGGAAACGGGTGGATGTTTAATATTTTCGGTACTATGAACAATTAAAAAAAGTTTGAGAACTTTGAGAAAACTGTCGACCACACAACGAAAAGACATGTTACATGTGACACCTTTCTGCTGTAAACAAGTCAGCGGTGGGCGGAGCAATGCACGCAGTCATCGGTTTCAGCCATACCTTGGCCAGGGTGCGGTAGCCATTCCCGGGCGTCTGTGCATCGAAGTCGTAATGGTGGAAGATGGCGCTGAAGCTGGCGATCACGGGCTCCAGGGCTCGGCCGTGCTCCTGAATGTCTCTCATGCACGTGACCAGACGCGTGGCAACGGCGCCGTACGGCAAGTCGGAGGGCCCGCACAAGATGGAAACGGTGTCCTCACATACTATCTCCAAGGCTGCAAACACGGCCTTGTAATCCATATCTGAGGCTTGGGAGGGGAAGAGACAAGAGCACCCTTATTTGACCTCCTCTCTATCGACGTCTGCAGCTCTCGACTCATGTGATGCCTGGAAGGTGAAGGGACCATCACATCAAAGGGTATTCGCAATGACCTCATCTGCTGTGTCGTAGTCGTGTTATCTGCTGGGTCAGGGGTTGAAGTTGCACTACAGTCTGGAGAGTTCAAACTAAGCCAGTCGAGATTAGCCGGAGAGGATTTTATACACAAAAGTCCACGTGGAGCTTTATTTTAATAATGACGCGGACGAGAAAAAATCAGCAGGTGTCTTGCTAAATCGTGCAGATCTGTTGTCAGATTGATTGCAACTATTGAAAACGGTCTCCTCTCTTTTCTAGTCAACTGATGGGTGCATGACCAATACACGAGAATACAAGAGCTTTCCTCATGGCAGGTATGATTAAGTATGACGCACCACATCCATCGATTACCTTTTAAAATCAACTTTTTCCTCAAAAACAACCAGATTCCAACTATTGGCTCTAAAGAATATCATAACCAGGCGTACAGGACAAATACTTCTTTCTATCTAACAATAACGTCATATGACCTCAGAAAACCACATATTGCGAAAGGGGAACGAATGAGATATGAATGCGCACGTGTCTCGTGCATTCAAATGCATTCATGGTGGATGTTACCCCGTTAAAGAATAGCATACTCTATATTATACATTCTACATAATTAGATTACAGTAGATTACAAACTAAACATATTTTTGAACGCCTGGAATAAAAACAAATAATCAAGCATTTAGAGTCAACTTCATTTTCACTTATTCGGTTGATGAGTTTTCGGTTTCTGTTTCCCGGGACTCGGTCGTTGAGCCCCTTTGTTGCCCGGCTGGACGAGGCGGTTCCAGTGAACGGCGTGGAAGCCCCCGGTGTCCCGGAGCGGCCTCTTTCAGCCACGAACAGCTGATCGGTGACGTAAACGGTCAACAGTCAACACCGATCGGCTCCCCGTGACGTTAAAACGCATCTTCGGGGTTTGCTGCCCCTCTAATATCTTCCTCCGCAGTCACATCTCCTCCATTCCTTCACGCACACGTCATTCACATTACCGTGGTCACCGGTCCGGGAACCGACCGCCGGCCGGACGGTGACGGCTTCTCACGCGACTCCAAGTTGGGGGGGCAAACTGTCGACCACCCGCTCGCTCCACTAACAAACACCCGTTTTAACATTCAACGACGTCGTTTCGCCTTCGCCTCAAACAGCCTCCGTCCCGCCGAAACACGACACGGTTCTTAAGTTAAACAGACTTCTCTCACCGACCGTGGAGTCATCCGAGCCGCCGCCTCCTCCTTGATGTTCCGGTGTGCGCGCGCGCGCGAGGGGTAACGTCACGTGACCGGAACGCAAGGCACCCGCGACGCGCGTGCACGGGCGAGCGGACTGAAAAGGCCTACAGGTGAGCTAAGCGAGCACACGCGTCACGTGACTAACGCGAACGCCTGTTGGCGGTGCTCAGGTGGCGGACTCGACTCTCTCTCCACACGTCCAGGTGTTAATATCGAACACTGGACAGTTTGATATATTATATCATTTCATATTTGAACATTACAGTACACTTGTGCACATGCGTTTTTTTATTTATGTTTATTTGTTTTTATGTTTATTGTATGTGTAACATAGGTTTCTGATTCTGATACAGATTTGAGGTACTTGTACCTTACTCGAGGTCCATCCATCCATCCATTGTCAAACCGCTTATCCTGCACACAGGGTCGCGGGGGGGCTGGAGTCCATCCCAGCCAACTTCGGGCGATAGACAGGGTACACCCTGGATTGGTCGCCAGCCAATCGCAGGGCAACACAGAAACATACAACCATTCACACTCACATTCACACAACTACGGGCAATTTTAAAGTCACCAATTAACCTAATCCCCAGAGCATGTCTTTGGACTGTGGGAGGAAGCCGGAGAACCCGGAGAGAACCCACGCAGACACGGGGAGAACATGCAGACTCCACACAGAAAGGCCACTGGGCGGAATCGAACCCAGGACCTTCTTGCTGTGAGGCGACAGTGCTAACCACCACGCCACCGTGCCGCCCCTTACTCGAGGTGTTTCTTTTAATTTGCATTATAATGTTTCTCCCCTAAAGTGGAGGGAAATACTGTACTTTTTGTTTCAATAACGTTTATTTTATTTATTTGATAGCTTCATCGTGGTTTAAGTTACGTTATTGCAGTCAAAGAACAAGTATAGTTTATGAAATAGGGTTGTATTCACCGAACCAAATTTAATCAGTGACATGTAAAAAATATTTATGTCATGTTTACCTAATTTAATATATTCATAATAGTATAAAGGCTGTAAATCAAACAAATGAATACCCCATTCAGCTGAGAAAATCGAAAATTAGTAACAATAGGGATGTTATAAGCTAGTGTAATGGCATTTTCTTATTTTCTAAGTCACAAAAAAGTACAACACCAAGTTATGATGCAATTGGTCAAAACTTTCTTTGCACAATATGTCATTTTAATGTCTTGCTAAGCCACTGGTTTAATGTAGCCTTTCCACAAAGTGCAATGGTGCTGATCTATTTAACAGTGTATTAACGAATAACTGCGTGCTCAGCAGAACCCTAAAACTATAGCAGCTAAATGTAATTCAACCATCCTATATTTAATTATTTACAGCAAGGTTTTGTACGTACGGTTAAGGTACACTTGCTTCCCCTCCCTGATGTACAAACACAGAATACAACACACGGCAACGAGTAGAAGATGTGCAGCAGCAGCACTCTACAGTTTGTGATTATGGGGGACTCTCGTGGCCGTCCGATCATCTGCATCTGGGCATGAGCCAGGTTTACTCTGTAGAGATCCGCACTGGGACAGTTCTCAAGTACCTTAAATATGCTTCGTGTTAGACCATGTTGTGAGCACTTTCATGCAGGAACTATTTCTTTTCAACTACTCGCAACAAGTTTTCTTGAGTAACCTGGTCATGATTTATGGAAAGGTACAATAATGTTGAATGCTCTTTGGAGCATTGAGCGCCACAAACCAAGTGCCACGTGGTCACATTGTATTTGAGAGATTAAAGAAATCTCTATGGTCATTTTTTCCAAAACCTTCTAGTTTGAAAACAGGTAAGAGGAAAAATACGTGTTTTTTCATTTTTTCTGCAATGTTCCTTCAACCACAAGACCAAACAAGTATGTGGATATCTTCTTTGATTTGAGCTGTGTCGTAATTTTGACTGTGACTAATTCTTTAAAGGAAACATTTGAACAATCCCAAAGTTTGTTGTTAATTCAATCATTTTTTCAACAAAAAAATACGGAATTGCTACTCTAGAACTGTAATAGATCACGTTGTATCCATTTACCAAACGGTATCACCCTGTTGCAGGGGACTCATGTCAAGTATCACCGGTTGTCCCGTTACAATAAACTGTGCGCACTGCGTCCAGTTATTGGGCACATGTGGAAGGTCACCTCGGGATCTTCTGTTGGTTCAACATTTCTGTCACTCCCCGGACCTGTAAACGCGAATGCGTGCCTCCGTCGACTGGTGTAAATGCAGGTTTCACCTCCCACATTTAACACCCTCTCCGCTGCAATCTGACACCATAAACAGAGTGCGAGGAGACGCACATGCAGGGACTTTTTATTAACAGCTTCATGCAGTAGTGGGAAAAATACAGTTGTGTTTCAAGTTCAGACAGCAGGGTGATATGCGTGGAAAAAATAATGAGAAATCCCCGTCATTTGTGCTTGTTGTAGATAGACCAGAATTTCTCCTGATCTCGAGGTCCGGTCTTTAAAATGTGGTTGGACAATAAAAAGCTCATGTGAAACGTTTGCAAGTCATTTTCTGTGACAAAAATAAGTTGAGTCACGCTGAGCAATCATGGATAGACACAAGCCAGTCCAATTATTGACTACGTGATGATTGATTGATTATTACACTAGAAATGTATTTAATTAATACGCGTATAAATGATAACAACTGTGAGAATGAGGATGCATTTTTTCTTTGTGACGTGCTGATGATTCCTCCTCTCTGGGACTCAATTTTCTTGGCTGTAAATTTACCGTCGGCACAATACGAGGCAGGCAAGGATGTCCAAGCCGAGCTGTGGCGCTTTAACACTAGAATTGAGACTCATCTTTTTATGCTACAACTGTTGTAACTCCTTATTGACTCCTTGTATCGTTGTATCGACAAATGCATTTTTATTTGATGATCTACATCTCAACCTCAACCTTGATGGATTAGACCGAAAGTTTCTAAATATCTTGATTCCCTGACATTTAACATCACCACGAGACCTATATTTCTTGTTATTATTTACTGAGATTTATTGTTCAATTGGAAATGTCTGCACAGATTCTGGTAAAATTGTCATGATATTTGGAGTTTTCATCCATGACCCACTGTGATCCCAGATCAATAATCCATCAATGAATACTCTGGTTCCCGACCAAATACTCTACCAACGACGTTCCCTTTCCGTTTAGTTCTTATTGTCTCGTTTCTCGTTATTCTTGTCATTATAACACTCCCTTTTATGGACAGTTAATATTTGATTTCTGGAAAGGCCTTAATTGAAATTTTCCTCAACCTGCCCAAATGTCTGCTTTGGCTAATCCAGAGTGAGAATGAACAGAGCATCTGGAGTTTCCCCCCTGCGAGTTTAAGAGCCGATGCGCCTGTTTTGAACTAAAGAGACTGTACCGAGCCAGAGGACAAACCTTGATAAACAACTCATGACAAAAGAAATGTCCAAACTAATGTTCATTTACAAGTCTGTGTCACCTAAACACACACGATGGTGGCCATGAAGGCCCAACACAGTCAGTGTTGTGCAGTGTGGCCAAGAGTTGCTGCTGCAGGATCTCCTTTACACTGAGGGAGACCGGCGAGTCACGCGGCTTGTCCTCAAACCATTGGCTATTACACATTGTGTCAAACTGTGAGAGACACACGCGCAAGGTGAACGTCGCATGTGGGCACGGATGCAGGAAGGTCTGTAGGGTGCATTCCAATTAGTTCTCTTGCCAGGAAGTTGCCATTGAGTCACAGGATGATATTTCCTCCTTCAGGAAATCCTGGTTAATACGTTAATAGTGAAGAGGTCAAACTAGTACATCACACAGGAAAATATTTCACAAGTCACAATAGAATGCATTATTTTATGCGTGAAAAAACATCTGATTTATCATTTTGTCGTCACGTAGCTTCAATGCCTTGGTGTGCTCGTTTAGATAACATGGGTGGACTTGCTTGTGCAGCGGACCCTATAGGTTACAAAGCTGTGTGAGGCATTCAGTCACACTGAACTATTAGTACCGTAAAACCTTTAGTTTTATTTATTCACAGCTTGGCTTTCAGGATATTTTAAAATGTATTATGTAAAGTGACCTTGAGCATTTGGAAAAGCGCTGTACTAATTAAATGTATTATTATTATTACTACCTGTTAAGTTTTATCAATGCTTGATCCTTCATTTCTTAAAATGCAACCAATAGCAGCACTTGACTATCTCACTCTCCAAAAGGCCCGCTGTGACGCAGGTGTGCCATAACAAAAAAGGTCATTTCCAAGTCAGGTTCGTGTTTTTAGATGCTGAGACCTCAACAAACACTTATTTTCATTATTGACTAATCAGCCAAGTATTTTTCTCCATTAAATGCTTCATTGTTTGGTTAGTAAAGAACAAAACAATTCCCAATTCCCCAAAAATGAAAATGTATTCAAACAAGAAATGGCTTCTAATATTAGAGATACTTTCCAATAAATCTGGAACTTCAACATCATCAGTGAAAAACTTAATTAATACATTATTATTTTTATATTATACTAACAATCTACAAATAAGTAGTATTACATCCTCCACTGAGTAAAGCAGCCAAACTAGCTGGTCAGGGTGCAGAGTGGGAGGAGACCAGCATCACAATGGGCTGAGCTTCACCTGTGGTGAATAGCTGTATCCTTAGCAGAGAGGACACAGCGGGCCACAATGCTCCGGCCGGGCGAAGACGTGGACCGAAGTCAAAGGGACCCGACAGGCAAGGAGGCCACACGGGAGAGGAATGAAAGACTGATCACCGGAGGCTCGCCTACAGCACTCGATTCAAGAGCCTAAAAAAGTCTTTGAATCAAGCGTTTTTGCAGTGACTCTTCCCAAACATGGCAGCTACAAGGCGACTTGCTCTTTTCCTCTGCACGCTGCTGATGGTGTCCAGAGACCTGGCCAATGGGGGGGCGGCACCCAGCCCCGCCACTGTGACCGCAGACCCAGGACACAGCACGGGCGGCGGGCAAGAGGCCGCCACAAACTCCAGCGAGGGTAATCATGGAGCTACGGGCGGTCACGAAACGGCGCCCGTCACCACTTTACCCATCGTGACCTGGAAGTGGGCACATGTCTCCACTCCATACCTGGTGGCCCTGTGGGTCCTGGTCAGCTGGATCTGCAAACTGAGTGAGTCCTAACGAGTCTTGTCTGTGGGGGGGGGCCTGGAAGGGTTGTTTTATTAGTGCATATCATCAACGTGTGACAATAGCTTGTCGTTAGTCAGTGAGTGAAGTGCAGAAATCACACTTCTAATTTAAAGATGGTTGATCTGCTTTGGAAGAAGTACTAAGATCTTCAATATCACATGTGTGCCGTAAGCAAACCTCCTGCAGTTTATAGTTTCGTTATATATTCGTTATATATATATATTATATTCGTTATATAGTTATAGCAAAAAGTATAATCAGCCTTATTGGTCAAATCTACGAGTATCAAAAGTAAAAGCTCTTTAAGATGATGTTGTATTGTTATATTATAGGCTACAAAAATTTGCTGAATGCTTAAGCATTCTCCAATAGATTAAAAAAAAGCACTGTGGTATTACAGCAGTCGATGAGAAAGTGACTACTTCTACTAATCTTACTTTAAGGATTCTCTCAGTGCAGCAGGGGAAGCTTTATGGCTAACTAACTAACTCTGTTCATTCTACATGATATCCATTGTAGTCTGTCCATCCCAGGAGAGAGATCCTCCTCTGACGTTCTCACTAAGAATTCCTCCCTGTTTTCCTCATGGAAGGGTTTTCATTTATTGGGGAGTATTTGTAATTAGCAGTTTTGGGCTATAGAGAATAAAATGAATTGAATTGATTAACGGGTCACTGGCGCGGCGCATTCCTGTGTGGGAGTTATCCATGTTTTAATCTGAGAACTTTACCCCTTTCAAAGTCTGTTTTCCGTGGGTTGCCACAAATATCTTATTCAGTCGTCATGGATACTAAGAGTCCACCGTGAGTCACTTGCACCGCCCAAGAATATCAAACGGGAGGCTTCAAAGTGTCTACAAACACAGGACAACGTCCCGTTGACCACATCCGAAACCTTCATTTAGTTTTGATCTTGGAGTTTCAAAGCCTCTGTGAAAACACCGTAACATTTTACAGACTCCCCTCTTAGTTCTGGTCCTGCCCTGCGACGCCTCCCTTCCCTCCATGCTAGTCCAGCGGTTCAGCCCGGGCCTCCAGCGGCGTGGTGTCGGTGTTGACCTCTACTCCTCCCGCCGAAGCTCCGATCATTGGAGGAAGGCGGCCGTGAAGCCGGATCGGGCTCCGTCTGCCCCGCCACAGTCTTACCTGCAGGAGGTTTTGGCAAATCTGCGCGCCGTGATCGATTTAGCTTGATTTTGTAGAGAATCTGACCTGAAGTCAGGCGCATATAGAATATCTACATAGCAACAGCCAACGACGGTCTGGTTTGTTCATGTAGGTCTTATCGAGGCTTCAGCCCTGATTGAGACGGTTTGATGACCACTTAAAAGTTCCTTGAGGTAACGTTAAATAATAAACCTCACACTTCCACGACAATAAGTATGAATCTCCAAGGCTGTTTGTTTTATTTTTTGTGGCGCTGGGCATGAAGTGAACGTGGTGATGTAAATGCCAAATGAACCCAGAAATAAAATAAGCCCGTGCCAGTATTTGGTGCGGGTACTGAGTCAAGTCAACATGTTGCCCGTCCTCATTTTAGAGTTCAGGGTTTGCAGCTGCGTTTCAAACTGTCACGTCACACGTTTTCAATTTGAACACCTTCAATGGAGAGAAATCCACTCCTGAAGTAACAAATTGGACATAATTGGGGAAATTAAGAGGGATTGACCTTCGCCAGACGACGAAAGTGTCCTGCCCCAGAATGCTCATTAGCATGCCGTGTTTACACAACAGACACAAATGGATTGCGGCACTGTGGACAATGTAAATGAATGAGACTGCATTGTGTGTGTGTCTGTGTGTGTCCGTGCATGTGTTTGTGTACACCTCCACTGGCGAAAATATGGGACTGCACAGAGCGCAGGAGAGGACGGATGTTGATGAGCAAACACTGAGATCAGACGCCTTGGCAGCTTCAGTGGTTATCTGTGCTTTATTAGCTGAAAACGTTACAGCCGTGTTTGCACTGACAGTAAATGGCACAAGAGACGGCTGGTGATGACTAAGACTTGTAGCTGTGTGTGTCATCGTGATGTCAGCTACTGACCTTTTATGTGACAAGGAGTACTTCACTTCACTCAGCCAGATTTGCAGGCGTTTTTTTATAAAACCATTTATCCTCACGGGCCTTTGAGGAAATCTAAAAACGACAAATGCTGTGCAGAAGGCAAACATTGACTTTGGGATTAAAGGAAATCTTGGAAATGTTTCCACTAAACCTACTGTTATGTTGATGGATTTAACCTTTATGGAAACATAAAAGGAGTAATAAATGTTTGATCGTTCTGCGTGGAGATCATTAGCTAGCTTCAAATATCTTCAGAAAGGTGACACACGCTCTCGTTAAAAGTGCTCTCAATTCCCAGAAGAGCTTGTGTTGGTGTTGGTTCGACAAATTGATCTGTGCAGGAACCGATACGTTTTTATTGAGTAAACTTGCATAAACTCAAACAATACGTGTACAATTCAAATGTTGACTTTATAGGTACTATTAGTTCAGACAACGTCGCCGATTGTCTTCAGATCTTATTTCCTCTTCCTCAGATTTATGAAGCCTTCTTTCTTTCGTTCTCCTCAAGGCCCTTTGCTCTGTGCTATTTGAAGGACAATGGACGATAAATGCAGGTTTAACTGTGATGCTTGTGTTTGGGCCGTCATTTGATAACCTCTTTGTGTGTGTACACAACATTTTGATTCTGTCTCCTAACCCTCCGCTCTCCTCCACCCAATCCCGTCATTTCAAAATAAAAGCCCCATGGATTATTGTATTTTAACATGAAGCTCAGAATTGAGCTCTTTTAACTACTACTACAACTACTATTAAATCTACTAATATCATTACTTCAAATACTAATATTACTACTTCTAGCAGTACTACTACAACAACTACTGATATTTATACTACTATTACTAACACTACTACATAGTGCTCATTTTGGTCTGTCTTGTCCCTGTCTTGACCTTGAGCAAGGTCAGAGGGCAAAGCAGAAAGTGCCAACCGGCAGACACAGGTCTGATTAGGACGAGAGTTAGAGACACAGCGAGCACCACACAACACTCACGCTTAGTTCGTTATGTTCACATTAATGTTAGGAGACCACGCATGGTACGTGACTGGATCTTGTATAGTGGCAGAAGGACCTGCTCCTCGTCGATAGAAATCTTTTTACACAACGTATGGTTCTTCCTGATGTTATTCAGTTGTTCTTCCGTCCTGACAGAACAGACCTGAGACTACTACCAGTATTTATACTACTATAACTACTAAAACTACCACTATTATTACTACAAATAGTAATATTACTAATGCTTGTATTGGAACTACTACTACTGCTGCTACTGTTTATACTACCATTATTAGTATTCCTACTGCTACTAATATTAAAACTGCTACTATTTCTTCTACTACTGCTATTACTACCAGTACCACAACTTCTTCTACAAATAATACTACTACTGCTATTACTAATTACAAATGCTACTTCTACTAATACAATTACTGCTATTACTGCTCCCACCAATACTACCACAACTACCTATATAACTTCTACTAGTGTGATCACTGCTATTATAAAAACTACTATGCCAACTGTTGTTTTAACTGCTACTACGACCACTAGAGCTATTGTTAAAACTACTACTACTAGCACATCTAGTACATGTTCTGCTCTGCTGTCGACTACTAATACTACTACCACCACTGTAATGACTAATTATCATACTGCTGGTTTACAACACTTTTCTGCGATTCAATTCAGCTTTCAGCACTCCAGCGCATTCTCAGCAGGAAATGCATTTTGTAGTTTAGGTGTATTTGATTGTTTTACTCCTTTGACATTCCTCCAAGCAAATGTCACTGGGTTGACACAACTGTAAAAATGTAACGTCTACATTTGTTTCACTTGCGTTTCGGGCGCAAAGGTGAGATTCCATGGAGCACACTAATAACTGCAACCCTTAATTGTAGCTACTGCAGCTCGCTGGTCTGAATACGACCTCTACGTGACCTTTCTTTCCCGCCATGAAGTCAGTAGACCTTTCTGTGTGGCTGTTGGAGGTGTCAACAGAGCTGCTGCCACATTAGAATGATTGACAGGTTTAAGTAGGAGGCCAGCTACTGTTCCGCCAGACATATTAGGTCATTAGTTAATCGGGCCCAACGGGCCCCTCAGGCACACTGTGGAGGCTGTGCAGCTAGAAGTTTTCATAAAGGTGATTGACAGCATTTAGAGCACAGGGGAGTACAGAAAGAAAGATGATGTTCATGGAGTAAATCCCACTCCACTACTTTCATTTCACAGCACAATAGTACAATGTTTTATCCCCTCGCTGTCCTGTGAAGATTTGAATCAAAATTTGTTTATTTTAAATTAGAATTTTTCTGAAAATTAAAGTGTAATTTATGGGTTGAGAAAAAAAACTATATTCTTTTGTTTTGCCAGTTTTACGACAGGTTCTGTTAAAATATACAAATGAGGCCGTAGCCAATGTCACCTGTTGGTGAGTAACGGAGAAACCTGCAAACGGACAGAACAGTAAAATACAAATATACATTGTCTTTCCACTGAAGGATGTTGAGTAAGCCAAGTTATAGTAACATATTTACATGAATGAGTACTTTCCTTTTTCATACCTAAATAGTTTAACTGGTAAACTGATACTTTGGTTCTTCTGCTTTCACTGAGGGTTTGAATGTAGCACTTTTGTTTTAGTATTTGTAAGGTATTAGTACTTTTACTTCAATCCAGGAGCTGTGTACTTCTTCCACTAGTGTCCAAAACCCAAAATGTGTCTGTCACATACGAAGCTGATTTACTTATTTAATATTCAACACTAATTAGTGTTTGTCACATTACGTAATTGGTGATTATGCTCAGTTATGCCAACTCTAAAAATGAAATATATTTCCACATGAGCAACCTCAGATATTTTCGTTATTTTTTGGTGGAGTAATAGTTGTTCACACCTGTGACTGTAGGAGAGCTGACGTATCAAATCACTAAACCGGTCTTAACACTGAAGCTATTGTCCGCTGTCTCGGTGGAACACCTGCATAAAAGAAAGCTCATAACAAAGTAACTCTTGTGGGAATGAGCACAGGATGTAGCCTAATTTTCAGTATAAGTACATAATATTTGGAGGGGTCCTGTAAATTATTAGTATTTTTCATAGAAATAATCCCGATGAAGTAAAACGTAAATACGGTTTTAAAAACAATCCAAGCTACAAATCCAGTGCAGTGTTGCCAACTACCTCCAAAAACCATTGGTCCAATGGGGCGACCCTAAGAAGATCACCAATCCAACCCCCAAATAGCCGGGCACTGGTGTTTTTAGCAGTTCTTAGCACGTTGTTCAAACAGGAGTTACCAGTGCGTACTTTGGGAACTATTTTCAGCTGCGGATTGATGCACATTTGGTGCTTCAGTGAGTAATTGTTACACCGTGAGTCAGAATAACGCACAGTGCCCGTGTGCATCACAAGGCTCATTGGTCGCATAGTGGTGCTATTGGACTTGAACTCATCCTTTACAAACCTGTATCATAAAGTCCATGTGGAGAAATGATCCTATCAGCCGCAGGAGTGGGACGTTACTCAGTCCTTAACCGGGACTGAGTAACGTCCCCGTCAATCATTACTGAGCACAATGCAGCCAGTTGAAGTGTTACTACACGCGCTTTGATGGCCTGCTCCATCACCTCGACCACACTCCCACGCACAAGCATGACAAACCCGAACCGCTGCGTTCAGATACCGGAAGGCACAAACAGAGTGATCACTGGTGAATGTTTCAAAAGTGACTGAATAACCAGGGGCCTCATTTTGGACATCCGTTACTCCTAAACACCCACACACACACCTTGTCATAGAGGGGATGTTGTTCATTAAAAAAGGCTGAGTCAGGGGTTCTTCACTCTTGTGAATTCGCTGGTGACCGTGAGTTGTGGGCTGAGATAGAAAAGATGCAGCACTAAGGGGGAAGGAGATATTCAGGGTCAGTAAACAACAGTGAGTAAGGCGGAGGAGGCGCAAACTCACCAAGCAAAGGAGGGATAAGAGGTGTGACACACTCTCCGCTCCCGGCTACAGCCCGTCCACCTCCTCGACAGCCCCGAGATAGAGAACTTCTCCCGGGTCTCCATTTGGTGCGTTATACTCACGTCAAATGCAACGCTGCGGACGTGTTCCCCTTTGGCTGTTGGGGTCGGTGCTGCTGATCCGCTTCACCTCAGGGATCAGCGCGGTGGACAGGGACGTGCAGCAAACACGTCCAGACTCCCGTCCTGAGCCGCCGTCGGAGTCCACGCCCAACCAGAGTCACGCGGATCACGGCCACGGCTCCAGCGCCGTCGGAGGGATACCCGTCGTGACCTTTAAGTGGCACCATGTGGAGACTCCTTATCAAGTGGCCTTATGGATATTGGTGGCCGGTTTGGCTAAATTGGGTATGTAGCACACGGTTTAGGAAACAGAATGTGTTAGAAAGGTGTGTTTCTTTCCCTTCTTTTTTAATGGTACACCGACTGGTCTATGTGGGCCACCAGTCAGCGGTTCCTCCATCTCATCCCAGCGAGCGTTTTCTGTTGAAAAGACCTTTACGTTTAGACCACATTTTAACTTCATTTCGGAAATGTTCCATCCTCTACTTATGAATCATCATTTTAGAAGTTTACAAAGAAGAAACGTCCACATTTGTCAGCCAGAGAAAATCAACTATGAAAACCCTCCACTGGGAGAAAAAGGGAAGAAACCTGAGGGGGATCCCTGTTGTGTTGGACGGACAGAATGCAATGTCATGTGTGAACAACTTAAAACATGTACAGTAAGTTCAATTCATGGGACAGAAATGAATCAAACACTGAGAGTGAGTGAGGTGTACGGCAGGACGTAGCCACCAAGCAGTCAGATGGAACCACCATGTGATGGGAAAGCACCAAGACTCCAGGAAAGACGCAAAGTCAGTCATGTAGGTGTATGATGACAGTAATAGTGACGTGAGTAATAATAATAACGATAGCAGCAGTGTGTTAGGACCCTCATTACAGACGTCTCAGACCCCTCGTGTGCAGATGGTCCCGCTGGTCCATCGCTAGTTGCGTTCTAAGTAGCTACATCGGTTTTGGGTCCAATCTACCTACATCTTTGCAAACAATTTGAATCCATGAAGGTTTTAGCAGGAGGGTAATTACTGTAATGTAAAAGGTAAGTGTTGTAAATTAAGCTTCTATAGACATTTGTCTATTCAAGTACATTTGTAAGTTCAAACATTGAATTTAAACATTGCACGTTAGTATTTCATGTTGTCAACTTACATTGTGCAGGTTGTCCCCGTGGGCGTTGATACGGAAGACGCCTGTGGTAATGTGGTATGTCAGGTTCTTACATAGCTTTCAACTATAATACCAAATAATAATAGTAATTTGAATCAATTACGGTTACTGAGAATACATTAAATAACCCGTTCTTTTATCAAAATATCTTGATTACAAAGGGGTTACAACAAAACATATTATTTTGATAAAAGGCTTTGGCTAGAATATATGTAGAAATGAGCATTGATTATAGTGTTTTCTGACACATTAATGTTGTAACCGCGTTCTAGCCGGTAGAAGATTTGTTTAAATCACATCTAGAGCTCACTAAGTATGAGACGAGAAGCGCACCAATAACAGAGCGTCAGCCAGTCAGTCAAACATCAGCTGATCTGCAGCGATACATCTACGTACAGTTCGTTCAATTCATACCACAGAAATGAATGCAATTTGATTCAATTTGACTGATAGTGGTGGCAACTCTATCTTGGTTTGGCACAGCGAGGAATTTTCCAAATTGCAACACGACATGCGACGGTGTGGCACCCTGCAGCATGTTGTGATGCACACAGGCTGCTCTCGCCTTCATGCAGGCTTTTACTGCACCACAAGTCCCTCAGATTATCCAGCGTTTGTGACCCTTTTATAACCCCTTCATTGCTTCATTTTGGATCCTGTCGAATACCACAAGACGGATAAGGAAAAGATAAATCACATTTACACGCTACACTGATCTTAACTAGTTTTCTTTGCTTCTTTCCACTTTTCACAAACAAATACAAACAGCGTTGAAGCATGACAGGCCTTCATCCGGACTTTTCTGTGTTTAATCTTCAACCACTTTTGAATGGAACGTATGAGACCAGCAAAGGTCGAGCCGCGTCTATTCTAATGGTTCAGTGGGTTTGATTATTAAATAAACTTTAAGTGACACTTTGTCAGGCCATTAAGTAAAGTAACCTTAAGCAAAAGTCTCTCTTTTGTTTAGTTAGCGGAGGGATTAAAAAACCTTCACATGCGTCGCCACGCTAGGTAATCATAAGCCCACGACCAAAACTGTAACTTTCTCAGTTGAGTGCAACAGTTGATCATTTGCAAATTTTGCAACCTCCAAAAGTTTTACTTTTGTGGTTTAATTATGATGCAAGGAGTTTTAAAATTTGTCGGCCTCAAGTACCAAAATGAAACATCGGCAACTAAGAAAATTCTGTCTTCTTATTGGTTATCCGTAATGCGCTGCGGTTGGTTGTTACGCGGATACCCACGAGAGAAAACCTCACAATAAATTGCATTTGCTTTCTATCAATAAAAATCTTCTTCTCTTTGTCTCTCAGTCATCGAGGCCAACCACCATGTGACCAATGTGATCCCGGAGAGTGCCTTGCTCATCTGCTTCGGCTTCATTCTGGGGGGGATCATTTGGGGTGCAGACAAGGTGCAGACCTTTAAGCTGAACCCCACGGTGTTCTTCTTCTACCTGTTGCCTCAAATCATCCTGGACACGGGTTACTCCATGCCAAACAAGCTCTTCTTCGGCAACATGGGGGCCATCTTGGTCTACGCCGTCATCGGGACCTGCTGGAACGCTGCCAGCTTGGGGCTGTCGCTGTGGGGGTGTCACCAGGGAGGAGCCATGGGTAAGGGCCTTTCACTTCAGCGGGCCGCCCGCTACTTATCTCCGATGCTCATCGCACACAGTAACTCATGAATCGGAGTAGAAAGAACGGAAGAAATACGCACCAGAACACGGCAGATAAATGTCAAGTTTCTAGGTCCCCTTAAAATGGACAGTGTGTGATATTCGGGAGAATCCATTATCTAGTGTATAATGGGCCAGGGGGGGGGGGGGCAATTACTTTATCATAGGGCCATACTTCCAGCTAAAATCATCAAATGAATAGAGAGCATTTGTTTGGTTTGGTGGCTAGATACGCCTCACACGGTTCTGGATCAGCGAATAACTAAATAAACATCTGCAAATCTAAAGCACAACATGTGTGCACACGGGGGATTAGTTAGTCTTTATATTTAAACCCAAATTGACGGCGTGCTCTCGCTGCCCTGCTGAAGGTGATCTGGACATCGGCCTGCTGCAGTATCTTCTCTTCGGCAGTCTGATTGCTGCTGTGGACCCCGTGGCCGTCATCGCCGTGTTTGAGCAGGTCCACGTCAACGAGGTGCTCTTCATCCTGGTGTTTGGGGAGTCGCTGCTCAACGACGGCGTGACAGTGGTTCGTACGCTAAGAGCTTCTTTCTCTCTAGTGGTCTCATGTTCCCTGCGGCGTAGACCGGTCGGTTCGAGACATCCGTCATGGGAAAGTACACTTTCAAGACAAGAAGTGTAAAAAATGCACAAGCTGTAGGACCTTTACCCCGACTGAGGTCTTGTCACATCGCATGAACTTTATCCCTCAGTGATCAATGAAGAAAAATACCTTTTGAAAAGGTTCATTAAATAAGAAATATGGCTTGTATGTGTTATGAGTCTTGAGTTTTTCATTTTGAAAAAGCATTTCACTATCGAACTTGATGTTTGGGGAGAGTCGCATGTTTACTGCAGGGGGTTTTCTTCTCCGTGGACGAGAGAATGTTTCGGCCTTATGTCCTCTGTAATGACTCGTTGCACAATGTCGCAAATTGAATAATCGTCAATGAATATGTGAAGATAATTTGCAATGTTATTTAACTGCTGGAGTAGAAGGAACACTTTTTCTGAAATATTTTGACAACACAGATAGGTCCATGTAAAAACTAAAGAAACGTGTGACAGGCAGTTAATATATTGCAGATATGCTAAAATAAGTTAAAAGCAGAGTCTTTGTATTGCAAGTTATAAGCCCTAAACTTAGAGTTTTTGACCTTTTGCATATTGCAGTGTGTTTTTTCCCAAATGATTTGTTGTGTAATCTTTTCCAACAGCCTCTGTGTAGCGTGACGTCAGTTCTTAGCGGTTCTCTAATGCTGATTGGATGTCGGATTGGTTCGGAAAAAGTGGAAATGAATTGTTTCTCAGAATGAATAGCGTTAACATTGGTATATTGGGAGAAATTAATTGAGTTCTAAACAACATACTTTTAATCATTGGGTCTGGAGGAAGATATGAAATATTTTTAAAACAAATAGCTTTCTAAGTGAAGTCATAGGTCATTGGTGTTGAAGCACAGGTTGAGTTGCATGTCTTTTTGGACTTGGTCATGTCTAAAGTCAGTAATCTTGTCAAGCCATGTGACTTCATGTCCAAACCTCTGGAAGAAAGCATTTGAAATGAACAAATGTGGATTAGCACAGTTATTTCACCTCCAAAAGATCCAACACAGTTTTTTCCTTCTTCCTCCCTTAGGTGCTCTTCAATGTGTTCGATGCGTTTGTGTCACTGGGAGGAGCTCGAATTAATGCTGTGGAGATCATTAAAGGAATCAGTAAGCAGTGACATTTGTTATTATTACCAGTGAAGGACGTAACGTGTGCTGGAGGAGCACGTAGTCCTGACTGCGTAGCTGGACTCTTCACGTGGACCTTTGTTTTACAGAGGGTTGTTCTGAATAAAGGTATTGGATATGCTGGATAACGTGAAGACAGCCTTTCACACACGTGTCATCTCTCTCCTTCCAGTATCCTTCTTTGTGGTGGCGTTTGGTGGTTCCCTTTTGGGCCTTGTGTTCGGCCTGCTGATCTCTCTCCTGACCAAAGTCACTCAGAAGGTCAAGATAATTGAGCCAGCGTTCGTCTTCGTCTTGGGATACCTCTCCTACCTGACCGCTGAGATGCTCTCCCTGTCCTCCATCCTGTCGTGAGTATTTCATACGCTTCACAGAAGAAGAATCAATGATGATGATGCGTGGGATGAGATTCATTCCTGGGGCTTTCCTTCTGCAGGATCACCTTCTGTGGCGTGTCCTGCCAGAAGTACATCAATGCAAACATGGCCGAGAGTTCCGTCTCCACCGTCAGATACGTCATGAAGGTTTTCGCCAACGGATCAGAAACCATCATCTTTGTGTTCCTCGGGATCTCGGCCATTGATACGGAGATCTGGGTGTGGAACACGGGCTTCATACTCCTCACGCTCTTCTTCATCTTTGTGTACAGAATTATCGGTGAGATTCCTGCTTCTTTGCTGCAGGTTTTGAGTCGGCACACAACGTACAGAGAGGTCACGAAACGGCTTTACTTGTGTTCTGCAGGTGTCTTTTTCCTCACCTGGATCTTGAATAGGTACAGGCTGGTCCCCGTGGAGTTTATTGATCAGGTGATTATGAGCTACGGTGGCCTGCGAGGGGCTGTCGCATATGGCCTGGCTACGCTGCTGAATGAGAGCAAGATAAAGGAGAAGAATCTGATGATCTGCACCACTCTCCTCGTAGTGTACTTCACTGTCATTCTTCAGGTATCCGGGTTTCTACCCTTTAACTGAGCTAACACTGTGTATCGGTACGTTCGTTTTTGTAGCTTTCTCACACAAAATGCATCATAGCTTTCTGGCAAATGTCTTCCTGCTGCAGGGAATCACGATGAAACCTCTGGTCAACTGGCTCAAAGTCAAAAAAGCTGCTGTGTCGGAGCTCACGCTCATAGAGAAACTGCAGAGCAAAGTAAAGCTTGAAATATTTACTTCATACACAACAGCAAGAACCGTAAACAGGCAACTATTACAAAAGCTGCGTTCTTGTTGTTTAGGTGTTTGATCACATGCTTGTTGCCATCGAAGACATATCTGGACAAATAGGACATAACTACATGAGGGACAAGTATGTAGAGACACCACAGAACTATTTAACTCATACCCATCCGTTTTTAACGAAGCTCCAATTCTCCCCCTGCTCACTCTGAAGGTGGAATCAGTTCGAGGAGAGGTGGATGACGAGGATTCTGATGAAGAAGTCAGTGAGGAAAAGCCGCGACTGCGTCTTCAAAGTCTTCCATCAGCTCAACCTCAAGGATGCTATGAGCTACGTGGCTGAGGTGATGTCAAGTATATTCAATAATACAAAAGCGTGTTTGGTACATGCTTGACATTACCAGACGAGGAGGCATCAAGGGAAGCAGGGGGTCGATAAAGGAAGTCCTCTGGTCTGCAGGGCGAACGCAGAGGCTCGCTGGAGTTTGTCCGCAATGAATCGGCGTTCATCGACTTCAAGAAGAAGTTCGTCGACGACTGCTCAGGGGCCATGCCCGACATCACGGCCTGCATGTCGGACGATTACTCTGCGATGTCCTCGATGAGGTGAGCAAACGTCTACCGGATCCACGCTGAAGTCACAGTGGAAGACTAAAAAAAACTCACCAATTTGCCTCAAAGGGCTTTACAATCTGTGCAGCACACGACATCCTCCAAGACTCTTTGTTGAAAACAAAGGTTGATCCACTATTTTGGTTGGACACCTGCGAACATTACATCTGTTCAGAGACTGCTCCCCGGTGACCACAGAAAGCCACTGCATGACCCCCCAACCCCCCCCCCCCCACACACACACAACACAAATAGTAGAAATATTAATTTAGCTCCAATTCTACTCCAATTCCAAGGAGCTGACAGGCCTTTTCCCCCTGCAGTAGAATAGACCAGGTGCCATCCGTGAGCCTGGAGATGCACGAGCAGAACATGAAGGGTGTGAGGGAGACGGAGGACATCAACACGCACCACCTGCTGCAGCAGCATCTGTACAAGGGCAGGAAGCAGGTCACCATTTTAAAACATGCCACTATGAGCGCTGTATTCATAGCATTGCTTTCCAGTTTAAGAGAAAGATTTAAAGCAAAACGAACGCAGTAGAGACCATTTCAAAGAGCTATGTATCCAATATGTGCCTCAATGCTGTGTACGACATTTCCAATGATACAACAAAACAGCAGGTGTCATTAGATGCCACCGTCCCCGTAATTGCCCACTTCTTTCAAACTGTCCACCCTCGGTTTGCAGTGAGAGATAAACCATTAACACTGTAAATGTCTGTGTATGTAAATGAATACGTATACGTTAGTGGCACGATCTTCGACATGATCGTCCTCTTACCGAATGTTCACCACAACCCGACCAGTGTCGTGCCAGTGCCATTATAGAGACTGCATAAGCAGTGGGAACTTCATTCCAGCCGTGGGTCGTACTGACTCTACTGATTTATGCTTTGTGTATTTCAGCACCGACACCGGTACAGCCGGAGCCATTTCAATGTCAACAAGGATGAAAACGAAGTGCAGGAGATCTTCCAGAGGACCATGAGGAATCGTTTGGAGTCCTTCAAGTCTGCAAAGATGGGCGTTTCTCCACCAAAGAAGATTAGCAAGCACACAAAGAAAGACCAGCAGCAGAAGGTAATTCTCGTTCGACAATTTAAAACACACATGGGATGGTGCAAAAGGCTGATTACCCTAATTAACCACTAACCAATTAGTATTAAATCTGTCGACGAACCCTGTCAGCACATATTTTACCAGATGTAATAATATAATAATATTTATTCAGGAAATTCATGTGCGATCTTTGATTTATCTTATTTGTCAAATAAAAAATACATGGATATATTATTTCTAAAAGTATATGTAAAAAGTCTGATATTGTACCAAAAATCAATATCAAAAAATATTACCCGACCTAAACCTGTGTTCTCCATGTTTGCTTTTCACATTTTGTACACTTTGTAATCTACAAATAAACCTCTACCACCTGCAGGTGCCAAACGGGAAATCAACAGAGAACGGTAAAAGATACTTTTCTGGTGATGAAGGTTGGTTCTGAATGTACATTAGCCCTGATTTGTCCTGGCTCAGGACGACCAAAACCAATGTCATTGTACAACAACAATGACAATAAAGCCCTTTATCTTTGACATTTATTAATACTGCAAGTGAAGGACGTAACGTGTGCCGGAGGAGCACAAAGTCCCGACTGCATAGCTGGACTCTTCACAATTATTTTTTAAACTATGTCTTATTTTGATTTTTAGATTTCCAGTTCCCAGAAGGAGACGCCTCTGGCTTTGCGGCATCGGACGGTTCACATCCCTTCCCCATGACCTACCGAGCAGGAGGTAAAAGAGAGCCCCCGTCTTGTGTACAGTGTTCTACAATTAATCTGTATGCAAAAGTCAAAATCCTAATTAAAGAAAGAATCAAAAGTATGATTGGTAACGTCTGTATCCCTCTAACCCCGTTTCCTTTGGGCCCAGCTGGCATTGAGAACCCGGCCTACATCCCGGACCTGGACCCCATGGCCGCCGAGATCCCCCCGTGGCTGGCGGAGTACGACGCCGGCCCGGTGGCTCCGTCGCAGCGGGCCCAGCTGAGGCTGCCGTGGACGCCCAGCGACCTGGGCCGCCTGGCCCCGCTGCGCATCAGCACGCGCTCCAACGACTCCTTCGCGCAGGCCGACGCCCCCGCCGCACAGCAGAAGGACGACGAGCCGCCGACTCCCTCCAAGCGAGACGGTCGCAACATGTAGAAGCAACCCCCCCCCCACCCGCGCTCCGTCTCCCTTTGACCCGGCCGCCCCCCCCCGAGCTGCAGCACCTGACCTCAGGCTCTCAAAGTATTGACGGTTTGCTTCTCCGTGCCGTTGCCTAATCTCGCTGCCGGGTCCCCGGACCAAACATTCACAGGCCCTCCGACCTTTGTGCCCTTCTTCTCGGCTCCTGTTGTCGCTCTAGTTTCACCCTCCACTGAGCAGGAGGAGGCAGCTCCTGAGGGCCAGAGAGACTATTTACCAGCGCACATTGAACATTGTCATATTTGCCCCTCAGCTTCACATTGGACCGGTCAAACATTGCAAGTGGAGGATCTAATCCCTGAATGTGACGCAGAAAGCTTTTTTCAGGATCATAGATATTTATGAGTTGCGTTATCCATAAAGATAATAGATTTAATTGAGAGTGCTGGAAAATATTTCCACCTGTATAATCTGAATGGTGGTGTATTTTGTGTGTGTGTGTTTTCTCACTTGGCACAGCTGTACTCAAGGTTAAATATAAAAATGGCACATGTATGATAAAGACATATATTTATTCAGAAATGAAGGTTGGTACTGTGTGGACACGTCTGCCATCTCAAACAGCGGCATATATTTAATCACCCTCCAAAAAATTAACTATGTGAATTTAAATATATATTCAGAAATAAAAGTGAAAAAATCATTCTTTGTGGAGTAAATCGGTTGTCAAGTCAAACATGGGTGCTTTTTTTTCAATATTGTATATAATCCATGCAGATGAAAGAGGGCTTGTGGATCACTAATATCAAACTGCTGTTAAATAACATGAGAGGTGTTCTCGACATATTAAAGTGAAGTAATTAAAGAGCTCGTCATGGCTATTTTTCACCATATTCAAACCAATTCCTTTTTCACACGCTAACCTATTCAATCGATTCAGGTGAATAATTTATGGAAATGATTCTTGGTTGGTTCTTTGCGACAGCGTTACACTTCTGGAATGTACCTTCATTTGAGTTCCATCACAATGAATTATAGAAGAAGAACGGTGAAGTCATTACACATAATCTCCATCATAAATAGTCCATTTCTGATGTCTCCACTTGCTTGGTGATGTAGTCTAATATGCTTTTTTCATTTTCAGACTCCTTGAGGTAAAAGTGAGCTCCATCCAGCATCCTGACGGTGAAATCGCCCGACGTGATGCTCTTCCAAGCTGTTGGAAAAATGGGAAGTGAGCAGGGATAAAATATTTACACATACACTGAATAAAACAATGAAATCCAATACATTACAGAAGAATGCACAAGATAAGATGAAAACATGAAATCCATACAACTATAATGTAAAACTAGTAGCCATATTTGCAAATGCACAGTGCGAATGTTCCTGAATTTCTGATACTGAGCATCCAAAAACCTTCCTAATCGCTGCAATAAACAAGCTGCAGTAAGTGTGGGATCGCCGAGGGACACGAGAGGACTGACCTTGTAAGTCGTGAGGAATGTCCGCCTTCCCATCGAAGCAGGTGACGGGGCAGGAGAAGAGCGGAATGTCCGGCTTGTGGCACCTGCAGCAGAGTCACAAGCTCCGCTCAGCAGGGCGCCCTTGTCCCCAACCATGCATCCTTTCTAATGCCCGCTTGAATGTGAGCCTGTGACTACCTGTAGTTCTCCACGACGTGCAGGTCGGCCTTCAGGGCGGGAAGGAAAAGCTTCAGGACTTCGGGGTTCGCCAGCAGCTCAGGAGGAGTTCCTCCGATCGAAACCAACCACTTGAGGAAATCGTCATCGGTCAGCTCGCTTCTCTTTGGGGTCTTGATACGCGTCTCTGACTGGAAGACGAAAGGCAACATGCTTTTGGCTGCAGGCGGTGGTGTACGTTGAACACATCACAACGGCACTCATTTCAAAAATGATTTAGAACATGTGTGATTCTTCACAATGCAGCTTTCAACTGTCTGGGCTTTGATTTTTTTTGTAATACGTTTGCAAATCATCACAGAGAATAAATGATTGTGATTTTGAACTGCACCAGATTTGAAAAGAAAAAGCTTTGTAAATGGTAACGTTATGGTTAAGATGTTTATGCAGTGTGGGTTAATAGCGAGCCTTCGTTGTTAAGGTGATGCTGTCTCGGGGTTTGCAGGTAATCTAATCTCCCATGGATATATATATATATATATATATATATATATGTATATATATATATATACATATAATCCTGTTCCCATCTCAGTTAAATGTAATAAATGCGCTCACATAAGGTGCAGAGGCACCAGACAGGAAGATGTGAACTGGTTCCAGGTTGTGAAGTCTCTTCAAAGCATCTGCCACGGCAAAACAGGCGAAAGCCCCGAAACTAGAAACAGATCAGGGAAGAGCAAACTTTAATAGAAAGAGAAGAAGTCACAAGGCCTGAGTCATGACGGATATAATGTTATTCGTAAAGCCACACTCGGGTTATCGTACCTGTGTCCAAACAGAGCAAACGGCTTCTCTTTGAGCACCGGTAACAACACACCAACCACCTCGTCCACTATCTGCTGCATGTTCTCAAAGAAAGGCTCTTTGACTCGCGTCTCTCTGCCCGGGAGCTTGATGGCAAACACTGAAAAGGGACGAAACACAAGAGCTGTTACAAAACTTTGCAAATAGGAATATGACCATAGTGCAGCAGGTTTGTTCTGTGTGTTTTCCTTCTTTTCAAGTTGAAGTTACCAGCATTTACATTTTTGCTGATTTTCTTTCGGAATAAATGATGTTATCTACAAACAATGACAGATGGCGAGCATCAAGCCAAACGCTATTGCTGAACAGGAGGGGGGTCAATGTGCAACGGTTAAACGCGGCGCGTTACCTTCTATGGAGCAGTTTAGGACGTTCCCCCAGCGAGCATAGTGTATGGAGCCTCCACCTGCCCAGGGGAAGCAGATCAGTCGGGCCACAGCTTCTGGGCTCTTGTTGAAACAGCTGATCACCTTTTCCATTCTAATTCAACACAAGGGAGAAGATTGATTCACACCTGCTGGGACTTCATCTGCTGAGTTTAAGCTCCTAATTTCAGAGGTAGTCATAACAGTGTTAAGTCCCACCTGTTTACTGCTGGTAGATTCATAAAATTCTTACAGGAAAACAGTGGTCTCATGAAGAGTAACGTTTCCTGGTTATATTTCTTCTATGGTTTGTCTGTGGAACTGTAGAAAAAAAGACAAGAAAACACGATTATAAAAAGATTCTAGAGACACCTACAGCACGGAGTGTGCATTTCCAGGAAGAAACGTGTAACGTTTGTTATATTTGAAAAAACGATAATAATAATAATAATACATTTTAATGCAGATGAATGAATCGGGCAGACTAGAAACCCACAAACCGGGAAATACAAGCGGGTGATTAAGAAATAACGTAGTTGACGGAAGTGACGTTCTTTTCCACGGTTGGTATTTCCTGACGGGTTTCCCTCGGTGGTGAAGGAGGAGGAGGAGGAGGGAGCCACAGCTTCATCAAAGTAGATAAAGTTAAAGTAGGGCAATACCGGAAATCCCGCCTTCGTCCGCTTTCATTACATACATGCAGCAAATTATTATCAGTAGAAACATTAAGTAAAAGTACAAATATGTAATAAACATTGTAAGTAAAAGTCCGATATTTAGATTCAATTTGTGTACACCATCGAATTGTTTGATCTGGTTACCAAAATGAGGTTGATAGCAGAAATGAAAGGACAAACAAATATATGCTAGAATTTGTATTGCTGTTATATGTGGATGCGTTTTAATTAGACGCAGTTGCTCCAATTTGTTTTTGTTTAACTTACAAATATTTTTTGTGTTGGCAGGAACCTGAAACCATCTTTTTTTGAGATTTTGATCTTTTTATTGTCAATGAGTTCTTTACTGTAATCTCTGTGCGCAAAAATGGCTTATTGATTAGCTTCTCATTCCACCGCTATTCATTGGTCTGTATTGAACAATACAACAAATAAATGAACGAGAAAACATCTGTTTTGCAACAACTGCCACGATTTGTTATTTAAGCTTTTATTTTGGAACAGTTGTGCGGAAGCTGTGACGTTGTAGTCTGTCGCGGTTGACGTTAGCGGCTGTGAGGGCGGTGGAGGTGCAGATTTTACACCGGTTTCGCCGACACCGAGGGGAACGCCGGCGGATAGTGAAGCTACGGTGACCAGACCCCACGTTTCTTTTCCATAAAGAGAAACACCGGAAGGCGACGTTGAGCAGACGGGACGAGGTATTCTACCGCTGACCGAGTAGGCGCTCATATCCATCCTGTGTGTCGAGTCGCTAGCGAGTTGCTAGCTGTCGTCGGCTAACTCTTGAAGCTAACTATTAGCTTACCGGCCGCTAACGACTCTCGCTTCAATTCTACCGACTCCGCGTCCAAACTGTCACAAACATTTCCCACCCTGAACACCGTGTTGGTTTTCCCTCGGCGATAACAGGAAGAACTTCAGCGGACGGAAGTGGGGACATTTTGTGAAACTTTGAGCTGTCAGCCGTGCCGAGGCTTTTCGGGGGAGAAGACGTAAGTCGAGGGGACCCCGAAGCGGCCCGCTTCCACATCAGCGCCCGGAGCCGCGGAGCGACGGGGCCGCGTAGCCGAGGAGCGGCGCGCCGGACAGCGGATCGGTAGCGGAGCGTTGCCCTGCGCGGGGAGAAGTGATCACCGGGGGCCGGGTCATCCGGACAGAGACCTCATGAATGGAAATCGGAACAACAGGTGGGAACCCCCGACTAACCGCCATGCTTAATTCGGTGGTTCAGGTGCTGCACTCGAGTTATTTACAGAGCGCGCGAGACACGAGCCAGACGACGTTTGAGATCCACGTCGCTGTGTTCAGATGACGTCAGGCCATCGTGGTCGCACATCAGCTGGACAACTTTATTGAAATCCCTATCTCTAGCAGGAATAACAAACTCTGTGTGTGTGTGTGTGTGTGTGTGTGTGTGTGTGTGTGTGTGTGTGTGGTGGGGGGGTCAACGGTCATTTTTGCCTCTCGCTGTGCGTGCACATGTGCGTTATTCCCCCAAACCAGTCCCACGGGGGTTTTCGTATTGTCTAGCAATTCTTTGCCAGGTGTCAGAGGCAGGTGGTGATCCTGTCATGTGTGCGTGATGCCTGAGAGAGGCACGCAAGCACTTTTCGAGGTGTGTGTCTGTTTGAAGTGAAGCCTTTCAACACCTGCTGGTGTCAACCCTGGTCATTACATACAGCCACTGCTTGTGTTAATTACAAATCCATTGAACACAATTTGTGAGTCACAGTTTGTTTATTATTTATGTTTTGGGGTTCCGTGCTGGACTGAGAGGAGGGACTGAGCTGCTTACTGAAACCGACCCATTCATTCATTCTACTCATTTTCTTTTGTTTTTTTTTACAGAAAGTAAAACGATTTTATCAAAGAGGAACTATGGAAATTAGGGTCAAAACAGTGGTGACAAAAACAGCAATAAGTCTTACCAACTAAGAAGCCGGAAGTTGAAAACGTTTTATTGTTTTTGATCGTGAGTAGATGGTGACGTTTTGCATTTTTCCAAAGCAAAAAAAAAATCCAAATACTGACCATGCAAATACAGTAAAATAGAGACAGTTTCATTTAAACAAGACGACACACAAACAGTTTTGCCATCAGTAGACGTGGAGAAGCTGCAGCAACACAGGAGAATTGCCGTGGTAACGGCATATGGGAGGAGGAAGCCTGGGACGCATCTGCAGGAAGAGCAGTTTTTTACCGTATGATGCCTGGTTACGGCAGGTTCAGGCTCTGCCTTCGACCCCGACACTTATATATTTTCAGCCCACAGCAACTCTGTCGCACTTATTTCATCACAAACAAACCGCACCAGCTGGGGGTCTGTTTGTAGACTTGTTGTCATGTAGGTCATTGTATGCATTTGTGTTTGGATTCTCTGACTCACATTTACGGAAATTCTGAGGTTGTGTGATCTGCACTAAGTACTTTCCAGTTTGGCATTTCTGAAAATTGGAGTCGGATTGGCACGGTGTGTCACCCGCCCACCTTTTCGGCAAAGGCCATGTGAGTCAGGAGGAGCCTGTGACCGCTAAGCAGGTCTTTATTTTAATGTCACCTAACTGTAACCATTTTCTATACGAAGAGGCAGGATTTTCTTTTTTTTTGTCAGGCTGACATGGAGCAACATTCAATGTGTTTGACCATCTTATGCGCCAGCAACGGCTGTCTGCTCCTTCCAGCTTAACATTAACCACTTCCTTCCTCTCACAGCTCCTTTGAAAGCGTAGAATACGTTCATGTTAACCGATCTGTGTTCCGTTGTAGCTGTTTAAGTGTTGAATGTTGGGACACAGATGGTGCAGACTAAATGCTCATCTTAGATAAGCTGGTGTGGATGTTGTGTCACTGAACCGTTTCCTCACCGCGTCCGACAGATGTCGAGCCACGTTGGCGCTCATCTTTAGTCCGAGCACTATACTTTGGAATACTCAAGATTGTCATATAGGCAGTCAAACTAAAAGTACAACAATGACATCATTTATTGACAAAGCCAGACTGGGATATAAACGCTAACTTACTGATTTTCTGTATTTTGTTGTAGGAGACGTTGGAGCAGCCGTTGAGCCCCAAGTCCTTTTCTCGTTGCCAAGGCGACCTGGATATGGCACCCTTGGGAAGCCCATCAAACTATTGGCCAACTGCTTCCAGGTGGAAATACCCAAAATCGATGTTTATTTGTATGAGGTGGATATCAAGCCTGATAAATGTCCTCGCCGGGTCAACAGGTAATGGAAACCGAGCTAATACCTCTTTATTACTTTATACTTATTTTATAGATATTTACTGTATATCAATTCATAAAATGTCTACGAGTTGTCAAATCCTGGATTCTTGGTGCGTGTTGATTGGGGTGAAATGTTTGTTTTCTCTCAGGGAGGTGGTGGACTCCATGGTTCAGCATTTCAAGGTGACCATCTTTGGTGACTGTCTGCCAGTTTACGATGGGAAGAGAAGCCTCTACACGGCCAGCCCCATTCCTGTGGCCACTGGTGGGGTAAGACATGACATCAAAGTTTGTACAATGGTGCCTTGTGTTGTCCGGCCCTACAACAAACCACCGTTCTTATTCTTAATAGGACATCCTGAAAATGGACTGATTGTTGCTGATTTTTTTCATCACTGATCTCAAAACCGTTTTTTTCAGGTGGATTTAGATGTCACCCTACCAGGGGACGGGGGGAAGGACCGCCCATTCAAAGTCACCATCAGGTTTGTGTCGCTAGTCAGTTGGCACATGCTGCACGAAGTGTTGACTGGGCGGGCCGTGGCTGAGCCGGTGGACCTGGAGAAACCCATCAGCACCAACCCCGTGCACGCCGTGGACGTCGTCCTTCGACACCTGCCCTCCATGAAGTGAGTGGCTCTCTTGACCAAAGGATTGTTTGTAGGTTCCTTTTGTTTGGATTATTTCCAGACTAGTAAAGAAACTCAAATATTGTACTAAAATATCTACAAATTAAAATGTTTTGCTTAATTTGAAATATTCATTCAAAAATAGTAGAACTTGATGACCATGAAGCAAACGGGGAGTATAACTCAAATCCCATGTGGCTTTTTAACCTCGACTAACCTTTGTCTCACTGCTGTTACCCTGTCCGACCTCATCAGGTACACGCCTGTTGGACGGTCCTTCTTCTCCTCTCCAGAGGGCTACGACCATCCGCTGGGTGGAGGAAGAGAGGTTTGGTTTGGATTCCATCAGTCAGTGCGGCCAGCTATGTGGAAAATGATGCTCAACATCGATGGTGAGTTTGTCCTGTGAATGTGAAGCCACAGCCAGCAGCTGCTAAGCTAAGCGTAGCACAAACATTGTAAAAACGGTTGGTCTGGTTTGGTCCAAAGGAAACGACATTTAAAAAAATGGCTCATGTGCTGGACCTAACACACCTTAAAACCTGGATCCCTCATTTTGATTAGTAAGCTCTACACTTGTGTTGACAGAGCAGGATTGCTTTTTCCAGTTGTTATGCTAAGCTAACTGTATGTTGGGTCTACATCAACAAAAACTATTGCTGTGCTGTCTTGACAGTTAGATCTCCTAACATACCGTTTCAGTGTCAGCCACAGCGTTTTATAAAGCCCAGCCAGTCATCCAGTTCATGTGTGAGGTCCTGGATATTCACAACATTGACGAGCAGCCTCGCCCTCTCACCGACTCCCACAGAGTTAAATTCACCAAAGAGATCAAAGGTATGTCGCCAAGGAAAGGCCGCTCGTGTTGCCTTGCCCTGTACAGAAAGATATGTGAAGGAATACCTGGAGGGGATTCCTTTCAACATATCATTTACACTGTAACTACATATGCAATCAGCCCTCAATCATGATTGATTAATTGGTTGACTGCAGAGCTGTGACTTTTTATTTTAAGTGACTGGTTGATCCAAAGAAGATACAGAATGATGCTTTGTTTTCTGATAATGGGCATAAAAGGGACTGTAGGTCTGTTGGTAGAATTTAGTCTCTATTCCGACATGGTGGATAATGAAAATTATTTAATATAATTTTGAATATATTTGAGGCAACATACCTACTTCAAAAGTAGCCCACGCGATGTTTAAAACACAAGCCCACGTGTGCAGTAACTCCAATACTTTTTTAATAGATCATGTTGGGTGATTATTAGACTAAATATATTTGGTATTGAGGAGTTTATATGGCTCAGCTTTCTTAATTGTCTATGCTTGCCAGGCTTTGAGTCAAATTCTAAAAACATGCCAACGGCAAATCTGTTTTTGCTGATTGCTTGTGTTCGAGAGGTGAGCACAATGTTTGTGGCAGAAGAGATAGATCTCTTTAGCGATCCAACACAAACCTTGTCTGCGCACATCTGTTCTGTAGCGTTTCAATAACTTGCTGTCATTCAGCGTTTTCTTTTCTCCTTCGTCTCCAGTTTTTCTCACTTTCCCATTTTTTTCTTAACTCATAGAAGTCCTCCTCCTACAGTTCTTGGCCTTAGCAGCTTTCCTAAGGGCTGAGATCCTTTGTGACTAACTTCATCTGGGCTTTACTGTAAAGGGAACCTCTTACAAAATTGTCATCATTCTCTTTATTTCTTAGAATTGTGTTACTAAGAGCAACTTGTGGTAATAGGAAGTGTTATGACTACAGCCCCAGAGGGATTCTTTGACTGTTTTGGTAGTTTATTACGGGGGTGCCGATGAGGGCTGAAGCAAGCATTCAAGCGTGTTCATGTGTTCCACTCTCTTGCTGTCACCGACTTTTACTTAAATGTTGCTGATGCTTATTCCACCATCTTCACAGGTCTTAAAGTGGAAGTGACACACTGTGGAACCATGCGTAGGAAGTACCGAGTCTGCAATGTGACACGGCGCCCTGCCAGCCTCCAAACGTACGTTTCCACATCGCACCGTAGTCGCTGTTAACTCCACTATCAAAGCTGTCATTGGCTCGCATTAACAGCATCTGTGTTTCATACAAATCCACAGATTTCCACTGCAGCTTGAGAGCGGTCAGACAGTTGAGCGTACAGTGGCGCAGTACTTCAGAGAGAAATACAGCTTGCAGCTAAAGTACCCCCACCTGCCTTGTCTGCAGGTGGGTCAGGAACAGAAGCACACCTATCTGCCCCTGGAGGTAAGGATTGCACTGGTTTCACCTCATTTAGTTGCCCTTGACTGCATGAAGAAATCCAACATGTAATACGCTGCCTGCAAATGTGCTAACTGTAATACTCATTGGCCTGCGCCGGGTTAAATGCAATCCACATGTGAACATGATAGGTGTGTATGAGAGTAGAATCAAGTGTACATGGCGAGTAGCCTCGGGTGGTATTACGTTGCACCAGAGTATCTAGACGTCCACGGTATCATTTTCACTGAACATGGAGACGCTCGGCTTTCTATGAGGGTGCGTTGTGGTGCACGAGCCACCAGTGGGCCCGTTTCTATTTATAACGGGCAACCGAGCTGAGAAAGAGTGGTGGAGATTACAGGACGTGTTTCTGGGGTATTTGGGTCCTCCTAGCTACGTGATTTTATTAAGCTACCAGTCTGCCACCACCACGTGCGTGCGTGTGAAGGAGACCGATCAGGATGGTGGTCAATAGGAGATTAGAAGTGAGGTGTCTGCACTTCCAAAAGCCAAGTCCTATTCTACTGTCTGCTCGCCACCTGCTAATTAAACTGAAGGTCACCCTTTGCCCAGGTTCACTTAAGGTGGGCGGATCTTTTAAGGTGAACCGTTAAAATGGGAAAAATGATGGCCACTCTGGGTTTGGCCTCTCGGTGTCTTGGATGGATGGAAGTGTTTTCCCAACCATTATATCAGGGGGGCGTGCCCCTCCCCTTCTGAAATCACCCAGTCTTTTTTTTTGTGCACGACAGTTTTGTCCGACACGTGCGTGCGTATGTCCATGTATGCGCCCGTGGTGCGAGCACACATCCGCACACTGGAGCCCTCAGCATTTACTTAGTTTCCCTCATTACCGGAATCTTTAAGGCTGTAATGACACGCGCGGACGCGTTACAACACGCGCACACACACACACACACACACTCCTAAAAACCTTCTAAATGTCAGGCAGTCAATGAAAACATTTTGATGCACTCTTTCAATTTTCGGTCACATTTGCGAGCACAATGTGGATGAATCAACCTGAATGGACTTTTTTTTTTTTTTCATTTAGGTGTGCAACATTGTACCTGGACAACGCTGTATTAAAAAACTAACTGACAACCAGACATCAACCATGATCAAAGCAACAGCCCGCTCCGCCCCAGACAGACAGGAGGAGATCAGCAGACTGGTGAGTAGATGGGAGCCAGAATGACACACGGCTTGCTTACATTATAATAACCAAAGAAAATATTTAAAGTAAAGGCCGGCGCATGCTTCCTGTGTTGTTTCAATTCATGGTTCTGCGTGTGTTGCAGAGCAATTCACCGCCCGAACAACAGGCGGAGTAACGTGTTTTTGTTGAAGACGACCTAGAGAGTCACGTCTGTTTGTTTGTTTGTTTATTTATCATAGACTTTATTGCCCCGTGCATCGCCACTGCTGCTTTTCATCGCGGACACATTTGTCCCGTATTTTCCTCCACAACTTTGTTCCTCTCGACCGGCAAACCGGCGTTTGCGGCGATCTCCCTCCGTGAATCCAACCCGCTTCTACAACCCGCCAATGACGGCTTGTATAAGCGCTCATATTTGCGCATTTCTTCCGACAAAAGTTCTTAAATCTGATCTGTTCTCTCGTAAACATTCTTCGTTTTAATAATGGCGGTATCGGGCTGTGAAAGCGGAAATGTGAGACTCCGTAAAGGACGTAGTTAGCGGACCAATCACAGCCTGGTGCGCTGCGGGAGGCTTGCGTCGCTTTCAACGCAAGCCTAGAAAAATGTCTCGACACACGCAAGGAGGTGTGATAAGCGACGCAAGGGACACGCAAGGGGGGGCTTGCGTCTGCGTCGCTCTGAAAACGCAGAAGCATAAACTAGGCCTAATACATGAATTGTTTCTTTACTCAGGTGAGAAGTGCAAATTACGAGGCCGACCCGTTCGTCCAGGAGTTTCAGTTCCGCGTGCGAGACGAGATGGCTCAGGTGACGGGCCGCGTCCTGCCGGCCCCGATGCTGCAATATGGCGGCAGAGTGAGCTCTGAGCCATTTATGGTACCTTCCCTTTTAATCCTGCTTCATATGCATGAGTGGTGCGTGGGTACGTGTGTGAGTTTGAAGTCCTATTTACAATCCTGATTTAGACTATTTGATTTTGTATTTCTGTGCTAAAACCATACAATGCATAATGTATAAAAAGCCACACTTTCGGTGTGCAAACCCTGTGATAATCTGTAGCTTACGGTTTGGCGCATGTCCTGCAATCCCCAATTATCTCTAAAACCACCTGACACGTCTTTTACACTCTTTGTTTTACACATGCTGGCTTTTCTGTAGCTGTCACGTATAGAAACAGTCTCTGCTTTGCGTGAAGTCCCTAAAAAATACTGCATGGGAAGTGTGTGATTCAAATTCGTTTCTAATGGCACGATCATCAGAACAACCAATGTGAGCCTGTTAATTACACCGAAGCCTTTGATGTTGAGATCCGACTGGCTGTTTGAATCCATACATTGTCTGTTTCCTTTTGTACCGTTTGTGTCCATGTGACTGTCAGTCCCAGCAGATCAACCCTGCACTGTCGTTGCAGAACCGCACGGTGGCCACACCCAGCCACGGCGTGTGGGACATGAGGGGGAAGCAGTTTCACACCGGAGTGGAGATCAAGATGTGGGCCATCGCCTGCTTTGCCACCCAGAGGCAGTGCCGAGAAGAGATCCTTAAGTGAGTTCACACAAATCCCCCCGATTGCTCGGGTTAGATTAGTTGGAGTGTTAAAGGGTTGAGTATCGACAGATTTAATGCAATATATGTATATTTACATCTGAAATGTATAAAATCTTTCTAAAAACAAAGGTTTCTCATTTAAAGAAACCAATCAAATGAATTGTAAACTAATATAAACAATTGGTCACTATACTTGCAATACTGTACTGGTAGTGATATAAACATTTTTTTTTTTTTAAACTTGTCTGGTCACTTATTTTATTTCTTTGTGCTCAGGAGCTTCACTGACCAGCTGCGTAAAATCTCTAAGGATGCTGGGATGCCAATCCAAGGCCAGCCATGTTTCTGTAAATATGCCCAGGGAGCCGACAGCGTGGAGCCCATGTTCAGACACCTGAAGAACACCTACGCGGGGCTGCAGCTCATCATCGTGATCCTGCCAGGGAAAACGCCCGTCTACGGTACAATCAATAACCGCTTCAATACCCACTAGCGTTTTAATAGTAGGGCCTCTAAGTCCATCCAGGATCAGTCGTTGCAGAGTAAAATGAACCCCCCCCCGCCCCCTCTCTTTTACCCACAGCTGAGGTGAAGCGGGTGGGGGACACCCTTCTTGGCATGGCCACTCAATGTGTGCAAGTGAAGAACGTAGTGAAGACGTCCCCTCAGACGCTCTCCAACCTCTGCCTCAAGATCAACGTCAAGCTGGGAGGCATCAACAACATCTTGGTTCCACACCAACGGTAAAATTAACACGACAATAAAGATAATTGTAAAACTTCTGTAGTTTTCAGATACTTTTGCTTCACGCAGTCACGTTGGCATTCCTCTTTCTCTTTGCTCACTGCTGGCCTGTTGGCCCTTAAAATAGGACTGTTGTTGTTGCAACGTGAGATAATTTGATGCCTCTTTCCATCCATCCAGGCCCTCTGTGTTCCAGCAGCCTGTCATCTTCCTCGGGGCGGATGTCACTCACCCTCCAGCAGGAGACGGGAAAAAGCCATCTATTGCAGCGGTGAGTCGTCACTTCACATCCCCATCTCATATCAGCGTGTGTCTACTGCCAAATATGCTCTTTCGCTCCCTTAAATGACTTTTTGGACCTTTGGCAACCATTTTAATGCAAATGTTCATTGGTCGTTTGACCATTGGTGCTATTATTAATGCGGTACAAAGCTACGTGCCTTTTTCCTTAATGCAGTGTTTCCTGTGTATGTTTAGTAGCTTATAGCTATGCAGACCATGGGGAAAAAAAAGAGCGTTCAGTTGCCAAGATTCTAAAAATGGGACCGTGCTTGTACCGTAGCGAATGTGAATCTGTTGATGTCAGCAGTAGGAGAGCTATATAGAACGTTATCATTGAGTTTCCATTCTATAGATAATACTATTACGCAAGTATAAGGTACAATATAACAATCATGGAATGTGCAAATGCCATCTGGTAAAATGTAGCAGAGAAGCCCTTATAGGAGACGCTTTTCATTTAATTAAAAATAGAGAATTATGAGTTGTTTTAACTTTAATACTAGTTCAAAGCATTCGTTTTGTTTTTATTCTTTCACCACCGTTTTGTATTGAGAAACGTGACATTTTTCTGGCATTACTAACTTGAAGAAAGAAACTGGAAACAGGAGAAGAAAGAGGGGAAAAAATATTTATTGTGAAATAAATCCCTCTTTTGATTACAAATCCCTTCTGTTATAGTTTCTTTTCATTTGTTGCTCCCCTAGACATCAGTCGAGGGATGTAACCGTCGTTAACTGCTCTTCAGTAGCAATAGTCTTGCGAGTTGAGTTATTGACCAGAGATGCTGTGTCCTCACAGGTGGTGGGCAGCATGGACGCCCACCCCAGCCGGTACTGCGCCACGGTGCGGGTCCAGAGGCCGAGACAGGAGGTCATCCAGGACCTGGCCTCCATGGTGCGAGAGCTCCTGATCCAGTTCTACAAATCGACCCGCTACAAACCAACCAGGATCATCTTCTACAGGGACGGCGTGTCAGAGGGGCAGTTCAGACAGGTGACGCATTTCCTTTCCTTGCCGCTTATCACAATACTATTTAGATTATTCTGCTACACAGTAGATTTAATTATTACTCTCAATCTGCATTGGCAACAATTTATCAACAAAAAAAAACGTTTGTGCTAATTAGTTTAGTTATTGGTCTAACTTTTATTTTCCCCTGTAGGTGCTGTACTACGAGCTGCTGGCCATCAGGGAGGCTTGCATCAGTTTAGAGAAGGAATATCAGCCGGGGATTACTTACATTGTTGTGCAGAAACGCCATCACACGCGTCTCTTCTGTGCAGATCGCAACGAGCGGGTGAGTTACACCGAGGAGGGACATGGTCGTATTCTGAGGGTCTTGGAGATGTTAAGGCTGCCTACTTTCTTCATCTGTTTGATTGATTCATCAATCTTTTGATCCTGCTTCATATGCATGAGTGGTGCGTGGGTACGTGTGAGAGTTTGAAGTCCTATTTACAATCCTGATTTAGACAATTTGATTTTGTATTTCCGTGTTAAAAGTATACAATGCATAAAGGGTCAACGGTTATCTACCAAAATAAATTAGAACGCAGGATTTGACATTCGGGTCACTGCTCACGTCTGTAAAAGGGATTTTCTTCTGGTTGGACCTCTCAATCATTTTGCTGAATTACCTGTCAGGTTGGACGAAGTGGAAACATTCCTGCCGGCACCACAGTGGACACAGACATCACCCACCCCTACGAGTTTGACTTTTACCTCTGCAGTCATGCTGGAATCCAGGTACGCTTTTAAAACCAAGGTGTTGGGAACATTCCTCACAGATTTTGGTCCATATTGACATGATCGCTTTACGCAGTTGCTGCAGATTTATCTCAGACACCAGCAACTCCCTTAAATCCCCCCCTTTCCCCATTGTGACGCTCTGTCTGAACTTCCAAGTTGTCATGACCACGTCTGCATGCCTAAATGCATTTTGATTGGCGGCCATGTGACCTCCTGGGTAAGATTAACTTGCCTCCTCCTCTCCAGGGTACGAGCCGGCCCTCCCACTACCACGTTCTGTGGGACGACAACTGTTTCACCGGCGACGAGTTCCAGCTCCTCACCTACCAGCTGTGCCACACCTACGTGCGCTGCACGCGCTCCGTCTCCATCCCGGCTCCAGCTTACTACGCCCACCTGGTGGCCTTCCGTGCCCGCTACCACCTTGTTGACAAAGAGCATGACAGGTGGGCAAACCTCATTCGTATCCAATTGAATTTGCTGTTTTGTCAGATTGTGAGATTGCTGAGCATGCGTGACAAATAAATAAAGTCAACTTGTCATCTGAAAATGCTAAATATAAATGTCAATGGAAGTTTGATGTGTCTAAATATGTTTTGAACTGTATTTGTAAGTAAGAATGAATCATGCTGTACAGTCTTCGTTTAGGATCACTTAAGTGGTCAGTGCCGACATTACTAAATGGCTATAATGTAGCGTACTCTTTCTAAATATTACTCACCCCTACTTCTCATTCCCCCCTCCTCCCGACAGTGCGGAGGGAAGCCACGTTTCAGGGCAGAGTAACGGCAGGGACCCCTCAGCGCTGGCCAAAGCTGTCCAGATCCACCACGACACACTGACCACCATGTATTTTGCCTGAACGTCCCCCCCCCACCCGACTTCCCCAGCCGGCCTGCGGCCAGCTGCGTTGCGCGCAGCGACCCCACCCCTGCGGCGGTGCAGCTCTGGTCATCGCCGGCTGCGAGGATGTAGCGAGCCGGAGAGGAGTTGCAGCCACGTTATGCAATCTGAAACCAGCCAGTCGTTTGCATCGCTCTGTCGGCTTTACCTCCTCTGCTGTCTGAATCACAATGGATTCTGTTTTCTTTTCAAAGCTCACGAGTCACATCCTCGCCTTTCAATTCTGGCAGCAGCTCAACGTTTCTCCTGCTTTCTTCCCTCCTGGTGTTAAAGAAAACATAACGGCGGATACAAAAACTGAAGATTTTTTGGTGCACGGGTGAAAGTGGAACCAGTGAAGAGCCGACGCGCTCTGTAGCCTCACGTTGAGCCTGTTGCAGATTTTACAATGTAGACTGTTTTACATGTTTTGTTTGATTTTTCAGCTTGTCTAGATATAATAATGTCTATGTGATTTCCCTCTTTCAAATGTGCGGCTGCCACGGCAACGGAATGCTCGTAAAAACGAAAGCGTTTTTTTGTTTTGTTTGTTTTTTTACGGCAGGCGGCCTCAGCGGTTCCTCTCCTGCGTCCCTTTAAGCCAGTGGCTCCTCTCATTCATTCAGCCAGACAGTAAGACGCATAGCGCTGAATGAAATGAGAAGAGTTTTTAAGTTTCTTTTTTACAACAATGCCACGTGGAGCCATCGATGAAGCATTGTACATCGCATGAGGCCTTACCGCGAGGCCACCTGCATGAAGACGACTGTTGGAGTCCGACGCCGCGGCCTCCCTCTCTCCCAGTCCAGCTCGTGTTCTACCAAACCCACGGTGTGCGTGTTCCTCGTCTTTGTTTGTGACTCGTCTGACCTGAATCAACGCTCAGCAATCGATCCGAGCAGCGCGGCTTATATCCTCTCGCGACCACACGTCTTTGGACTCGTCCCGGTTTTTAAGACGAGGAACTGACCAATTTTTAGTTGTCAAGAAAAAAACAAAACTGTGCAATAATGTGTAACGCAGAGAGAGCGGGTCCAGCGGTGGATAGTTTTTAGCAAGTATTGGCGAGGTAAAGCTTTGTTTGTTATGAGTGACTTTAGGCAAGTGACGAAGGACGTGGACATGCGGTATTTGACCTTCTGGTGGACGAGTAGGACGGATGCTGAGCGGTCCGATTGGGTACAGAGTGATTAAACAAAGTGCCTGATGTGTGCGGCTGGATGGAAAGCTCTTCATGGTGTGAAGGTCGAGGAGCCTCTGGTGAAACATTTAGTGAAACGCTCTCAGCGACGCGTCGCAGTCCAGTAGTTTCGTCCTGCCGTCAATTTGACTCGTAGGTTTTTGTTCCGTTCGCTCAGTATTTGTTGTAATTGGTTTTACACATTTACACAGCGTTGTCGACAAGAAGTGAACTTTGTGATGGTGTCTCGCTGGACGGTATCGTACTTGGATGCGTGTCCTCGCGCGATGAGACTCACTTTATGTTCACATTTCAGAGTCCGTGTCACCTACTTAAGCTTTGCTGCGTTTGTCCTCAGAGGAGGTTTCAGTTTAATGTCTAACAGTCCGGAGTAGGGCAGTAACTAGTAATTATTTCCACGTTCTAATTTCCCACTGGTTGTCTAAAGATCACATATGACAAAGAAAAACATCAACGTTTTTTGCTTTAACGAATGATGAACTGATCATGGAAGCGGTTTCCATAGATGTATTTTACTTTGGAGAAAACCGTCGTCATGCAGCAAGGAACTGATTTTCTGCTACATTTGGACTCTGGTTGCTAATCAATCCCAAATAATCACATAAAAACCTCAAGAAGCCAACGTTAGGAATTGTATCCATATGTCTCATGCCCTTAATCAGTACTTTGGTTTTTCGGGGGCCAGCTGTTTAAGTCGTGGCCTCGCAGTTTAGTCTAATAAGGTTTCATCACTTGGACCAAACCAACGTGCCTGGTCGGGGGGGGGGGGGGCTGCAGCATCGAGCTGATCTACTGTGTACTGCTTACTGTGCAAGCCACATGTCACCAGAACCACACCTAAGCTGCTATACGGAAAACACGTTCATTTAATATTTCATCAGATACATACTGGCTATATATTGATACAGAGAGATTAAGAGAATAATGCTATTTTACTGCACTTAAAGAGTTGTTTTTATGGTTGGACAGAGACGGACTTGTTGTTGGAAGTCGCGGTTTGAAACATTTTAATTCTAAGGATTTACCCGAGCAGCTCGTCCGCGTCAGAGCTGTTTCTTAATGTCAGACATTACCAGCAATTTTGTTTTACTTGAAGAGAACTAGTCGTGGGCATGTCTAACATTGTTGGCTAGCGCTCTGCTAGTGTTTTGTAAGTCTACATGGAGCCTTATTACCCTCCGACGGCTCCTAATAATACGTACAGTAAATCCACCTCCGGAGCCGGTGGGCAGTGTCTGACCGGGCAGGACATCGGATGCCTTTGTCCTTGAGAAATAAAAAGCCTTTTTAAGTTTGGATTTAGATATATTTATATGTAGAGGTATTAAAGTAACGCACACACCTCTTATTTTTGTCTAACAAAGTCCTATTTGAACCGGGAGCCGTGTGGAGATATAGCGTTCAATATAATTGTGGTGGTCTGTAATTTGATGATGCAATAGGTTTACTTGTTTGGAAAAAGCGATCGCGGCGTCGACCCGTGTGGCAGGGGGGACGTTTGTTCGGTAGCGCGAGTGATCGGATGGACCGTCAACCCTTCTCCGTGAAGAAGTCCCTCCGCTGTCGTTTTGTCATCTCAGAAGCGCGTCAACGAAGTGGACTTTGAGTTTGATGGATTTCTCAATGCACTTGCTAAGTGAAGCCTTTATTTTTTATTTAGTATTATTCTCGCATATTGGTGAGCGGAGCAGGAGGGGGGTTGAAAGTTCATCTTCGGACTGCTTTTATCCGTAAACAGACTGTGCCTTTTCCTGATGGTGCTGGAAAAAAAAAAAACTAAGTAAATCAAAGAAATCTTTAACTTTCAGAGAAAGGCCCTCAGGCCCGAGTCTACATTGATGAGTATATATTGATACATGATAATACTGTAAGGTGTGATTGTGCGTGTGTGTGTGTGTGTGTGTGTGTGTGTGGATACCCCCAACATATGCCAAGAACACAAAATATGCAGAACTGATCGGTGTGGAGCTGACCGGACCAAAAGGCCTGTGGGGATCGGCACTCTCAAGCACAACCCAAAAACTAACCTTTCTAACCAACAACACGACGTCATAGGGGAACCGTCCCGAGTCCGTAGGTAACAAGTAGCTCAGCTTAGACGGGATGTAGCATTTATTTATTCCTCTTTGTTTCCATAGAGACATGACGCCTCCCTTACTGCCTTCAAACCAGTCTTTCTGCTCCTTGTTATGAATTGATGTGTTCATTTTGAATGGACGGCAATAATGACGCAGTCCCTGACGTTTCTGTGCAATCTCTATCTGACCCCCCCCTCCCTTAAGTTCCTCCTCCATCTTTACTTGGACCGGTTGAGTTGTGCCCGGTTCCCCCACAACAACGCGTCTTTAACTGTGCTTGGCTGCATATCGTACACAAAGAAAACTATGTTTGGGTTTCACAGTATATTAATGTCCTTTTTTGCCTGATTATTAAATGATGTCACTTTTAGAAGTAAAACTGTACGTTCAGACCTTTTTTTTTTGTGTCTTTGCTCTTAATCTGATCATGGTCCTAAAATTGAGCCTTTTTATTTGGTTGTCATATTTAATTTTTTTTTTTAATAAATACTTAATGTATGAAAGGTGTTTTTCATTTTCACACGACGTCAGAAGGATGAGTCATCATAAAAAGCAAATGGTTCAGAGCAGCAAAACGCGCTCACTGCTTTCAGTCTAAACTTTCAGTTTACTTCAAAACCTCCACGCAGAATCAGGAATACACATTTTTCAGATATTTGTTAGTTTTTATGGAAATGCGTAGAGCAGATTAGTGCATCCTATTATTCTACGGGAAGTCAAGCCAACTGCATCGTTACCTGCTGAGGAACAAGGGATTACATTTACTTTTATAAATTATATGCGTACACAACAAAGTGGTAAATGAAGCAACAGGCCGTGTTATCTGTGCTCATATGCTTCACCTTCATAGGTTCATTATTACTGACAGGAAGTGGCCGCAGGTTATCAGCGCCTCGGCCTTTAAAATAAATACTTTATAACTGTTCCTGTGTAATGTCAGTGTTTACACTCCCTGCCTGCTTATAACTCCAAATTACCTCGAGGACGGTAACGTCTCCATTTCCTGCTTACGTAACATCCCCTGCTTTTTAATTGCTTCATCCTATAAAACACTCCTTTGATTAAACAGCGGCCTCGTTGCTCGGTGAGTCACGGCCGCTCGCGTTTAAACCGATGGCCGTGTTTGTTTCTCTTAAAAAACAAACACACACGTTTTTCAATTTGAATCTTTAAAACGGGTCCAATTTAAACTTCCAGGAGGCTGCGCGGGGTCCCGTGACGTGTGCACCTCGGTGTCCGTCCTCGACCGACCTCACAGGACGCCGTGCGTGACCAGCTTTGTTCAGTGTGACGCTCCACCCAGCGCACCTCAGAGGTGACTCTTCACCATTCTGTAACGGCACATTGATAAAACGCTTTTCTACGTAGAAAATGATCAGTTACAACTTTTAAATGCCAATGTCACGATTTTATTTAAAGTTTGTACAAAAACGTCACAGTCCTCTTTTGTGTTGAGTTATTTCCTTGCTCATTAACAAGAACTTAACACAAGCTTCTTATATTGCAGCTCGGCAGGAACAGAATCAGCAGATGATTAACTGAAAGATAAACCGCCGTGTTTCCACGTTGGACAACATGTATGAAAGGTGTGCTGGAGATTAATAATACGTTTAAAGGCACCACGTGAAACAAGGATATGAACCTTTCCTCTCGCCACGCTCATTGGTTTTGTCCTCCTTGAAATAAACAAGCCCGCCGTCATTTACATTCCAAGATGTTCACGGAAGAGGCTCTTCCTTGTAGTTGTCTGTCTTGGAGGGGTTCTGGTGAGGACCCCCGCCGCCCCCCCACCTCAGGATGTGCAGCTTGGCCGTGATGTTGCTGAGGCAGTGGTTCAACATGCTTCTGACAGCCGCCGAGGAGAAGTAGAAGATGATGGGATCCAGGCAGGCGTTTAAGGTGCTGCAGAGCAACGCCATGTTCCTCCACTCCTCGCTCTCCTGCCGGACGTACCCCACCACGTGGGAGGCGTTGTAGGGCCCAAAGCACACGGTGAACACTGTCAGGGTGCCGAACGCCAGGCCGATGGCGCGCATCCTGCGCCGCCTGCCGATGTTCGGCAGGCGCGACAGGATGAGGATGAAGTTGACGTAGCAGAAGCAGCAGATGAGGAAGGGCACGCAGAAGAGAACCAAGAAGAGCTCCAGGCGCACCCGCAGCACGATGTTCAGCTCCTCCGGGCTGAAATCCAGGTAGCAGGTGGGCGGAGGTGAGACGGGCACGCTGCCGGCGCGCAGCACGCTGCCGTTGCTGCTGCCGTTGCTGCTGCCGTTGCTGCCGCCGTCGCCGCCCGCTCCTTTGCTCCACTGGGCGTACGGCATGATGTAGACGATGCTGAGGTTCAGAAAGGTCACCACCCAGAACAGCACGGTGGCCAGCACGGCGTAGCGAGGCCTGCGACACAGGGAGTACCTGAGGGGGAAGGCCACCCCCAAGTAGCGCTCCACGCTCACGGCCGTGAGCAGCAGCGTGCTGTTGTAGATGGTGGCGTAGAACAGGAAACCGGTGAAGGGACACAGGGCGTAGGGGAGCAACCACAACATGCCGTCGGCCGCCTCCTTCATCTTGAACGGCAGGAAGGCCAGGAAGACGAGGTCGGAGATGGTGAGGTTGAGCAGGAGGATGTCTATCGGGGCCGCCCGGCGTCGCACCTTGCGGCAGAAGGTGCAGAAGGCCAGGATGTTGGCAGGGACCCCCATTAGGAAGGTGACTATGTAGACGGCCAGCAACAGCTGGTGAGCGCACAACATCGCGGCTGCTCACCCAAAGGACGGACTCGCTCAGACACTAAACGCAGGACAACAAAAATCATGTGAGCAGAACTCAAGGAGGATATTTTTGAGCCATATTCACACTTTGGAAACTGATTGATGCAATTTATAAAGAGTTTGGTTTGGCTCTATGAATAGCGGTCGGAGACCCACAACTTTGGGAAAAGTTTGTGCTTGACAATTGTGGATTTGTTATCTTGACCGTTGTTGTTCCCACAGGATGAAGCACTTATCAGCTTATCCATCAACAATCTGAAATGCCATTTGCTTTTTGGGGAAGATATCTACACAAATACATCAACACACTATGCCAAACGTTGCCATTGTGAGCATGCTTACCATAAAAAAAACAGTCCATTCACTAATTGACTACTCACTACAACACTGCAATAGTTGAAGAACTAGTAGAACTAGTAGAAAGACGTAGAGCTTTTTCTTCACAAATTGCACAAACTGCCAGTATTTGTAATCTTCTTTAAAACGTTTTTTTTTTCACTTAAACCAGGGATTTAAATTGATATTTTCAACTTGAGAAAGAAGAAATCTACATGAAAAGGCCTTTGTGCGTTGGTTGTCTCAGTACATATCACACTATATATTATTTTTTACATGAATCCACTTCTTTAGCCTGTCGCTCGACCCAAAGCCGCCTGCATACTAAAAAGGGTCATCTTCAAAAATGTAAAAAGCCCAAATACTATATTTAAAAAGGCTAGATAATAATACGTTTTCCTTAACCTGATTGGTGCTTCTATATATATATATATATATATATATATATATATATATCAAATAAATAATAATTGGTTAATCTCTTCATGTAAACTGAGGAAGAATCCTTAAAGCTTCACTAATAGTCTGTTAAAAACTGTTTAACTGTTAAACAAGACTTGGTTTAATAAAAACATGAAATATAAAACTCATAAGTCATTAGACGTTTTACTAACTCACCTCTTTAAACTTGAACAACCAGACTCTCCATCACCGGCCGTCCGTTCAGCACTCTGGCAGCTTCGCCTCTGGGAAGCAGAGTGTTTGATCGGATCATGAGGCATCACTTAATATGCACATCCTGCTGAATATCTGCTATCTCACGTCAATGGGGGGGGGGGGGATTTAATAAGGTCCTGCGCTCAATCTTTGGTTCTCCTGCCTGTCCAAACAACGTCTCTCAGCAACTGTGTGGTCTGTGCGCAGCGCGGTGTAGGTGGAAGTGTGTCATCATAACTTTTCTTTGTGGATGAGAAGAGGAGAGCAGCTGCTGAGAATGCGTCTTAGTGTGGTGCCCACCAGAGGGCAGACGACTCAGAATCACATAGTACGGCAATACACGTGTGTTATTTTATAAACCCAATTTAATGTGATTATGTAGCAAAAGGTACTTCGTTTAAATGAGTTCTGCATTGACAGTGAAATAAATGAAAAACTGATTAACTAACCAAAGGAGCTGTAAATGTGTTTTTTAAAGAAAGACTACCCTTAAATAACACATTAAACTTAATTCAATAAAAAAAAAAATCAAATCAAACATAAAACCGAAGCTATTTGCCACCATCAGGCATTTATCTGTATTATCATAGAAAAACAAGTTACCCTCCATGTAAATTCAGACCCAGTGAGCAACAGACTTTCAAAATGACAATTATGAAAACATTGTGTTAACATGTGATCAAATAATTGTCTGTATTGATTAATCAATGCGTTAATCAATGCTTTAATTTGCCCAGGCCTGGTTTCTATATGACAGTTCACCAAGATTTACTGTGTTTAACATTTTTATGACGGCCGTGTTTTTCAGTGATAATAACATAATAACATTAAAAGCAGAACAAGGTTTTTCACTCTTCAATTGTATCATTTCTTTCTTTGTTTCCTTAATTTCTTTATATATTAAGTGTTTACCTTGTATTATCTTCCTGAGCATGATCTTTTCCGTGTCGTTATCTCCCCGTTTGGTGGAGATACTATGGTTTCCTGCAGGAGGACCATGTGATCAGTGCGTGTGTGCTCAGTGAACGAGTGTCTGTCCACGGCTCATCTCCCATTCTGCTGCAGTGAACTGTCGTGGCGCTGCCCAGTCACGGACCCGCGTGCTCACGGGTCACCTGTGGTCGCGGTGACTCACTCTTTCTCACTTATTATCTCTCTCTGGGGACGTATCATATGCCGTGTTCCCATTTGTGTAAAGAGATCTCACTTTTTCTGCATTTCATCAGCGTTCTTCCATCAATGTAACATAATAGTCTCGTGTAAATGTGTTTTACATTTTAGTTTATTAAACATTTTCTGTATTAACTTTACTATTGACTGGAAATATCAAAATATGAAATTCTTTACAATTAGTTTATAAATGCTCATTCCTTTTTGCTTAGAAGTTTTTTAATCAAATCAACAATCATGTAACTTGATTTAATTGTTTTACTTGCAAACCTAACATGTTAACATTCAGAACTAATAACTAATTTCATCATCTCAGTAGACGTCTCTGCACGCGGCAGCTCCGTGACGTGGTGTTTCCCCGGTTACAGCTCGGAGCAGACGGAGCCATAAGCCATCGCCCCCCTTCAGCCGCCTCCGCCACCGACTTCCGCTCCTTTGCTACTGTGAGGAGGAGGAACCCCGGATCTCATCTTGCCGGGAGCACCGTGAGTGTCACACTGTCCCGCCTTCTCCTGACTTTCTCTGGTCACCTCGCCCCCCGCCTGGCTCCTCTCAGATACCGTGTGTGGCGCCCGGGCATTCGCACCGCCGTTGGTGCTGTTGCGTCGATAGCGGCGCCGTCCGTCCCGGCTCAGTTGGCTCTGCCGTCCGCAGATTCTTCCCACCACCGGCGACAGCATCAGCATGACGGCGGGCTCCAGGAAAACGTTAAAGAAGCTCGTCAGCAAGGCGTACGTCCTCCACCCGACGTTGGCGTTCGACGCGAACCCCACCACGTGCGAGGCGTTGTAGGGCGCGTAGCACACCACAAACACGGCGAGCGTGGAGAGGGCGACAGCCAGCACCCTCCTCTTCCCCGCAGGCCGCAGGTTTGAGCGCCACACCAGGGTGACGCAGCGCAGCGTGCAAAATGACGTCACGGTGAGGGGCAGGAGAAAGCAGACGACGGCCATCTCCAGGCGCAGGGGCAGCAGGACGGCCAGCTGGGAGCCGTTGAAGTGGACGTAGCAGGCCGAGGTGTCGTCCTCGGTGGAGACGAAGTTCGCCCCCCTTTCGGCGGCGAGGGCGAAGCTGAGATGCAAGAGCACCGCGAGCCACAGGACGCCGCTGATGAAGCAAGAGATGCGAGCGCGCCGGTACCTCTTGTAGACGATCGGGAAGGCGATGCTGAGATAGCGGCCCGTCGCCACGGCGGTGAGGAACAGGCAGCTGCCGTACAGCGAGGAGAAGAGGAAGAAGCTGAAGACGGGGCAGACGGGGGCCGGCAGCCGCCAGTCCTGAAGCAAAGTCTCGAGGGCCTTGACGGGCAGCCAGGCCACGAGCACCAGGTTGGCCACGCACAGGTTGAGCGCGTACACCACGTTGGGCGTGGCGCCGCGCTTGTGGGCCTTGCGCGCGTACACGATCAGGACCAGCACGTTGGCGGGGAGGCCCAGCAGGAAGGTGAAGGTGTACACGGAGAGGGCAGCATAATCCTTGGAAGGCAGCAGCGAGTGTTCATCGCGGCCGAGGGCCAAGGGAAGACCGGCCAAAAGCAAACCGTGGCTCCAGTTCACCATGACGGGGACGGTCCTTCAAGGCGGTCAAATGATTTGACTGGTAGTTACGTGCACGGTTGTCCTCGTGTCTTCTCCATTTATTAACCACGTCTTTCCAAAAGACAGATTCTGCGTTCCCGGCAGCTGCTGCACTTCCATGGTGTGTCGGACTGAGCTGGAAGAAGGAGACAAAATCTGGGAGATTAAGAAAAAGGAGGCGGTGGCCACAAGGTGGGAAGGAAGGGGGCGAGGTGCAGATAAGGAGACGGAGCCACTCATGCATAAGGGGGTCATTTAGCCGGCACCGGGCTGCCTTAATGCCCCGTCAGTGGAGGGCGACAGACAGGTAGCATCTGGGCCCTTAAGTGCAATGATTCAGACTAATTTGGCGTGTCAGGAAGCACGTGGCTGTCTGAAATGAACTGGAGAGCGGAGGCAGTCAAGTCATAAATGTGCTGAAGTTGATGGTCAACGCGAGGAGAGGATGTGTTTGGCTCTGTGAAAGCGTTGACTTGTTTGTGGCGCGTTGGGTACTTTTCTGCGTTTTATGGTTGAGCGTAACTCGCAGAGTTCTGTGAGTAAGAGGTGGGGGTGCAATGCGAAAAGGTTTTTTGGTGTAGAAAATGGAGCAGAAAATCGCCGCGGCCTGCTGGTGGTGCATTTTACAAGCAGCGGAGTGACGGATACCAAGAAGTGTTTTTTCCAAGGAAACACTTGCACGCTGTTTGAATAGTCTGGATGATGTATGAATGGATCCATTGCTCAAAACAAATGTGTGTATAGTCACTCTTCTGATATCTAGAGTAATATTTACCTAATTTATTAGAATAAGTGAAAGCGGCATTAGCTCCAGCGTCATTCACCTTTCATATTTTTAGCTCCGGCTAAGGCGTCAGTCACGAAAGAGTTTGAAATTGGTTTATCTGACTCAAAAAGGTCGTAAATCGTATATCTAGCTCGAATATTGTTATTTACTCTAGTTTATATCATCATGTACACATATGCAGAATGCTTTAAGTGGACGCTTAAAACAATATTTGGGCATTTCAGCATATATATATATATATACATATATATATTATTTTGTTCTACTGGGAATTCTCAGTACCATTAGATGTCTCATTCCTTTGCAGAAAATGACATGAATTAAAAAGAACCGGGGATGGTTTCCCCCTTTTTCATAATTAGGTTGGACTAGGAGTTTTCATTATTCAAAGGGAGCGTGTCCTTTTCACGGAGGCCACAGCCTATAACGTATTTACGCTACCCGGCCATCGTAGTGCTCTCTGACACACTTGTAAAACTGTGATAACATGAGCCGCACGGTGAAAAACAAGACAATAGCCATCTGCCATCTGACTTCCGTTGCTCCTAAACAGCTCTACCATGGTTACACTCTCGACGACTCACTTTACAACACCACAGAATTTGCACAAATGTTTAATTGGGGTAGGAAACAAACACACAATCCACATTAAAGCTCAGGAGAATGCTTCTTTTTTTAAAATAAATATAGAAAATTGTTGTGTCCTCCAGCAGTAACGTGGATGATTCATTTATCAACTTAAGACTTTAAGAGACTTAACTGTATCTCAAATGTGGACAGAAAAACAAACAACTCACGCTAATGTATGTGTGTTTAGTTCCGTGCCCCCCCCCCCCATACTGGACACCACCCCATGTTACTGAGCCAGCTGCAGGCTGCTCCTGCCGCTGGAGTTTGTGAGTGGAACCAGCAGCGGCGGCGTCTTGTCCGTGCTGGAGGTTGCTGCGAGGCGGGAGCGGGTGTTCATGCTTCGCTGTTCCAGAGACAAGGCTTCCTGTTTTCTGGAAAGATCCTGCAACATGCGGGAATGATGGAGCTTCATCTTCTGCATGGAGCGTCTGAGCGAGCACGGGGCAAAGAGTCAGAGGCATTTCTTTCCCTTTTTAAAACACTGTGGTTATATTAGCCGCTACGGATCTGCAGATAGGATCTTGTATTGTTTCCATTATTTATTACTGGGGCTTCTTATCGGCTAAATGTGCAGCGTCTCAAACAGCATACATACAATACATGCCAAAGAGTAAACTATAAGAATGACTGAATCTTTATCATTTAGTGTCATGGAATGTGATCGGTTTAATCTGTAACCTTTCTTGACCAAAAGAAAAATCACTTTTTGCAGAATAAGATAAATAAAATAAAATAAGGTCAATAAGATCCACTTGGTGATCTGCCTCAGACTTACTGAGCTTCAGACAGCTTCTGTTTCAAAGTCAGAATTGTGGCCTCCAGTTGATGGACTTCCTCAACGAGGCCGTGCTGCACCTGCAAACAAACAGGATGGAAAAGATGAAAGTCACATTAAGCGCCAGGACCGAATCACTACTGTTACTTCTGCTGCTGATGCTAAATTCTACATGTGGCATAGAACAGCGTGTGTTTTATTCAAACCTCGTCTCTGCACAAATCCATGCCCGGTCGGTTGGTCCTGTTCTCCAGTCGAGTGTGAGCCAGTTTCAGGGAGGCCGTCTTTACCTGTAGATCTGCATCCAGCCCGTGGATGTCTCTCTCCATCTCTGCCATTTCATCTTCAGTCTGCAGGCAGTCAGAGGCCATCAAACTACGTGCAAACAATAACCTCTCACGCTCCTGGAACATGGCTGGATTCAAACGGCTGCAGTCCGTGCACATTTCATCACAACAATAGAAACCTGCCATTATAGAACTACATAACCCACATTTCTTATTTGCCACTCCAGCTCGTCGCGTGCCTGCTCTTCATGGTGATTGCGCTTCCGAAGAGAGAACTCAGTGGCACGGCGCTGAGTGTCCAACTCATTCTGCAACTGAGAGAAACAGGACGGGCAACAAATGTGCAATATTTGACATGACAAAAGAAATGAAAGCAGCACTGCAGCCCCAGATAGCTAATTGTTCACATAGGCTGCATAAGTAATTGTGTTTCATTCAGGCCTGAGCTAAAGTATTTCCATTACAAATATGAACAGGGGTAAGATCATGCACACCTGCACTCTGGTCAGACTCATGTCCTCCCTCATTTGCTGTGACACGTGCATGGCCTCCTGGGCACGGGCCACATTGTACTGGCTGAACTGGGACCACTCTTGGGGGTTGGAGGAACTACAACAATGATATTTTAGCGTGTTAAACGGGAAAGTTGAAAAAGAAAGCATCACCCTCATGCCGAGTTTACCCTGACGGTATGCGAGTTGGGTTGGTCTTCAGGGAGATCTGGGGCGACTGAACAGTAAGCGACAGGCACGACATGTCAATATCCAGGGCGTCCATCTTGTTCTGGAGGTCAGCGGTCAGCTGGTGCCGAGCCTCCTGCAAAACGCTAGGATCAAAGAAGAAAAAAAAAGAAAGAGTAAAACAATAAACAGAAAATGCCTCCGCGGGCTTTTGCGTCACACCGTATCTTCCCTCACCACAAGTGCTCGAAAGCCCTGTCAACGTGCTGCTGCAGAACCTTCTGCATTCTCTCAATCAGCGCCACCTCTTGTTTCAGCTGTTGGTCCACGGGGTCGATGGCGAGCTCGTAGCCCCGCCGCCCGTCCCGCAGCGTTAAGCATTCACAGCTGACCTCCAGGGGAAGGGCGGTCGCAGCCAGGGCCTGCTCCGTCTGCTCTTTGGACTGTCCCAAGAAACATGGAGGCTGAGGTCACTCAGACACCTGCTCACGATTCTCTGAATTTTAATATTAAGTGATTCCAGTATTATTGATTCCTACTCTTAGGGAAACACAAGTATTGTACTTCTCTTTAAAAAAGGCCACACTCTTTGTACTATTATATACATGGAATGAGACACTCTTGAGTCATTTCAGAAGTTTTGGGATAAATCACCAGAGTCAGAGCCTCCATCTCTGTATCCACTTTCTGTGCGCAGGTTTCTAGCTCCTCTTTCCGCCGGGCAACATCCCACAGCCGGTCTCTCAGCCTGCGACAGGTGTCACTCTCATCCCAGGTTGTCTACGGAGAAAATAAAAATAACCGGTTGAGTAACGCGTAGACAATACGTATGTTATGCAGTATTGTTTCTCCTGTAGAGCGACACCGACTGTTGAGCTCTCCTGCAGGTTCCCTCGCCAACGTGAACCCACCTTACAGTTGGTCTCGTTGCGTAGTGACCTCCCCTCCTGCCGGATCACCATGGAAACGAGTTGCTCATGTTGTGCAGTGGCAGACAGCTGCTGGTTGTTACTGGTCCACTCTGAAACACTGTGGTGCAGGCCGGGCTTTGCAGGGGGCACGGACATCCTTCTGCTGCAGCAACACGCAAACACCCCAAAAACTGCACATGTGCACGACTGGTTTAAGATCGGATATTAAAACCCTTCTTCAATTATAATTCATAACCAAGTCATGATCGTTTCAAAGAGGAAATAGAAGTGTTTTGGCTTTTGGAAGTAAATGATCACATTGACATAGATCTGCACAGTCTGAATGACCTAGAAAACAAAGTCGGTTGACGACTAATTTAAGCAGCAGTATGGGTCTGACCATCTGGTGTCGTGGTGCAGCCAGAACAACATGGAGCTCAACGCTCTAAAGACAGTGGAGATGGTTGTGGATTTCCGGCGGAACAGAGCCCCAACCTCCCCCATCACCCTGTGCGACTCCCCCGTCACTATTGTGGATTCCTTCCGTTTCCTGGGCTCCATCATCACCCAGGACCTCAAGTGGGAGCTGAACATCAGCTCCATCACCAAGAAGTCACTTTAACTGTCATTTCTCACTTTGTCGTCACTCGTCACTTTGTTACTTGTTCGATAGTGCACTTTATGCTTAAATTTTCTTAAACTTTTTTTAATATTTTAAATTCTTAACTTTAACTTTATTCTCTTGTTTTATACTAACCCATTGCATTAGCATTTCATTTTACTTTATTTTATTACTTGTGCACTGCTGTCTTGTTGTCTATTGTTACACTGTCTACTGTCACGCAACAACCGCCAAGACAAATTCCTTGTATGTTTGACATATTTTGGCAATAAATGTTTCCTGATTCCTGATTCCTGAAAAAAACACACACACACGACTTTCATGTAGCGCTGAATACGTTACGGTTAGTTTGAAGCCAGATGTTTAACTTAACAGAAATGGGTGACTTAAATGAAGGTTGCTATTAAAGTTATCTTGCGATATATTATATATATATATATGGCGATACGCTCACTTTGACGAGATGTCCGGGCCGTAAAGGGCGACGTTACTCTTACGGCCCAAAACGAAGCACACGAATCAAACAGTTTAAGTTACGTTGTTTGTTTTTTTAATGGACCTCAACGTTTTGTTTTATTGAATTAAACTTACCCGTTTTTCTAGAACGCTCAGTTAGTCGTTGCGTAACTACCGTTAGTTCTTCTGGTCCATGTTTCCAATGACAAGTTTAAATCACCATGACAACGTTCGTGACGTCAGTCCCTGTGCGACAGTAACTTGATTTAACAGGCCGTATTATTGCAGAGGCAGACCGTGACGTCACTCCACGTCACCAACGTCTCGGATTATAAAAACACATACATCTGATATAAAGTATCCAACTATTGCAACAAAATCTTAAATGGTAAACGACTATAACATGTGTGCACATATGTAAATACTATAGGAGCATCTTTTTAACACGGCAACATATTCTGATGTAGAATTTTGTGCAACAATACTTAATCACACGTAAACATTTAATGTGATCAGTGGTCTTGCCTGCTATTTAAAGGCTATGCTGAAACACAAGGAAAAGTTTACAAAGTGGAGCTGTGCAGAACGACACTGGGGTATAAACACTTGTTTTATTGTAGTATCAGAATTAGTCATGCCAGTGGTTATATTTTTCTCCATGCTGTGGTGACTTTCAGTGTATACAAAAGTTGGTTAGTTACAACTACCCTCAGCACTTTCCTGACCATGTTGTGGTCTTCTTTCTTTCAAAAGGTTCCCAAAAGTTTAGAGATTGTGGAAGATTGCAAAACAAGAGGAAGAAAAGAAAATCCACCCCACGTGTCCACTTAAATGCAGCAATACTAGTGAGCCGAACAGAGGCTGGTCACGAACCAGGACCTCTTACAACCGAACCTCTCCTCCAGTGCAGCACACCAGCGACCTATTAAGAAGATTTACAAACCAACCACATCTTAATGCCCGCCGGAGAAGAGAAAAAGATTCCTACGGTGAAAACCATCACCCGTCTTTAAACAAGAGAGATCTTTGTAAAGACTTCATAGGTCTTACCTGTGCACTGTCTCGATGACCCGAGCAACTATAACAGCTGGATTCTCCCACTGGCTTATTCAACGCCGTGCACGTGCCATCAAATCTGCTTAGACAGTTCATTTACCGACCGTGGATTATGTTCATTCGGTTGGGGAGCACTGCCTGGTGCCAACAGTGTCAGTGTTAAGAGGCAAAAAGGGAAAGGTCACCCCAAATTGCACACAGATCATTTTAACTATCCTTGGTAACGGTAATGAGGGTGATCAAAGTATTGGATTTGGCCACTATGAATTTGTTGCTGGGGAACAAAAGAAAATTCTAGTATCAGCTTTTCTTTCTTTGCACATTCCTTAAACACTAATAAATTAAAAGCAAAGCAGAGCCATCATTCGAGTCCCATTCAGGCGGAAACACAGCAAAAGTAAAAAAAAAAAACTAAAAAAACTAAAGCAAGTTTGCGGTACGATTAAAAAGGGAAAATTGCTAAAAAAGGACGTTTTTTTTCTGTGGCGGGTTTCATAATTTAAAAGTAAAAAGGAAGTTTGGTGCAAGCGTGGCGGTGCTGTGCGGAGGTCATGTCCCTTTAAAGCGAAGGTGAGAGGTTCATGTGGCTACACAGTAAACCCATTTTACAAGCGTTCGGCCTCCACCAGCTGAAGGAGGAAGAAGAAGAAGAGGAGGAGGAGGAGGAGGAGGCGGCGGCCTCAAGTGCTTCAGCGCTCTTCTCCAAGCCCTGCGCGCGTGTTTTGGGGCGTGGTCCAATTTCCGATGCAAATTGTCTCGCTATTCCTTCCCCGGTGCTGTTCAGGTGGGAGGGACGATGCGTCTTTGTGTTTGGGACATTACGTGTGTCCAGTCCACCATCACTGCGGCGTTGCATCCCCGTTGACTTCCACGCCGTGCTGCTGCAGCTGTGCTCGAAGGAGAGCGTTGTCGTTCTTTAGTTCCTCTATCTAGAAATACAAAAGGGAAACGACGTAGAAGGGATTCACACACTGAGCACCTTTCAAGCAGCAGTAAGGAGAAGTGCACTTAAACCTCCGTGTTCCCACTCTGACCCCCTTTAGGTTATTATCGTAAACCCTTCTAGTCGCCAGTCATCGTCCTTGGGGACTTTGACAAAGGAAACAATGAATTGTGGTTAAGTGCTGTGATGCAGGCCAAGGAACTAATAACATATGGTTTGTTTTTCTAAGGCCGTTCACCTGTTGTCTGAGCAGCTCGTTGTCCATCTCAACCTGCTCCACCTCTTTGTAGCTGTCCTGCAGGCGCTGGTTGCTCTGACGCAGCTCTCGGATGTAGTCGCAGGCTTTGGACAGGATGCCTCCTTTACTCTGAGGAGCACAGCACGTTCACACGTCGAACAACAGGTTCATAGGACTTTTCCTGCCATGGTGTCACTACGAAGCGAATACCCAGTGTGAATACTAACGGCAACATGTCCTACAGAGGCGTCGATGCTGTCGGTGTCTTTAGGAGCAGTGTTCATTTTGGCAGCTATTTTGATTTAGTCTTAGTCTTTAGACGAAAACTGCATATTAGTTTTAGTCACATTTAGTCATTTTAATCCTTCTTAGTTTTAGTCTAGTTTTCGTCGACGAAAACTAAAATGTAATTAGTTTTAGTCACATTTAATAGCCATATTAAACTCCTTTTCTTCCCTTCTCAGGCCCAGGGACCCCCTGTGTTGTGTCTACAACTGCTTAATAGTCTAGCTTGCAGTACTTGGTTGTCCATTAGATGTCCCTCCTAGGACAGGCCTATAGATGTCCCCCCTAGGACAGGCCTATAGATGTCCCCCCTAGGACAGGTCTATAGATGTCCCCCCTAGGACAGGCCTATAGATGTCCCTCCTAGGACAGGCCTATAGATGTCCCTCCTAGGACAGGCCTATAGATGTCCCTCCTAGGACAGGCCTATAGATGTCCCTCCTAGGACAGGCCTATAGATGTCCCTCCTAGGACAGGCCTATAGATGTCCCCCCTAGGACAGGTCTATAGATGTCCCTCCTAGGACAGGCCTATAGATGTCCCTCCTAGGACAGGCCTATAGCAGGTCGGCAAACGTTTTGACTCGCGGACACAATGGGTTGTAAAATGTGACGGAGGAGCCGAGCCAAGAACAAATGGTTGAAGTGTTTGTGTGAGCGAATATAAATGACATGTGAAAAATCATTACATGAAAGGATTTGGATTTTAACAAATAGCAAAGCATTTATTTTTAAGGCTTTTTAACATATCGCCAAAGGTGTAACAACTTTATGAGGACCAGGGATCTAAACGCAACACTTTGTTGTCTTTGTCTGTTTACTTGCAATGCTTTTGACACTTCATGGTCCTTTATTGTTTCCACTGTCCCAACAAAAGAGACCTTAACGTCCTACAATCGGTGCAATACATTATTTTCTTGGCTTCAGAACCTGCAATGAGTTTATTACGTTAGACGCGTTTGTAACGGACCATTTCATCTACCGAGGAAACGCTGCCTGCCGTCGCCAGAGAACAGAGCAGAAAGGTCCGACAGTCTTTAAACGCGTCTTCATGTTTCTGTGAAGCAGCGCGGCTTCAGCCCGCTAACAGTCAGCTAAACAGAGACAGCCGAGCTAAACTAACGAAGCCACGTTCAAACTCGCCGAAGAGTAAAATAGTCGTCGCGGTCCGTAGTCGGTGCACAAGAACCACCGCTGCACCGACGCGAGCGAGCGTTCTGGGTTCGTGGATGACGTCATCATGACGCGTTAATATCCGCCGTACTTTGCCGGTCTGTTGTCTGTCAGCTGCGTGCGAATTTTGGGGGGAAAAGTATCGTGACTTCGTCAAACACCAACATGTTCGTCTCGTCTCGTTAACGAAAGTTAGAATAGGTTTAGTCATAGTTTTTTTTTTTTAAGATCGTTTTCGTCACGTCTTAGTCTTAGTCATGGAAAAAAGGTTCTTTAAACGAAAAATTTTCGTCGACGAAATTAACACTGTTTAGGAGGATGTCATCGTTTAGGGGACTTATCACTCACCGCTCCAGTTCTGCTGTCGATGCTGCAGTCTGGGATGATTTTTGAAAGCGTGACAATCCAGTTGTTAATCTTGTCTCTTCTCCGTCGCTCCACTGTGAAGAAGGAAACAAATTGCTTTGAGCAAGAACACGCCTTGCTAACGGGGACACCGCGGGACACGTACCTTCATTGTGCTGTGCTCTTCGCCTCTCGTCTCTGGGCGCCCGGGGACCCTCCACTTTCCTGGAAAGACACAGCGAAACCGTTTTGAAGGTGAAATTATTTATACATTTTCAGTGTGACCCAAATATAGAGCACTTAAATCATCAGATGCATTATTCTGATAATTATTATAGTTATTCGGGTTTTGCCGGTCTCCTCTAACGGATCGTTATTCGGGGGAAGAAGGTGCAGCTCGAGCCGCCAGGTGCTCGGTTTGAGTGATCCAGCCTCTGTGTGAGGACGGGTGTCGCTATGAGCCTCACGCTACGTCAACGCGGCTACGTCAGGCGCAGCACGCCCACTGTACGTTAGCGGCCATGTGATACACGTTTGCAAAAGGCCGCGTCGTGGACGCAGATTCTCTCAAAGACGATGGTGAAACTGTTGGATGAAGCCAACAGTAACTTCTTCCCTAGTAGGATGCAACCTGGAATTAAAATGAAGCTTGATTTGGACTTCATGTAATGGACCAACACAGAAGTCATACTTACTGAAAATACATCATTCAGCGTAGGTCCAATCCAACAAAAGGCGAGGGGGGGGGGGGGGGGGGGGCTGCTTATTTGGGGCAAAAGGGCCCAAGTCACACGGGATACGAGGAGCCTCAAGCTGCCTGTTTACTGAACCTTTTAGTATACAATGAACGACAGGGTGATGCTGATTGGACGGCTGTCCCTACTACACATATTGGGGGGGGGGGGGGGGGGGGGGGGGGGGGGGGGTCATATGTGAAAGTTCTTCTCACCAGTTTGAACTGCCATGCTGCAACATCTCGCTTTCACCGAGGTCTCTGGGGATGGCAGGTAAGTAGGACACAGTGTGGTTTTCAGATGTTGGATCTTTTAGACGGATTTTTAGGTATCTTCATTTGAACACACGATGACAAAACTAGTCATTGCAGCAACGGGAGGACGAGGTAAAGGACGTCCGATCCACCGGGAGGTTAACATGGGGGAGGGAGGAGGGTTCGGCCAAACACGTGGAGGGAGAGAGAGAGTGACTTGGTAACTTCGGCTGATGCTCGGTCGTACTCACGCAGTGTAGGTGTGTGTGCGCGGCGCGATGGTGCGAGGGGCCGCCGTCTGCAGCACATCGGGGGGGCTCATCATCACGTAGAACTGACCTGAGTTTTAAGAGACAAAAAGTCAGACGTGAGGTGAGATGAAGCTCTTCTCAAACGTGGCACGACTTGTGGAGCTGGATTTCGGTGTCACGTTAAAAAGCTTCCCCACCTCCCGCCTGTGCTATCGTCGGGTCGGAGGCGGCCTGCACGGACACGGCCGTCCCGTCGCTGACGGCGGCGGCTGGGAAATAGGCGAAGCGCGTCTCGCCTCCCACAGTCTCGCCCCCGGGACTGCCGCCGTTACTGAAAGGGTTCTGGATGACGGCCTGGCAGAAGGTTTAGTCAGGGACGGGTCAGCGGAACAGAAGAATGAGCGACAGGGAGGAAAGAGTCATCGCGCAACCTGTTAAATTCAATTTAGCACTTTTCGATCTTTGTACCTGAGCGACGGCCTGAGGGGCCCCGGCGAACGCCGTGGTGGAGACGACGCTGACAGCTCCGGTCCCATCGGCCGTGGCTTCCAACTGGTCGTCTGTCACCTGAACCACGCGGTAAGTCACCTGACAGGACGGAGAGGGGTCATCTTCTGAGGAGACTTCCTCCGAATATTAACAAACGGCAAACGAGGCAGCTGCCACGATTTGAGTGATAAAATGTATACATTAAACCAGTGAGTCCGTTAGCAAAAATGTAATGGACCGTTGAGCTAACGCTAACTAGCTCACGGTAAGCGAATTCAAAAACGCCATATTTTGAAAGCTCTACAAAACATTCAGACTGTGTTTTCATCACAGTTGTTTATTATTCAGGAGGGACTCATTCCACCGACGGACATTAAAGGAGGACAGAATTTTGTTGTTGTGGCCTAAACGTAGTAGCAGTGTTTTGATGTTACCACCTGCCCTAAATGAATGAGACTCCCTGAATGTTTGGGCTTAACAAACCTATAATTAACTTACACATATGACACATTGAAGACAGTAACTAACATATTGTTGTGTAGAGGAAGTAACTAACATATTGTTGTGTAGAGGAAGTAACTAACATATTGTTGTGTAGAGGAAGTAACTAATATATTGTTGTGTAGAGGAAGTAACTAACATATTGTTGTGTAGAGGAAGTAACTAACATATTGTTGTGTAGAGGAGGAAGTAACTAACATATTGTTGTGTAGAGGAAGTAACTAACATTGTTGTGTATAAGAAGTAACTAATATATTGTTGTGTAGAAGAGCGAGTAACTAATATATTGTTGTGTATAGGAAGTAATTAACATTGTTGTGTAGAGGAGGAAGTAGCTAACACATTGTTGTGTAGAGGAGGAAGTAGCTAACACATTGTTGTGTAGCTAACTTGTTGGTGGTCCATGCTCACCTGTCCTCCACTGTTCTCTGTGCGGAACTGGTACTGCACATTGTGGTCGGTGAACGTAGCCGGCGGGACGCCAGTGATGGTCACGGCAGCGTGCTCCTCCGTCCCCACCGACTCTCCTACAACACACACGTCAGTGTTTAAAATGTATGGAGGTGCACCAGGGCAGAACCATCAATAAAGACGATGAGAGGGGAAATTGAAGACATGCACCTACGTTTACTTGATTTGATTTTTAACAGGATTACTGGTTCAACGAAAAAGCTCAGTTCCAATGTGTCACAAAAGAAGCCAAACCTGAATGTGCCTCAATATTCGTATATTGAGAAATTGAAACAGGTGATTTGTTTGACATGTCAGGATTAGCAGAAAACGGGGATCCCACCTTCTTGTAACTGCACCACCTCTTCTGCCTCCTGTTTGTCGTGACTACAAAAAACACAAAATGCATCAAAAACACAAAATGCATCATCAAACATGTGGATCTTAGTTGTGGCTGAACAGCGCCCCCGCGCGGTCACGCGAGAGGACGACGCGGGGGACGTAAATAAAGCGGCGCATAACCGACGTGCAGGAGTGACATGTCTCACGTTTCCTGCAACTTTCATGCAGAAAATTGCAACTTATTAACTAATCGAGACTGAGTTACACGCGGTTTGATTCACGGCACAAAGAGAAATTAATTTCACAACAAACTGCATTACTCGTAATGACGCAGCCCAGCCTAGTTTGAGTTAAGCATGTCAAACATAATAAGAGTTTTATCAGATGTAACACTGTGCTAATGATTACCGCACTGGAGACATTGTCACGAATGACTGCCGTGCATTTTAAAGTCAATAAAACAGTAGCCGCGCTGTCACGGAATCGCGGATCGGCGCACAGTTTGCGCTGCGCAAAGTGTCCGGGATGCCGAACCGCGCCGGTCCAGCTCATCGGGGCCAACGCGTTTCAAAAGCACTGAACGGCGTCGCGCAGATCCTCGGGTTACAGAGGAGAATAAACCCCGGTGTTTGTAGGCCGCGGCGGAGCAGGAAGCCGCTCACCTCGCCGAGCTGTCCAGACTCTGCTCCAGCAGATCCATCAAGTTCGTTTTGCGGTGGGTTAAAAAAAAAAAAAAAAAAAAAAAGCAACAACAAAAAAAAAAACCCCGCCGATATTCAACGGCAGTGATTTACGCAGATGGAAGCGCTGATCACGGGGACAAACACACGGGTCATGTGAGGGAGACAGTCCAGGACACGTGAGGCGGCGGCCGGGGAAGGAGCTAAAATGGAGGCCGCTGCTGAGCGCGAGGAGGTCGTCTGCGCGGAGGAGAAGCGCGCGCGGAGGAGAGGCCGCGGTGCGGGTGTCCGCGCGACGCCACGCGGGCGGCGGCGCCGAGGTGATCGGGGTATTTGAGACGAGCTGCTCGGGCGGACGAGGATTTCCTGCTAGATTCGTTGGTTGGAAGCGTTTTCGCCCGTGTTTTTCTTTTTTTTTCCGGTCGCTCTGCGGCGCACAGCTGCTGTTTATCCGCGCAAAGCTGCGCCATGCGGCCGATAAGACGCGGAGTGGACTCTTCTGCTCGCGTACAAACGAGCACATTATTTGACGGCGGGTATTCGTTTTTTTGTTTTTGTTGCACGTAAGTGTTTGTTTGCTTTGTAAGATGCCGAATGTCGGCGTCCACGTGACTCCAGCAGTTTGCTGGTCGAAATGGGTGTTTGGGGTTTGTTCCCGGTTTCGGTTACTCTTGTAAACTCTCTCGTCTCTGCGGGTGACAGACGGTCACGTATGTGTTACCGAGCCGGTCCTATCGATCCGAGCAGCGTTTATCAGACACGCACATCGATGACGGTCCTCAACGCGCCTTTTTCTTTTTTTTTTCTCCGGTTTTCCGCCCAGGTGACCGCGGAGATCCAATACGGGTTTTCCCTCAAACCACCTGACAGCTCGCGGCTCCTGGTCGCGCGGGGACAGTGTGTACCGGTTCATACTAAGACCAGAAGCCAGGTCGAGGTGTATGAATGTATGAATATCATTTTATATATTTATTTATATATATATATATATTATTTTATTTATTTTTATTTTATATATATATATATATATATATATACACACCTAATGCATACATACAATACGTTTCGTTCGTTCGCTCGCGGCTCCTGGTCGCGCGGGGACAGTTTGAACCGATTTATTCTAAGATCAGAAGCCAGGTCGAGGTGTATGAATGTATGAATATCATTTTATATATTTTTATATATATATATTATATTTATTTTTATTTATATATATATAAATAAAATAAAAAAATAAAAAATAAAATATATATATATATATATGTGTGTATTTATTATATATATTTATATTATACCTAATGGGTACATACAATAAAAACATTGTAACCATTGTAACACAAACATGGCAACACTGTAATCTTGCAATAGCCATTGCACAACGTACATTTGTTTTCACTTCAACATTAAAGTATCTTATGAACTGTTCAAATCCGCATTGCAAAAGGCTGATGCAAGAAAGTCTAAATGTAATCGGTAGAAACATCTTTGGTTTATTTCTGACCTTTTTGAAATCGTAAGTACACAAGTGAAACACATACAGGCTGAAGCCTTGGTCCACAGCAGCGAGGCCCGGACACGTCCAACCACATTTTGAATTGTGATTGTAAATTTTTAAATAAATTATGTGTAAATAAAAATGTTCAAAAGAAATGCATGGTCTCAGGCACGTGCACAGACATTTTGGGGGGCGGGTACTCAAAACAAAACAAAAGGGCACCCATCGCAAAAAAATAATAATCAAATAAAAAATACAGTAGGATATTTTTAACTTACATATTTATTTTTGTTAACAAAACACTTAAAAACAGACAAAACTTTGCAAAGCAATAAGGTGCGAGAGGCTGTACTTTATCATCAATACTGTTACAGTTCGAGGGTGCTGTTGCTATGAATAAGTTAAAAGCTGCCGCAGAAAACAGCACACAGCATTGTAAACATCACGTTCGTTGACCGAGCACGAGAAGTTCGCACCATCTCATTCATTCACATCAATCACGACGTCCACCTGAATGGTCTCTTTAGCTAGAAGGTGTCCTGAAGCTGCTAATGTTGTTCACCAAACAACGTCGGGGATTTTCACAAACAGTCATCACCTGTCGCTCAGCACTGCACGAGGAGGAGGGAGGAGGAGGAGGAGGAGGAGGAGGGGAGAAGGAGGAAGAGGGAGGAGGAGGAGGGGAGAAGGAGGAAGAGGGAGGAGGAGGAGACATGAGGGGGGCGGGGGAGAAGGAGGAGGAGGAGGGGGGAGAAGGAGGAGGAGGAAGAGGGAGGAGGAGAGATTATGGGGGCGGGGGAGAAGGAGGAGGAGGAAGAGGGAGGAGGGAGGAGAAGGAGGAGGGGGGAGAAGGAGGAGGAGGAGGAGGGCGGCGGGGCGAGCATGTCGCGGTGAAATTCTCACAAGAACTGAAATAAATGACCCGTCAGATATCAAAACACATTTGGGAAGGAAATGATGACATAGGGAGTCATTTTTATTCTTAAATATTCATGAATGAAGAAAATCATTTTTCTTCATTCATGAAGAAGAAAAAAGAAACTTTTCTTATCTGGGGCAAAAGGGCAGGCGCTTGAGCACCACTAGGGGTCTGTCTGTGCACGCGCCTGCATGGTCTGCTGGGGATGTGTGCTGATTACAGTATAATCATGTAAATTAATTGATAATTAAACCCTATTATACTATTCACGGTATATTCAGTATCAGCTTGTTCCTCCCGCTTCATTGAAGCCGCAGAGTTTACAATAAAGAGAATAGAATTGAACTAGCGTCGCCTCAAAGGACTCAGCCCAGGTGCGTTCCCTAACACAACAGATGAAATCAAAAGGACCTCAAGGTCCGTTGGTTTGTTGAATGGGACATTTCTAAGTTAAATATGCCAGATTAGATCCTCTTCACGTTCAACAGTACCACGCTGACTCAGGGGTAAACAAACAAGAAACCACATTAGGCTTCAGGCTCTATACATTAAGTTTGAACGATGCAAACGCATTCAATGAATAGAACTCGACCCTTAAAGTGATCCCTTGCATGTATCACATGGTGTCGTGCACTTCTTTGAGGAACGGGTGACTCATTCATTCAGATTGCACACCCAGTACATGGAAGAGAGACACAGAGAGAGAGAGAGAGAGAGAGAGAGAGAGGAATAACCACCCAAGTGCCAAACATGAGGCCAACCTTTCTCCTCCCATCTCATTCTTTCCTATATGGGCACCCGCAGATGGATTTGCACACAGCTCAGTCAAAGACCGATCGGTGCTAGAGACCTAAGAGGAGGAACAAAAAGACAAAGACAGAGAAGTCTACAAGAGCAGAGATTTTAACTTCTTCTGGCCAGCACTAAAAAGGTAAACCTTTCTGTCATTATTAGTGCAGAATCTCCTCTTATTTCAGGGTGGGGTGGACAACCCCTCCCCTGTCTTTTGATCATTTGTGCTCTTTGTATTTTGCACGTTTTTTCTCACTGCGCTCGAAAGAGTTGTGCGTTCCTGGAAACACTGAATTATGTTTCCTTTTCCATTTCTAAACTTTCAGTCATGACTTGTTTAAACTCACAGACCAGCACTTTGCCTTAAATGAAAAAATCTCCTTGGATGGACTCGGCATGTGTTTCACTTATCTTATCAACTTCCTCCACCCTCTTGATACGGCCTTCACGTTCTACAGGCCAACGCCACTGGCTGCATGTGTACATCCCATTAGATAAATCCTCTCCCTTTGTTGTCCATTAAACGAAGAACCTTTCATAATAATTAAGTTGTCTTCTACGTCAGGAAAGATAAAATTGCAATGGCGACACCCAAAAACACTCCCCGAGGTGGCAGCACGCCGCTGTCGCCCAACCGCATCACGCGGCTCCAGGAGAAGGACGACCTGTGCAACCTCAACGACCGCCTGGCCGTCTACATCGACAAGGTCCGGTCCCTGGAGAGCGAGAACGCCGGCCTGCGTCTGCGCATCACCGAGTCGGAGACCGAGGTCAGCCGCGAGCTGACGGGCCTGAAGGCCGCCTACGAGGCCGAGCTGGCCGACGCCCGGCAGACTCTGGACGCCGTGGCCAAAGAGCGAGCGCGTCTGCAGCTGGAGCTGGGCAAGACGCGGGAGGACTACAAGGAGCTGAAGGCGAGGTGGGTGGCAGCACTTCGCTCCGGTCCAAATCCAAGTGGAGGCGGAATGCATTCAAGCTGTGGATCACATGGATCAGGAGTGTCTCAGCACCTTAAGGCCCCTGAATCCCTTAAAAGCGCCCATGTATGTCTGTGAGATGTACTTTCTTTACAATCAAGGCAACACTAGATCAACGTAAAACTAAAGAAGAACAGTTTTGCTGTTGCAGCAGCACGTGGTTTGCCAAGTGGTGGCTAATGTTAGCAAACTTTATACAGACATAGTTATGTAACTCGCTTTAAAGTCAGAGTTAAAGTGCAGACAGAGCAAACATTGTGCAACATGCTTCACTTGACTGATTATCTGGTTTTTGGTCTAAAATAAAACTAATCAGCGTGGTGTACTCCAGCAATCGCATCGCCTCGAGCCTCCCAATTTCCCGTTAAATCTTCCTCCGTTAAAGGCCTCCATTTTTCCCTAAAGCACGAGACACGTCAAACGTGTCAGCATGTAGCGCAGAGCATCAGAACCCGGTTACTCATTAGCCCTGAATAGGCGATGCGGGCCTCGGGGGCCACTCCCTGGCCTCCGCATACCCTCCTCCTTGCTCACTGCAGTTTGACGTGGGACCTGGACTCGGCCTCCTTTCCACGCTGCCACATCCAGCCACCGATGACTAACCCTTTCCCCAGCCTCTCCCCCCTCGCCACAGTAATCACAATGCACACAGTACGTGGCAGTGTTTGCAGGGCTCCAACTCTTTGCCTCCATTATTTTTCCATAAATGTTGAGAGGACAGGCCGACGTGTGTTTGGCAAAGCCGAGCCGTTGCCATGGCAGCCCCTCGGCTAAACAGCAACGGCTGTGGTTTGTGGCGACCGCGTCCATGGGATGGGGCGAGGATCATTGTGGCCTATGAGTCATATAGACCCAGGTCTTTCCCGTTCCTATCTGGGCTACATCCTTTATCTAAAAATAGACCACATTTTTTTTTATTTGAGTGCGTGAAGGAAACTGTAGTAACTCAACTCCACTCAGCCCTTAAGTTATAAAGCGAAATGGACGTCTGTTTGGTGGGACATCCTGTAGACGTTCATAAACACTTTTAGGAAGATGAAACTTAACACCTCAGTCTTTGCAGGAACACCAAAAAGGAGTCTGATTTGGCCGCAGCGCTGCAGAGGCTCAAAGACCTGGAGGCTCTGCTGAACTCCAAGGATGCGTCGCTGACGACGGCTCTGGGCGAGAAACGAAGCCTCGACGTGGAGAACAGGGACCTGAAGGCGCAGGTCGCCAAGGTGCAGTCAGACCCACGCTCAACTTATGGCTCCGCGGAAACACATCTGGGGTCAATCTTTCTCTCATGAGTCGGCCTACGAGCTCACCAGCTCTTCGTTTGTGCCTCACGCCCCTGCTTTTTTTTCTACTCTGTGATCGTCAATGTTAGCTTTTTTAACCACTATCTTACTTTATTTGGAAGTTTCTCTAGTGTAGTTTTAAGTAAAAGGAAAAGATAGTATTCTGGTTATCTTTGCCTTCATGGCCGCTGGAGCTCAGATATTTTTGATTAAAGAACAGCCTCTCGACTCCTGGAGAATATACTGATCCTGTTCTGCTGTCACAGCTGGATACCAGTTTGGCCGATGCCAAAAAGCAGCTGCAAGACGAGATGCTGAGGAGGGTGGACGGAGAGAATCGCATCCAGACCCTCAAGGAGGAGCTGGAGTTTTCGAGGAACCTCCACTCTGAGGTCAGACTCCCTGAGAAATGTTCTCCTTCAACTTAAATGTGTATCACATCAGCTTTGGGTCAAGTCGTTTGTGTGATTCTCCAACAGGAACTGCGGGAGACCAAGCGGCGTCACGAGTCTCGTGTGGTTGAGATGGACAACGGCCACCTGCAGGACTTTGAAAGTAAGCTGGCCGAGGCGCTGACGGATATGCGGAGCCAACACGAACTGCAGATCAAAATGTACAAAGAGGAGATTGAGAAGACCTACAACTCAAAGGTAGACGATCGGTTTTAAAACAAACTGCTCCGATGAAGCGGAGCTAGATCCGCACTACAATTTGGTTTCGTCGTTTCTTTGTGGCAGCTGGAAAATGCTCGTCAGTCCGCGGACAGAAGCAGCCACCTGGTCGGGGAAGCACACGAGGAGCTGCAGCAGACTCGGATCCGCCTGGAGTCCATGTCCAGTCAGCTCAGCCAGCTGCAGAAACAGGTGACCTGAAGAAAAAAACGATCACACAGTTCTTATAGTGACTTGTGCAAGATGATGGTATGCCCAAGCCGTGTTTCAGATCTGGAAATAACTGTCTTATCCTTCTGTCCGGCCCAGCTGGCGGCCCGCGAGGCGAAGCTCAGGGACCTGGAGGATGCCCTGTCTCGGGAGCGAGACACCACCCGCCACCTGCTGGGGGAGAAAGACAGGGAGATGGCCGAGATGAGGCAGCGAATGCAACAGCAGCTGGATGAGTACCAGGAGCTCCTGGACGTCAAGCTGGCTCTGGATATGGAGATATGTGCGTACAGGAAGCTGCTGGAGGGAGAGGAGCAGAGGTATGATGTCCAACAAGAGTCTCGCCGTTCGTCTGTGCTACAGAGTTGTCAGACATCTTCTCCTCATCTCACACTGTCGTGTTTGTCCTCCTAGGCTGCGTCTCTCCCCCAGCCCTCCGCCCGCCAAAATGGCGGGGAGTCGCTCGTCGACCTCAGGGGTCCAGTCTCGCTCGGTCCACTACGGCGGTCAAAGCACTCCAGCAAAGAGGCGCCGCCCCAACGACACCGACAGCGAGGCCTCGAGCATCGCAGGCGGAGCCGTCGCTCGCACTCGCATCGCCCAGCAGGCCTCGGCCAGCGGGCGGGTCACCGTGGACGAGGTGGACATGGACGGGAAATACGTCAAACTCAGCAACAAATCGGACGAGGTGAGATGCTAAGATCCGATCAGTCACAATTGCACACTGACTTTTCAAAATACGAGTAGTTTCCTCATGTTGTCACTGGAGGCCAAATCAGACTCGGAGAATGATGCTCGGATGATTCGATACGCTGACTTTTTATGCAACTCACCAGGATCAGAATATGGGGAATTGGCAGGTGAAGCGACAGGTGGGGTCCGGAGCTCCGATCATCTTCAAGTTCCCCGTAAAATTCACCCTGAAAGGCGGCCAGAGGGTCACGGTGAGCGGCACTCAGCACAATCACACCACAAAGACAGTGACAGGTCACTCAGCCTGAATTGTACCTTTGACCCGGCTGACAGATCTGGGCATCTGGTGCTGGTGGAACCCACAGTCCTCCCTCTGACCTGGTGTGGAAGACTCAGCCCTCCTGGGGCACCGGAGACCAGTTCCAGACCACCCTGATCAGCGCCAACGGAGAGGTGTGTTGACTCGTGGTACTTTTTGTACCTTAAGTCTTCATACGTTGTATTTTACACTGAGCTTTTTCCTCCAGGAAATGGCAATGAGGAAGGTCACTCGCACACAGTTTGAAGAAGAAGAGGACGACATGGTAGGAGAATTCTGCATCCCCTGAATATATCCCGTCTGCTTTTTTCAAAATAAAACCATCCCGCCTGAGTGTTTTGGGGCATTTTTCCGTCAAGCGTGCCTTCAGAATGTGTTCTCCTGAAACGCTCCAACACTAACGCCCGACCTCAGCAGGTGGCTCACAGCACCTGTGGAGACGGAGAGTACAACCTGCGCAGCCGGACGGTGGTCTGCGGCTCCTGCGGACTTCTTTCCGATAAACCTGGGGGCAACTGCTCCGTGAGCTCGGCCTCCCGCTCCTTCCGCAGCGGAGGGATCTCTGAGGGTCTACTGCCTCACTCCTACGTGTTCAGCTCCAGCACCCCTCGCAAGGTGGGCACCGTAGCAGCAGTGTTTCATTGACCGTTTCAAATTGATTCAGATGATGTTAACTGTGTCGATCTTTCCTCTTAGACGGGAGCCAGAATGGAGAAGTGTCCAATTATGTGAGCCACCTGGATCCACGCTGAAACAACTCCTTCAGTGTTTAATTGTTATACGTATTTAGTGACTAGTTTTAGTTATTAAGTTCAGTTAACTCCTTTAGGAATCATTTACAATTACTGTATGCAACACAACTTTATACTGCTTTTTTCTAATGTAAATAGGCATTTTTATGAAATATTTTCTGGAATATGTAAGGTGATTAAAAAAGTAAAGTGACAGATAAAATCACACTTTCTCATGGCAATATCCTAGTTAGATCTGATGTACACTCTGTGAACGTAAACATGCAGCAGGCTTGCAGTATTCATGTATGTTTACTTATTTAGATTTTTTGTTTCATTAGAACCAGCTTCTAAAGTTTCTTGTTACGAATCTGCAGAATGTGGTGTGTTGTTTTGCTGATGTTGATAAGCATGTTTTTCAGAACCTGCCTTCTTCCACAATAATGATGTGATAGACAAAGTACTTTGCAGTCTTACAAAAGTACAAAAATATTAAGATGGACGGGCTGTTTTAATTGTGGGATTAAATATATGTGATAAACTGTCTGTAATTCTTTTTTTATTTAATTGGTCCTCATAAAACGTAGATATTTGATATTTTGCAGCTGTCTATTTAAATCAAAATTTAATCAACCCAAGGAAAGGGTTTACTTCAGAATATAGGTCTCACACACAGGAGCCTTGGTATTGAAACAACGGAAAGTTAATATCATATTTATAAAATACACATCATAATAGTGTGCAAATAAACCAGCATTTCTTAAAACATTTTATACATATAGTTATAGTTACCTCGAGGGAGCTTTCTCCTGTATTTAAAACATCTAATTTATTTTCAGATTAATTTGTTAGCTACAATAAATTGTTGCCTTCGTGTCGATTCAATAAACATAAATTTACAAAATTACAACGTAAAAACAATACAACACGCTGAAATTGGTCATTCTGTGTGATAGTCCACTGGTGTTTTACACGCAATTTAAGAGCAAAAAATAACAACTCATTTTCACTTTACCCAGTAACAAGTAATCCGGGCTTTTCTGTAGTATTTCTACCTCTACTTAACGTTAAATAAATATGTAAATTCGGTCTCCATGTCTATTCCTGCTTAAAACAACATTTAATACCCCGCACGTGTTTTCCTACAGATGAGACTTTTATTTTGAAATCAGACCCGTGTTTACCTCATTTCAAACCCGGAAGTGAGAGACACCGTTGGTCCACAAGTGCCGTCGCACCGTGTCCTGCCTTTTTTATCCGTGCAGTATTGATCCGTAAGTTGTGGCGTAGCATCGTTGCACGTGAAGTTGTTTAAAGAACGGCCTGCTGTCATTTGGTGAGTGTCATCGATAAAGTGTCTATTAGACAGTCGAGCTCCAGCAAACCAGCAACCGGGACCCCGCTCCTCTTACGCGGGGACAGATGACGTCACATGTGTGCACACTGTAGAGCCCACTGAGGCACATTTGCGGTTTGGTGCTATAGAAAATGAATTGAATAATCATGGCGCAATCTAACACCGCTGCAATGTTGATTAACACAAATGTTGATGTGTCTTTTCTTACAAATTAAATACCAAATGTAGGCCTAATATTTATGCATTTATAGACCGTCTTTAATGTTAAATATAAAAGACAACTATGTTGTTTACAATTTCCCAAAGCTCAACTTGACCTCTTTTAATAAGAATGTAGGTCAAGTCTGAACGCAGCCTGTAGGCGTCGTGTCTCACAGGCTCCACAGTTCCACTTTAATCCGCCCGTGAAGTCATGGGATCCATGTGGGACTTCCTTCAGTTCGCGGTACGTCGCTGCGTTCCCTTCTGTCCCAGCAGTTTGGATCACCTGGATGTTGAGTGCGCGGGCTCTGCTTGGGATCGGCTTCCTGGTGACCTCAAGGGCCGCGTCCGTCCTCGCTCAGACGGGGACATGTGCGCTGTCTGCTGCAGCTAACAACCACAAGAAGGACTGTTTCACTAGCAGACCAGCATCCACCATGGCCAAGACCATCAAATACCTTGGGTACTATTTTACATCTTGTGTGTGTGCGCGTGCGAATCGACTGTCCACACTGACCCGTTGATGCTCCCCGCAGGCAGGAGGAGGCTCAGCACATTGATGAGGAGCTCTTCAGTGAGTACGGCTTCAGTGTGGACCAGCTGATGGAGCTGGCTGGACTCAGCTGTGCCACGGCCATCGCCAGGGTGAGATGTCCATCTGGGCTCTTATTTAGAATTTAAAAAATGTGTGTTACCTGGAGAACCGGGTTAACAATGAAGGTTTAGTTTTGTTCAGTTTTCTTTCTTCCTGACAGGCTTATCCAATCACCTCCCTGGTCAAAGCCAGACCTTCTCTGCTGGTGATTTGTGGACCTGGTAACAACGGAGGTGACGGCCTGGTCTGTGCACGCCATCTTAAACTCTTTGTGAGTGCCCTTAACTTGAGGGACGCTGGGTAAGAGAGGTTTTCCAAGGCTCAGAAACACTCGCTTTTGTCCAAAGGAACCACACAAAATGTTTGCAAAGTAACGATCGGAGGGTTGAATGGTTTGGCCGGTTTCTGACTGCAGGTGGTTAAGTAGTGCTCACAGAAGAGCCTTGAAGGACAACCAGATCCTTAGTAGCAGCTTTGAGCCACGCCCAAGACATCACACGCCCCTTGAACCCTTTATAAACCTGGTGATTAACATTGACGAGTCTAACTTGTGTCTGTCAACTCTTCTCGTCCTGGAGGGTTACGAGCCCACCATCTTGTACCCGAAGAGGCCAAACAAGCCTCTGTTCCAGGGCCTGACCACGCAGTGCCAGAAAATGGAGATCCCCTTCCTGACTGAGATGCCTGAGGTATTACAGCAGGGGGCAAAGACCCTTCATTGTGTTCAGGAGTGGGCATTTAATATGCAGCTACTCTATTCCTCCCGTAGCCCAATGAGGCTGCACTTCGCTGTGGGGGAAGTAGGGCTGGCGACTGTACTGCAGAAGACGAAAAACGCCTGCCGTGCTCTCGATGACGAATGAGGCAGAATCATTTACTTGTGTTTCCAATGTGCACATCTGCAACATACGAACAATGACATTGATTTCTCAGGCCGCAGTGATCGACGAGGCTTACAACCTGGTGATAGACGCCATTTTCGGCTTCAGCTTCAAGGGCGAGGTGCGAGAGCCTTTTGGGTCCATCCTGGACTTGCTGAAGAAGATGACGGTCCCCGTCGCGAGCATCGACATCCCCTCAGGTCAGTCCTCACTCGCCGCACAACATGGACTTCCCCATGAATCGAAACGTAATCCCGTAATTGGGTAGAATTCCCTATTATGTTGAAATACACAAAATTTAGAAAGTTCAAAATGTACATGCTAGGATATCAAATTATTGCTTTGGATGAATCGGTTATTTGGCAAGTCCAGTTGGTTTTTATATGGTCGTTCATCAGTCTGTGACCATTGTAGAATACATCAAAAATATTGGCTGGATTTGCATAAAATGCTAATGCTCCAGAAAGGAAGAACCCTGTTGCTTTCAGTGGCCCGCTCACTTCTCCTGTAGTGCGATCATTAGACCACGGCCAAAGACTAAAAACCGGGATCTTGATAGTCACTTCTTCTCCCGCGTAGAAGCGGAAGCCTGGACTGGGTTTCTATAATCCTCTTCGTTTTTGTCATTATGTTTCCTAGGTTGGGATGTGGAGCAAGGCAGCGCAGACGGACTGCAGCCCGACATGCTCATCTCCCTCACTGCTCCCAAGAAGTCCGCCCGCTTCTTCAGAGGACGATACCACTTCCTGGGAGGCCGCTTTGTGCCACCGGGCCTGGAGAGGAAGTACCAGCTCAACCTGCCCCAGTACCCCGGCCTGGACTGTGTGTTAAAGCTGTAGATGAGGACGCGCTGAGGAGGAGAGTCGCCCGGGAGCTTTTAACGCTCACCAGTTAACACGTAGCTGGTTTGCGGTTACTTTGACCCTCACAGATATGTAAACGTGTGTATCTTCTCATGTTGTGGTGTTCTAACTCCAGCATGAGGACGGTGTCTTGTCGAACCTTTGGAGACAAATCAAATAAATGAAAATAATTTAATGGCTGTACGTCCAATATGGTGTTTAAAATTTGAGCTTCATTAACTCTTGAGAACTCTTTGTTCATGTGAAAACACAACGCTTTAACACGGTGGTTGCCTTAGAGACGCACAACAGAGAAATTGATTGGCGGTTGCCTGAGTTATCGTTTCTCACGTGAATCGGGTATCATGTGAACTTTTCATTTTTTATTAGTACATTTTAAGTTTTCATTGAATGTACAACTAGCAACTGTAAGTACAGTCCGTCATAGTTCATCACCTTCTGTTTTATTTAATCAAATTTCCATACATGTAGTGTGTGTTGCATTATTCATACATCGGTTGGTGATGATTCAGTAAAAACCTCTTTGACAATCAGCCTTGTGAAGTGCAAGAGACGCCCATAATACCACTTACGTCAAATATAAATGTGAGACTACATATACTTAAAGAAATAATGTATGTACGATGTATGCCGTCGACAACGTGGCTCATGAATGCATAATGGACTTCTGGAAAAAGTGCAGAACATGCTTTTGCGGCGCAGAAGACTAAATACGGTGCTGGCACCATGCTCTCCTTGTACATCATCTCCATGGGGGAGCTTTGTCAGGGAAAAAGGGAACTAAAGGCTTGTTATGAAGAGGAGTTTGCTCCCAAAGGTGTCCACATGCAGGTCAGACGGTGGAAGGATGTTTTTAGTCCACGTTGGAAGCCTGAAGATAAAGACAACATTTATTGAAGGATTTCGAAGCACAGATTCAAATTTACCAGTTTATGCTGCTGACTTTTGTGGGATACTTTTGAGAAATCTACAACCAAATCCCCCTTTTCATTTAACAAATGAAGCAAAACATTGAGTATTAATTGACACAAAAAAAATCTGAATTTGTTATATATTTATCATCAATTAATTTAACTTCATACTAAGCATGAGATAGTGTATGTTCAAATATATTCCTTGCATAGTAAAGTTAAAGCTGAAGAAGCTAAATCATAAAACCATTGACCTGATTAAAGAACAAGTTGATGACACGGCTTTGCTGGAACCAAATGACAAAGTTTCATATCCAGTTCTGGAAAGCAGTTTATGGGAATAATTGTTTCACAAACGTACCTGTGCTATTCTCCGACCTGCACCCCTGCACAGTTATCTTTACCTTCCGAGGCGATCGCTAAGTATTCAGCATTGCTATAAGGAGAAAGAGAATAAAACAATGTTGTGAAACGATGTGAAACGTTTAAGTTTAGCACAGTCAAATGGGTGAAAAATATAAAGAACAAACAAACGTCACAACTGAGACCGATTTTTGTTCCTTTTTTGACTTACAGGAGGAAGGTTTTGGGTTTTACTATTGAGGAGGATGACACGATGGGACGGACAAGACGAAAAACATGACCAACAGTCAGAAAAGGGGAGTGTGAGACAAAGAGACACACAAGTGAAAAGACACAAACTAGATGGAAACATTGATGTTCTTCAAAATAAGTTCTGTAAGAGACCGGGTATAAAGTAAAGGCAGTATTCATTCAGAAATGCACATTTCAAAGCGAGCATTTTTCTATATCCTGTTCATATTCTTTTGTACTTTATTTACTGCAGAGATTGATGGGGAGCAAGCGAGCACACTTTCAGTTAAGCAGGCGGTTATCCCTTAAATCCAACAGGACAGTAGCTTAACGTGTACTCAAACAAAAAGTCGCTCCTTTTTGAAGAAAAGTGGAGTGCTGCAAGAATGGAAACTGGCATCGCTCTGGTTTCCTTCCCATTAAGCTAATACGATCGCAAAGCTTTCTAATGCAAATGTTTTGCATCAAAGTCCACAGGAACATTTTGGCAGATTCACATGAAACAGTCGTGAAACCGGGTCTTATTCCAGTTGTGTGTTGTTTCAAACTTTACATGCATTAGAGCCCAAACAATATATCAGTATATATCAGGTAACAGTAAATTGCAGTATGGAAGTGCTTAGAATGTATTTGAGCTTATTTAAATAAAGTGCTTCCATTCTATAGCGGCTCAGTAGGTTAGCTTCAGATTTAAATAAACGTAGCCTGCGTTTTGTGTTTATGCCGGAATATATTGTTTCTGCTCTGCTCAAATATCAATGAGGGTATTTGCTTTAAAAACCCTGCACTTTGAGCAAAACAACACATGTACTTGTATAAGGTTTCAATGTTAATCTGGATAAAAACCTTGCATCTCCAAAGTGTCTGCTTTTCAAGAACTGACCATTGCACCACAGCAACGTTTAGCTACTTTTATGTGCATTAATCAGATCAGATTAATCCTATGTATAATGAAACTAAAATCGTTACAAGGTTTTCAAACGTTGGGAGTTTAACACTTGCAGAAAGTCTGCAAGAAAAACGACTTACGCTGCTTCTCGTAAGGCTTCTTCCCCAGCTGCAGATATTTTCCGGTAGCAGTATATCATCTCTATGAGGAGCCAGACCTGCAGGCCGATGATGGACACGTACATCATGACCTCGGACACGATGGACGCCGTTCCTCTGGTGGCTGCCGACATGAACAACACCAAACAACTGAAACATTCAGGCCTTATTGGGAAAGTTCTGATAAACACATGAAGGTACTTCCTCTCATAAGAGGAAGTTTGAAGACGTTATGCAGCTGACATCTTAACAGAAGGCTGTCTGGTCAAAAATGTCTTCTTCCTGATTTCTTATTGGTCAAGGTTTCGCTCTGGGGGAATCTATATATCTTAATCTCTATCGGGGTAAATCCTGAACGCACAAACTCCATTCGTCGGACAGCGGAGCGCCTACCTTTGGCGACCACGGTGAGGTGGACCACCTTGCTGATGACGGTGCTGTACTCGTAGTTGTCGTAGAAGAGGATGCGGTTGAAGAAGCATTGGTAGGTGCCCGAGTCATTGAAGGTGACATTGAGCAGGTATATGGACGCGTCTTGGATGTCGTTGCTCCTCTTGCTTCCGTTCCAATCTATGCGGTCCATGAAGTTGTCGCTCTCGACGTTTTGGCCTTCCTCTGTGTAGGTGTAGATCTGGTGCCACGGAGACATCAGGGATCGTCAAAAACGATAAAAACAGTCAGCGAACGAGAGATACAAAAAGCTACACAGTAGGTCTTTAGTGCTAGGGTGATGACAATTAGACAGCAAAAGATACACAATTTCAAAAGGAAGAAGCAAAAGCGCCACTTTCCTATAACATCATATTCAGCAGTCTGAAAAGTCTGTAACTATCCTCATGCACCCATCTGTTCACAAAATGCATAAACTATAATATACTATGTTGGACTGGATTTCCAGATAATGCTGTGCTGAAGCACATATGAAGCTGATGTATGTTATCGCACTCAGTGGCCAACTGAGGACAAGGTCAACGAGGCTGCGTGTCATCAGCTTTAATGATCCCTGTGGTGTAAAATATAATGATTGATTGCTTCTGACCCTCACCGTGACCTTGTGATGGGGAGGACGCGTGTGGGAGAGAAGGGTGTGGACGGTCCAGCATACATGCATAAAAAGCTTGTGTCTTAAGGAAAGTGGCCTGTAGGACAGGATGCTAAACTCTTTCGGCCACAACAGCGCTTCACGCTCCACAATCATTTACATTTCGGGGCCGGTACCAGACGAATACGTCCTCAGGCGGATGATTTGCACACTCACGCGATAAAAGTCAGCCTCCCCTTTGCCCCTGAAGTGCCATTCGACGGTGGCGGTCGCCTGCACCTCGCTCCTCCTCTTGCAGGAGAGGCAGCCCAGTTTGAAGCCTTGGCCCGCGACCGCCTCGGTGTCAGAGTCCGGCTCTGCACAGGCCCCACGGCAGTGTGCTGCGAAAACCAGGACAAACGCTCACGCCTGTGGCTGAACATGCTGCAACAACACATCACGGAGGCTGTAGGTGGACTCACCCAACGAGCAGCAGAGGAGAGTAATGAGAATCACGTGCAACATCCCCATGTTCACCGGATGTTGGAGGGGCTGTTTATGTGACGAAGGACCAACTATGGCAGCAGCGCTCCTGGACTGGAGCTACAAAGGACTTGTTTAAAATGGAGTGATTGTCATGACACTTAGTAATCAAGAAATTTGCAATGATTCTCTTGCTGTACTTAAGAGGACTGGGTGAAATGTTTCACGAGCTACTGTATCAGCTAAACATGCATTGCTAAGTGCAACATGTACCAGGCCTTCCCTGCATGGCTAAATCTGTTTAGGATGTCTTGAACACCCTATTGCTTTTTGTTCACAAATGACTGATGCTTTTCGGTTTCCTTTTCTGCTTTCAATTAATCCAGCAGCACATGAAACAATCCGGATATCTGACACACAGTGTTCACCCAGATCATCACCGTGAGATTTCATTGTCTTCTTTCACATGAGGTCTTACAGTGAGTTTACATCATTTGCAACACGAAGGCTGCGGGCTAGACGTCTGCAAAACCTTTATAATTAATGCTCTTCGATCACAAATGTAAAGGCTACGCGCTGCCGTGCAGGCCTGTTAAATACACACCGATTTGATGGCCAATTATTATCCCTGATCGGATCACCAAAATCGGAGCTCACGGTCCTCCTCAGAGCAGAAGATGGAAAAACGATTAAAAACCCCGTCCTCCTCTGCGGTGACAGCTGAGTGATGGAGACGCTGCGATCTACTGGCCCCCGCGCACGCAGAAGAGATGCTTCGCTCGCCAAGGCATTGCGGACAAAACTGCGCGAGGGCATGAAAAGACGCTAAAAAAACAGAAGGCTCATCTATCAGATGCGTGCGATCCCCGGTAACGGTGAGGGTTTTTCTTCCTGCGCCACAGCGGCACCTGCGTCGCTCGGATCACAGCAAAGCTGCAGATGCACTGCGGTAAAAGAAGGGGAAAGGCGGCCGTGCGCGTGCGGCGGAGCGGATGCAGTGTGTGATGACTGGTTGGGCTCCTGTCCTGCTGTTTTTTTTCATTTATATACACAAAACAAGCTCTGCTCTGTTCGCGGGGCCACTGCAGGGGCCTCAACTGGCGTTTATAGCGCGTTTAATTTGCAACAAAGGGCTCTAACAGCTGGGGTAGTTGACGTTGAGGCGAACTGGCCCTTTAAGGGAGCTCCGGGGGGGGGCGTGGCCAGTCACTCTAATGATGGCGTCGTTCTGTCAACATCGATGGCCACGTCACTTCGTATCAGTCAATAACTTTCGATAACTTTCCACACTGTGGCTTCGGTTATTTTAATAATAATAATTGGATCTTTCCTGCCAGTATGATGACACCAAACACCCCCTCGCGTTGTGTTGAGGAGCGCTGACGCTGCTTTGTCAACCAGCTAGCATCAGCTGGTTGACGCTGCTAGCATTCACGAGCTCGCTTTCATTGTTATTACACAACGATCGAGGGTAATTTAATTCGTATCCGGACTTCACGGACGTTGATGATGTGCTGCAAATAGCCAGCGGCGCGCTCTATACAAGTGAACAAAAGCTCTGCTTACCGACATAGCAAAGGTACAGTACACCAAGCTGACTAATTAGCTCGCTAGCTAGCCTGCAAGCTAACCAGGGAGTGCTGGTCAGATAACTTTACGCAGGAAGGAGTGTACATATATTATTATTAGCAGACTACACGTCAATAATAGTGTTTTTCATATGCGACTGTTTCTGTGACGCACCGTGTTATTGTTTACGGTAGCTGACAGTAACGAGCTAACGTTACAATGGCTGTGATCAGGTCAGATGAAGGCTCACTTATCAATATCCTTATTGACAGTCCTCCCACTTTAATGTGAGGATGGGGCTGAAACGATAATGTATTATGTTAAACGTTGGCTATGGTCTATTGACACGTAATTAAAACGTAATTTAAAATGCAATCATTTAAAAAAGTGATACATTAATTGAGATTTGTTTTCCTGCTTCTCAGTCGTGAGAATTTACTGCTTTTATATTGTTTGACTGTGAGAATGATTTGACATACTGTTTGTATTAATTGGGAAAACAAGTCATTTGATTATACTTGTTTGGCCCTAAAAACAATTCGGACCCCACAGAATATAAAACATGCACATAAGACAATCTAAAGCAGTAAACGTTCACATCCGCGAGGCAGATCCCAGTACATGTTGGTTTAGTTCTTTCCTTTTTATGATAATCCCTAAGAACCTTCTCTTGATCAACCAAAGTATTACATGACTAATTATTACAGCTCTGCTGGATTGTAATTTGTTACATTCACCTAACTAAGAATCCCGCAATGTATGGTCTCTATCAAAAAAGTCCAGCTCGGTTTATAATCATCAACACATTGTAATTAAAACTTTCCTCGATACAAAGGGCACGTTCCTTCAAAAAATGTGACCGGCAATAAATAAACTGCAAACAAATGAATTGCATAAAATATTATAAATAACAGTTTTGTCCTGTGTAATGTTTTGTCGTTCTCCGTAGGCTTGTTAGAACATGGATGCCCCCTGCAGTGCGTCTGCAGCTCCAGCTGGCTTGACTGTGCAGGTGTGCTTCCCCGGCGCCCGCGCTGCCGTCCTGGACAATCTCAACCGCCAGCGGGAGGAAGGCCGGCTGTGTGACCTCTCCATCCAGGTGCAGGGGCGAGTGTTTCGGGCCCACCGCTGTGTGCTCGCTGCGTCCTCGCCTTACTTCCACGACCAGGTGGGACGGGGCGGATCAGACTCATCCGTTTCCGACGAGGCGTCGCCGCTTTCCCTCCACCCCAATGTTTCAAAACGTCTTCTCTTCTATCTCTGGACAGGTGCTGCTGAAGAATGTCACGACCGTTTCTCTACCTTCGGTCATGGACCCGGTGGCCTTTGAGAGTGTCCTGAGCTCGGCCTACACTGGCCAGCTGAGCATCGTGCATGAGGACATCGTGAATTACGTCACCGTGGCCAGCTTCCTCCAGATGTGGCACATCGTGGACAAGTGCACGGAGATCCTGAAGAGGCCTCGGCCCTCGGCGGACGTCGGCCCCGGGGAGGCCGCCGCCGCCCCGGCCCACCCCGGCACCGCGTCCCGCCAGCAGTCCCCGAGCAGCACCGACTGCTTGTACCTGGAACGGGAGGGAAGAAGGAAGGAGAGGAAGCCGGACGCCCTGCCCCCCTTAGCAACGTGGAGACGTCCGCAGCAGTTCCCCAGGTGGGGGCGGACGCGGTCCTCGTCGGCCCAACACTCAGCCGACTCCCAGCTGGACACGCTGGCCGGCTGCGCGGCGAGTGATTACGGCAACTGCGAGGAGGCGTGGGCGCCCGGCCACACCAAAAGCAGCCACTTTGCTCACGACGGGCCGGGCAACAACGGCGGGAGCCGGTACCACGGGGGGCTCCCCGGTGGCGAGGCATTCAAACAGAAGGTCCGGTTTCAACAGCGGGGCGTGGCGCCCGGCAGCGGCAGACTGCTCGATAAGAATCGAGAGGGCGGAGACAGTGATGAGACGCAAGAGAAGAGGAGGAGGGAGAAAAGAGAAATCGAAGCCGACGAAGGAGTTGGAGAAGCAGCCGCGGAGAAGAAGGCGGGCTTTGTGCAAATGGGGCACTGCGGTACGATGCAAAAGCCACGTTTCACTTTAACCAGGAATAATATTTCGAACATACATATAATTGTGGGAAAGAAGGTCTTTTCTTAGAAGAAATGTCAAATTATTTAGAAGTTGGTCCCTACGGCAACTAGCAGACTTCATACAGTACCAACAATGGATTAAAGTCGATATCATCACAAATATAGTACATTGATATCAGGGATACAGAATTAACGTTCCTTAACTTAAGTTTAATTAATTAAACGAGCCAAAGTCTTAATAATTGATCAATTACTAATTAGTTGTTTCTAATTATTAATAAAAAAAACCCTACATTTTTTAAATCAAAAAGAAAAAAATCAACCAAGAATTGAAATCAGAGATTCTGATATTTACATTTCATCCAAAGCTGCCTAATACAAGGTATAGAAATGAGTTCCACAGCCTTAGAGTGTCTGTTCTTTATGTGCAGGGTCACTGATTACCTCTCCTTGTAGGTGGACTTGATTTGATCTTGTTTTTACATTTATTCTGCAGACTTCCGCCCATTTTCAGATGAGAGTGTAGGCCAAGCCGCGGGGAAGGCCAGGGTGGAGGAGATGAAGGATAAGGTGCACAGAGGTTTGGCAGGAAGAGACCTCCCCTCTGACCCGCCCGGCGCTCACGCTTACCAATCCGCTGAAGGAGTTCCGGGCTCCGCCTGTCCGGTGTCGGCCCGGCTGCAGTGGCAGACGGGCCCCTGGTCCCAACAAGAGCAGAGGCCGCAGGACGGAGAGGGTGGCAGCTGCAGTAAAGACGAGGACGAAGACGAGGAGGAGGAGGAGGAGGGGGAGGAGGGGGACGCGGACTTTGAGTGCTTCACAGAAGGGGCGGTTGGCCGAGGCACATACAGCGAGATCGAAGATGGCACGGGGCAGGTCTCCCAGAGGCCTTTAGTGCCTGCGTCCCCCGACTTCACCACGGGAGGGTCAGAGGTCAACTGGCCCTCCACCAGCGCGGTACAGGGTGGCACGGCAACCCCCGCCTCACGCCGCCACTCGTCTCCACCGTCTGCGTTTCCACCGCCCTCCTCGCCGCCGACTCCGTCCTCGTCCTCCTCGGTGTCCCTCGCCGGCGCCCCCTACACGGGCAAAGTCCACTTCTGCCACTGCGGCAAGGCCTACACCCTGAAGAGCATGCGCGACCGCCACGTGAAGATGCAGCACCTCAACCTACGGCCCTTCGGCTGCCCCGTTTGCACAAAGTCCTTCAAGATGAAGCACCATCTGACCAAGCACCTCAAGACTCACGGAGGGCTGCGGCCCTACGAGTGCGGCCTCTGCGGGAAGAAGGTCATTTGGAGGGACAGCTTCCTCAGGCACCAGGCCCGATGCGAGCAACTGGCCTCCAGCTCCTCGGCCAACGGCGAGGACGCGAGCGCACCCGCGGCGGGCATCGACGGCGGCTTCGCTTACGAATTCGAAGAGGGCGAGGCTTTTCTGGCGCCGGGAGGACAGGTGAAGGTGGAGGAGGCGGATTTTCACGGGGAGATGGAGGAGGGGATGCGCGGCCTCCTGGGCAGCGTGTCTGGGATGGTGGACGAGCTGAGAACTCAGTCCCCAAACCCGGACGGCGGTAGTCATGTTTTTAAAGAGGAGAGCTTCGGCGGTAATTAACACAAATACACGCTGACGTGGCGACTTCATCCGACACAAAGTCATTGGCGGCTCGATGGGCGGCGGCTTTTGTTCCATACTTTTTTTTTTTTGTCTGCACTTTTCATGCCGCGAATTATATAATAATGTGTTTAGCAATTCTGTGCTTTCATCAAGTGGTCCCATTTCAATTGTTCAGTGCCACATTCTTGTTAAGTGATGCTGTCAGCTGTACATCTGTGTTGTGAATATACTTTTTTACTAATACATTAGGATAATAAATGTGTTGTGCGACACATTTGTGTCTCTTTACACAAAGTCTTGACTCAGAAAATTGATGGTTATTCAAGAACTTTTTTTTATTATGGGTTATTATAGCTGAGGCCTATTCGTTAACACCAAAAGTCCTTTAAAAGTGCCGTGGCTCATTCTAGAAGAGTCTGGCTCACACCTGACGGTTCCTTTGCAGCACAATGGTGAAGCACCAGAGGTCTCTCTTGCTCAACGCTACAGAACCCGTCACGATGCATTTTGTACACCATGTGAAGAAAGTATCCTCCATTAATTCCATGAACGTTCCAGATATCTTTCAAGATGACAAGCCAATAAATGGGACTCATTTAAAGTAAAGAGGTGCATTGGTATTGCATACAGCACGGCTCTTATTTGTAGCCAGTTAAATTAGGCCAATTTAGTTCACTTTATTCTATCAAAGTTTTTTTTCCCACATATGAGTTTCTGTGGCCATTCAGGCGAGGGACAAACTCTACTCTCCTGGTACATTTAGTTCATGCTAAAATGCGTCGAGTGCAGGGAAACTGCCAGTGTGATGCAGATTTCTCGCCACAGGGCCGATTATCGCAGGAACATCGTATGCAGATGGAGCTCCTTGCTAATTGGGAAGTTAGCGGCAGCTGTCCTTGAAAAGTTCTACCTCAGCATTATTTCCAATGATGGGAGACGTTGTTTTTGTCCCACCTCTCTGGGCATCTTTCCTTTTCAGTGTTCAATTAACTGTGGGACAAAATGTACACCTGGACGTAATTGAAATCAGGGTTTTTTTTCAGTTCGCACACAGTTCAACGCTTTGATACCTGGATCTCCGTCTGAGGTGGATGATTGGCCTCCAGGTGGTTTCACTTATGGATCATGGGTTGATTTTTGGGGCTAATGCGTTCATGCTTTCTTTTCCCACTTTAGTTATTAAGCTGCTCAGTGAACCTTGAAAGTGTTTGGCCATGTCTGCTATCGTCATGGTTACAAACAGCAGGGGGCCCTTAATCGGGTCGCAGTATTTCTTGTTACACGTCTTGTACTGAGTCCATCCATTCTAAATGTACATGGATCAGTTGTTCATTTTAAGAAAGGGGAATGTGCCACTTTGGATTGAATGGAATAAACAAATTTGTGCAGTGTTTGTAGTCTTAATGCTAAGCTAAGCTCAGCTAATAGTTTTCTTGCTGCAGCTAAAGCTAACTAAACCGCTCAAGCCGAAATAGAATAAAAGCATAAATGTGGCTCATTCAAGAGAGATCCGTAAAAAGGTAAAGAAAAGACAACAAGGCTGTCGGATTTGAAAACATTTAATAGCTGAGAGACACAATGTGTTTATTTTTAGTTAGGCTGAGCATTAAAAAGGAAACAGGACGTCAGAAAAAATACAGCCTTTACAGTTCCACTGCCCATCCTGTTAGTCAACATACAAACATGTACGAACGAGAGTGGCAATGTCATTTATTATGAACAAAACAAAATACGTGTCAGAACATTTGAATTCGACCTTCAGTACTCCTCGTCCCACCTCGGGGTCACGACCTCAAACCTTCAAACCACTTCCTGTCTCGCCATCGCATTAAACCAACCGTCATCTTCAGGATGAAACACAAAGGACGTTAAAACCTCAAACTCAATGTAAGATGCAGCCAGATAACTCACAATAAACGAGATCCATGCAGAAGCTACAACATAGGAAACAACGAGGGTTCTTTGGTTACGTAACAGTGCATTTGAAAAGGGCCTTTTTATTCATTTCATCAAACTGTACATCTGCATTAATTACACTAAAGCACGATGAAACAAAAACAGTGGCTGGCACAGTATTAAACACAATATTATAGTCCATATACTGCAGATTTCCAGTTGTGTTTTCAAATGCTTGGCGACAAACGTTTCACAGCAGCCACAGACGGACATCGCTCGGTCACACGGCGCCACTCGACTACAAAACGCACACGACGGGGAGCGAATAGGAAAAGCAAACACAGGCCGCAGACAGCTGGACACTAGCACCATGGGAGCGCCAAGCTGCAGGGGGGGGGTGGTGTTCCTTCAACGTCACCGTCCACACACACACACACACACACACGGGGGGGGGGTTGTGTTAGTGGGTTAGCGTTTCTGGAGGTTGCGAGTCCGCCGCCTGCTCCCCTCCTTCCCCTCGTCCCGCCGGGTCTGCGGCCTCGTCCTCGGCCGAGGGCTTAGAAGATGGTGCTCCAGCGTTTTGGGGGTGGACGGGACTTGGTTTCTCCCTTGGGGAGAAGAAGCAGACAGGAGGGAGGAGGAGGATGAGAGAGTCTTCTGTGGCATTCGTAACAGCAGCCTGAAGTAGTGTTGTCAGTTAGAACTGCAGAACCTTCACGAGAGATTTGATTGTCGAAAACGTCGCATTTATTGGGATTTTGAGGAGATCGTCCACATTGAAAATCTCCCCCTCGGAAAAGTCGAGGTAGAAATGAATGAACGGTTGTGAGGAAAGTTTAATATCTGGGATGTACTGCAGGTGTGGAAGTGGAATATGTCGCTCCTTAGGCTGGTTAGTTTATTACGATGATGAATGAGATGGTGAATCATTACTGTAACTGTTCACTACTCACTGGTCTCTGGTGAGAGCATCACTGTTGCATTTGGGGTCGAACACAAACAGGAGACAGTGTTTTATGAAGCCCAGTCTTACAGACAACGAGGGGGGGTGTATTTCTGTGAGACAAGTAGGGGGCGGTAAGCTCACCAGGTTGAAGATCTTGGACAGTGTGCTTTGGTCTCTGCGTCTCCTGACCGGCGACTTTGCGCTCTCGGGACGCGGGGACGAGGCCTAAAAAAAGAGGCCCCGTGAGCACAGATGGAGCCTGAAAGCCTGCTGCTCTGCCACCGCTTAACCCTCAACTCACTCCTCTTTCAAGAGGAGACACATTCGATCTCAGCAGAGCAATCAGACGTCCCACTGCTTTGACCAAAGGCCCAAAAAACACTTTAAAAATCTTATACGGGACACAATTATTTCTTTTAAATTAAAAAAAAAATCCATTGGCATTTAAAAAGTAATTAAAAATGAAGAAAATATGTGTTGTGTTGCCATCCATCCTATTCACTCAGATTGATTAAATGTTTGAATTTATAGCAGTTACTCCACGCTGACGGGGGGGGGACACACAAAACAGAACCGCTCCAGCAGTGTGAAGTGGAAGACACAGCTGTCCCGTCTGCTACTGTGAGTGTGAGACACGCGTGGAGAACCAAGACTCGGGTAACAACAACCTTCCAGGGGGGGAGACGAAAGAAAAGGAATCACAATGACGCACACAGAGGACACGCGTGACTCTTCACTGTCCAATAACGCACAGGGAGAGACACAAAGAGCCGGCAGCCAACACGGATGGACCGGTGACTCGCGCCCCGGCGCACAGGGGGTGGAGGTGTTACAGAGGAATAAGGGAGAGGGGGAGAGAGGGGGGGGGATGCAGGCCAAGAGGTCCTAAGAGAAAATGTTTACCGGTTGTGGTTCATAAAAAGTCGAGCAGTTTCAAAGTCATCCAGAGGCAGCGAGTCGCTCTGGATTGAAGCAAAGAAGAATTTATTGCAACGTCATTAATTTACCGATTAATGTGGCGATACTCTCATTCAGCGATCGACCGAATCACAGCGGTCTCCCCGTTGCAGCCGCAAAGAGGCGGCTTACTGCTGCACGCGGGTGCCGCGGAATTAGCTTTTTATGTTGGTCTTGATTTGATTTGCGCTCAGATTCAAAAGGTTTTTTCTCTTCAAGGAGGAATAGGCACAGTGTGGTGGGGGAGGCGAAGGAAGGAGGGTTAGGTCACGGGAGGTCACGGGAGGTCAGGATGCGGAGGAGGTCTCCACGGACGGATTTAAATGGGGTAAGACAATCACACACACACACACACACAAAGAGGGGAGGTCAGAAATGAGGCTTTTGTTCGATTCGAGAAGGGAAGTTGCGACGTACCAAACCCAGGGCGTCTCTCCACTGGACATGAAAAAGAAACAGACAGTGAGACGGTGAGACGAGGAACCGCGAGCGGCGTGCGGTGGGAGCAGCGTCCGCCTCCTCGCAGAATCATCCGGTCGAAGACGTTAGATGGCAAGATGAGCGGCGATGTGCTGGTATGTTAGTGGAAGATGGGTGATTTGCGCTGGCGATCACCAACACGGGTCAAGAATTTATTTCTCTTTTCTTTAATGAAAAATGCATTGAGCAAACTCACTCTGTTGACACTAAAACTCACTCTGTTGACACTAAAACTCACTCTGTTGACACTAAAACTCACTCTGTTGACACTAGGTTTGATATAAATAATTCAAATGGCTTTTGTGTGGTTCATTTGTTAAGCCCCCCGATGTACATGCCGGTGAGTTTACATTTAAAGTTAATTTTCTCTACAGCAGGGGTCTCAAACTCCGGCCCGCGGGCCACATCCGGCCCAACGGGGCGACTTTGGCGCAAACCCGCCGTCGACCGTACCGCTCGCCGGTCGGACCGTCAGGGCCGCCGCCGCCCCCGTCGACCGTAAAGGTCTGGCCCGCGTCGGGTCGAAGTGGGCGGCATCTGGCCCGCACCTGATTTGAGTTTGAGACCCCTGCACCTGCAGGATGATTCCTGAGGACGGCGACCAGCGCCATCATCTGGTGAAGATCCCAGTTGGTCATTTGGATCGCTGTGAGGCTAAAGGGTCGACTGCTCATTAGCAAATATTAGCACGCTAACACACACGATTGTGACCACGCGTTACACTGGTTTTCTGTGGACATCGAACAAAACACCAAAAACAAAACTGTAGTTGAAAGAGAGGAAGAAAAGTTCTGTCTAAAAAATGTGATCAGAAACAATGAAAGTCATCGATGCATCTTGACGCTGCACCGACACCTCTGGAGTGATCAGCAGAACAGGTATTAATGAGGTAGAAAAGGAGACTCACCCTGGATTTAGGACGAGGAGAGGACACCTGAGAGACACCGAGCAGCAACAACAACAACAGTGAATGATTGAGCTGCCGCTCTTTTGATTCAAAGTAAATTTAAGACTTTTTTTTGCCTCTTGTCTCAGAATAATACCTTTAATTCAAAGACAAACCCAATGGTTCTCAGCTGAGAAACTAAATCTCAGCTCGACTTTTCTACAACATGAAATGATTCAATGAAACAAACTCACAAAGCTCCTGAAGAAGTGAACCACAGCGTTTTCATTGGTCCGGCGGCGAGCGGAGGATTGCTGGGGTGAAGTGGCCAGGTGACCCCGGAACGAACCCTGTGAGGGTCAAAGGGAGGTCAAGTGACTGCATCTGAGTCCTTTAGAACTGCAAAGTCCCGGTGAAACGGAACATTTCAGCAGCGTACAATTACATGAGGGATTTAAATAAAATCCTGATTTTATGATGTAGTGCGAGACGCAGCTGTGGATCCGCACACCTCACGTCCCGTGAAAAGCTGAAAATCGATTCATGGACGGAAATGTCTAAATATTATTGGTTGAAATCGGTGGTTTGCATAAGTGCTGGTCATATTCTGATTTTTGCATACTTATTTAAGAATAAAAGAAAAACACAAAGACACTGAATGTGCGATGTGATCTTAAAGGGATGAAAAAAGGGATTTTTCTGTTTTTCTCGCATTAACAACCATGTTGTCTTTTCATGAATTGGTCCCTACTGCACCTCACCTCCTAATGTTATAATAACAGCAACTATAGGACGTTCACATCTCACAATGTACATACAAAAGCACTGTCATCAGGTGAGACGACCATTTAAACACTACAGGGAAATTGTATGAAAGAAACCATGGTGCGTTGCGACAAAAAGTACATTTAATTCCTTCTCTGTTTCAGCCTAAAGAGATGCCTTTCACATACAGCGATGCACCTTTGTGGCTTTCAATTGGTGAAGAGAGAAAGTCTGTGAGGCAAAAGATACAGACTTATTGTCTGTATGCCTCCAAATCCACAAAACCAGAGACGCCGGGATGTCGGATGAAAAGGAGCCGTGCTGCATGAGAGCGTCTCTCGCTGCCAAGGAACGCTTCCATCACACAGTGGAATCGTGAATTTGAAAGAGGTTTTATCTCCTCGCAGCCCCGGGGCTCGCTGACATTACAAACCACCTTATTTCTTTAACTTTGGCTTCTGTGTAAGTTTACTTGCAAATTGGAAAAGACCAAATAGCAGCACAAGTGAGCCTGGTTGGCGAAAAGAGGATTTCAACGTCATCAAAAAAAGGAAATTCATTTCTTCCCCCAAAATGCGGTGTAGCCCACACTGGAGTTCTGCCTTAGTGTGGAAACGCAGGTCCAAAATGAGATGATAGTCAACCCAGATCTTAATGAGGGGAAGTCATCAGCCATCCGCCTTTCAAACTGAAAAATGCACATTTTTCTCCTTAAAACTAGTAAATTAGTGTGTTTGCAGTTGACTTTGATTTGTGTTGAAGGTCAGCGAGAAGCTGAACCAATAAGAGATTTACATCCCTTCTGTGTGTATTTATTCATGGGTTTAAAATATTTTCTTAAATGTCAATAAACCCAGCGTATCATCTTTATTGTCACTGCTTTTCCTAATTCATTAATATGGCGGATGACTAAAGTCTTCAGTCACTTGCATTTGAATTAGTAACAAATGGTCAAAGCACTAAAAACACGACGACGACGATCTGATCGCAGAGTGTGACGTTAAGTTCAACTTTTGAGAAGTTGTGGAAAAAGCAAGAGCCCAGAACCGCACTCACCTTGCTCCTCTTCTTTTTGTCTCCTCCTCCGAAGAACTTTGTAATCTGATCCATGACCCCGGGGTTCTTCTTTTTCCTGCCGAGCCCGAAGGTGCTCTGTCCCGAGGTGCTCGCCGTCGCCATGCCAGTGGTTGCTGAGGTTGGGTGGGGTCGACCTCTCTCTGTGCGCTCGGCAGTCCTCTCCCGACTCGCTCCTCAGTGCACAGTGCACTCGTCTCCGCTGCTCCTTCAGGGTGGCTCTGACGTGCCCCCCCCGGGGGGCAGGGGGGGACGTCTTTGAAGGTGTCGCCTCCTCCGGTCGCAGGGCACCATGGGACGTGAGGAGGGGTCAGGTGTGGTGTGGTGTGGGGGGGGGGGGGCGGCTGCTGTGCCAGTGAGCTCCTCGGCTCTGGCCGGGCTCCAGGCATTCTGTTCGAGGGCTTCAGCGGCTGTGTCAGTCTCTGCCGCCCTCCGCATGGGTTCGGGGGCCATTGTTCCATAACAACAAGGGTTATCTCCGAGTCTGCACTCACACCCCGATGCAGAGCGGCCGCTCTGTGGGGGCCATTGTTGCATCGGCCTCGTGCATCCTCAATGCATTGTCTTTAAATTGGATGTACAGTCACCAAGTTCAACAGGCTGCAAGACGAGAAAATGCTTCTTGTGTGGAAACCTGTGAACAGGCCAAGTATCTGTGTCCGATACTATAAACCTGTGAATCCTTTTGTTTTCATGTTGGAACCATTTAAATCCGCAGAGCTCCAGTTATCACAGACGAATGGGGCAACTCATCATGTTATAGGTCAGAATGTAACCACATCATTGGACAAATATGTGAGGTCCATCACTGAGGTGTGTCCAAAAATGTGTTCTGGGAGGAAATCTGTATGAATTTATCTTTGAGACATGACATTTCCTCCGACTTCTTTAGGAAAAGGGTGTTTCTGAAAAGCGTTCACCATTCAATTATCAGAACCTGTAATTCTCACCATCTTAAAAGGATGATCTGATAATATTCTTGATAATATTGCAATCATTATCATGATACTGTTCTAAGCCTCTTGCACAGTCTAAAGATCAACATCGTCCAAAACATCAAATGGGGTAAAAGAGTGGGACTTATTTTGTCAAGAACACTGAATGAACTTCTCAGAATAATGAAACAGCCGAACAAACACATGAGTCAGAGTGAAAACTGTTTTGTTCACCACCTATTCCCATGTCAAACATTTTATTTCAAATGATCCGTGACACTTATTGAGTGTAACTGCAGCTGTTGTTTGACGTTGTCCCGCTTTTCACGACCGCAGCAGCCAGCCAGCAAACAAAGCCGGATCTGTTGTGTCAGAAAACACCCATGCAGCTTCGGAATATTAATATTTTGGAACAGATGACTTGTTGTTACGTGTGATTCTTATTGTAAATGAGCTTTTAGCAATGGAAAACAAAACTGTTTTCATAAACAGTCGATGTGACACATTTAAGCTGTTTTTAAAATGAAGCAAAAATCAAGATGGGGAAATATAAGACGAGAAAATGGCAAACTGATTTAAGTTCTGACCGATTTCAAGGGTTTCAAAGTTTTTGACAGACAATTCTGAAAAAATGCAGTAAAAAAATCCTTTTTTTAAAGATTTAATTCGACAATCGACAGCACGGATGGGGATGGAGCCTCGATTGGACTGTGATGTTCCTCAGAGGATCTCCTGTTTTTTCTTTATTGCCATCAGCGGGTCAAAGTTACTCGTAGAAGGAAATCTCCTCAACATCCAGTCAGGACATTGGCCCGACACATCGTGCAGACGTTCATGGTTCTCGGATGACGAGTCCGAAGGACATTGTGATCCGTAGCTTTTTTATATAATGCCATACCAAGGTTTAATTATTGTTGAAGCTTTGTTAATGTTTTAGTTAAACCCAGATGGCGACCATGGTAGACATTAAACCGGCTCATTAAACTTGAACCGGATACACAGAGCCACATGTTTACCCACCATAAACCCTCATGATAAAGCCACCGACTCAAAGACGTGAAGCGCTTGTCGGTCACATGTGCCTCACATTGACCCCATTCAGCCGCAGCATAGTTGCATATCTTCTTGTATAAACACATTAAAATGAGGACGAGCTCAGAAGGGGACGTGTTTGTCCACTCGGCCTCGCACACACTGCTCCGTCTGTCTGCAGGGCCGAGCCTCGGCGCAGAACCCACGGGCCCGACAGGGGAAGGTACAGGAATGCAGAGAGTGGGCCGACCGCGCCGCTCGTGCCCTCCAGTCCAGAAGAGTCCTGGATTTGTCCCCCCGGGGCTGGAAGGTCGAGGCCGGGCGCGGGTTAAACAATAGCGGGCATTGCCTTAAAGCCGTGGGACACAAACGCGGGAGATATCCTCGAACCCCCGGCAGGAATGTTGATCTAGACCAACGACGCCAACTCGGCAAATATCTATCTGCTGCATGAGGGAGAGGCAGGAAGAAAGCCTCCCTCTGTGCCGTCACGTGTTCAGACGCGGTTTGGGCCTTTCCAGTAACTATTTAAAACTTGTGATTAATAACTTCTCAAACCCCGTGTGAGAAAACAGATGCAGCCATCAGCGAGTTTGTGAAAACAATTAAAACAAGTAGCTGGCGGATCTGTTATGAATGTAGGTCCGTCCCCTCTTTAGAAATATCTCAACGTCAGTTGAGAGTTGCCATTAAACAACAACAGGAATGTTCTCAGTCAATCATTAATCTCTGAACATCCATCTCGTGGAAGCTTTAAAGCCTCGAGGTCGGCGGAGAAGATCAGACGCGTTACGCAATCTGATAGCTGAAGTGCTGAATTGCTTCGTTCCTCTCTCTTATTTGTCTCGAGGTAGCGGCAGGCTTCTATGTGAAATCCATGGCAACGAGTTGGCTTTGAGAGTGAAAAGCCTTTTTGTTGCCTCTGTGTCTTTGTCCCCCTGGGTGACCTCTTCCTACCGCGTCCACGGATGAGGACATCGCTATGACGCTCGGCAGCTGGTGTCCCCACTCGGCGGATGCTCGGAACCAAGAAGAGTCTCACTTCCTCCGCCATCTATATGTGTGTAACATCAGCTTTTGTGTTGGATAAAACAAAGAGCTGTTGCCTTTAAAACCTGAACTGACTTTCTGACGCATTTTGTGTCTCCGTTGTCTCTGAAAATCCTCCATTGTTTGGAGTAACAGGATCAGCGTTAAGTTGCGAATGGTTTGTTTTCCTCACAGCCGATCCGTTTGGCCGGTAAACAACGCGATGCAAATGTCTTGGTGGTCGGAAGCCAAACGATTCCATCAACATTTGGCACGAGCCGCCACTCAGAGATTGAGCATAATGCTATCGTTTGTTTAGCATCTCAACAATATCATTCTCTCTGGAGTCAAACAAAGCCGCAGAGGATGTTGTCCGAGCGAACGCTGCTCTAAATGAGGGAGTGTTTGCAAACAGGAGACTTTTTAAGAGGTTCCACAGTGATCTGTGATCTGTGATCTTTTCTTTTTGCCGTTTTCTGTTGTAAATTCGTCTGGAGATTTTCCACTTCACTGTCAGATTTGTGAAAGAAAAGCCCGACACGCCACAGATGGACATTTCAGGCCTTTTGTGTTGTCACGGTTCTCACAGTCAGTCATCTTTGCAGGACATCTGGAAAATGATGATGCTTTTCTTTTTAATATAATATGTCATTTTGACATAGATCATAAAAATACTTCCAGTTTCCTCCAGTTCCCGTCCAGGCAAACACTCCCAGCGCCGCGGCACTGTTTGCAACGCCAGCTGCAAATGAAAGCCATCGCCACGTGGAGAGCCACATGGAGGCGATTCCTCAATCATAGACATTCGCTGCAGTATATGAATTCATTCTTAAAAAAGAATTGTATGCGTATCGAGGTGCATTAAAGAAAAAAAAGCCCCACACAAATGAGATTTTCTCGAGCAGAATCCTTTGGTTCGTTATCTGGATCTAAAAGTCACCCTTTTTTTGCAGGGTTATGTTCCGAAAAAGTTTGTGGCCGTGTGATGACTTAAATATCACACCTTCCCGTGATACAGAACAGTAAATCTCTCCCGGGATTGGAGGCGGACAGCGGCTTTGTGATACAACCCTGCTGTCTGCAAACGTGCAACCGGAGTCACTGAATACGACAAAATGTTTCACAGAAGTGGACTAACTGTGCATTCGTCCATAGGGCAGCTTATTATCCAGCTCTATGTCAGGGCCGTGTAGAACGTAACATCCATCTATGTCCCATACGGGATTGGCAAGCTCGGAATCACAGTGCCCCCCTTATTGCTTTTATAATAACACAACAATACTTTCAACTCCCTGTGCTGGTGATGATTTTCTCGTGTGCAGCTGGAGATACCGGGCCGTCCGTCCGTTCGCTCTTACTCAATAATCATCTGCAGCGTCCTGCCGTTTGCTTTTTATACTCTGAAAAGAGGGCAAGTATATTACAGTTCTCCAAAGAATACATAAATAAAACCACAGATATTATAAAACACTGAGATAAGGCCTCAGTGTTTACTTTAGAAAAATTAATACTCTGTAAAATCATCAAAAAAGGACATTTAATGTTTGCAAACAGGACACAGAAGGAAAACACAAGTCATGCAGACGATCATCTTTGGCACTACAAAATCATAAACATCAACACACAAACATCTTGATTGTCAGATGACCCAGAACACCACGTGCCTCCGTGTGAAAGAGCACCGACTCTCTGTCGCACTAAGGTGGAACATTTCTTCATGTCCATGCTTTTGATGGATGATTACAATGACAAAGTTATATAAAGTCACTTTAAATTATTTGGGTTTGTACCTTAAGGTGGACACACTTTTTCATCCAAACGAGACGACAATGACATTTGTTATAGTGGTGGAGCTCAGCCACACTAGCTCCTCCTGTGTGTGTGTGTGTGTGTGTGTGTGTGTGTGTGTGTGTGTGTGTGTGTGTGTGCTGGCAGCATGGAGCACACATGTTCAATCCCTTTTATCTGAAGCAGATAAAACAAGAAATGTCCTCTGGCTCCAGGCGCCATCTGATAACGGATCGGTTTGCCTCTGCATTGTGCTCGGTGTCACAGACGGAAGATGAATGGCGCTTCCAATGACCTGCTCTCCTTCTGCGGCCGGCGCGAGGAGGAGGAGGAGGAGGAGCGGCCGCTGATCGGTTGATCCGAGAGTCTGCCGTTGATTCTCCAGTGGCGGCGTGCCGGAGAGGCGTCGACTCCACCTGATGGTGCTCAACGCGTCTCTGACACGTCACACTTTCCTACTTTGTATAAATACTCTGTTTATGATACGTTGTGTGTCTACTACATAAAATCTAGAGAGAAACATGTCACTTAACTTTTTATTTATTGGAGATTAACATTTTACAGACAAAACCAATGACTTCATAATATAAGTGACTGTCCTTTATGGTTAAAATAATCCATCCCACAGTATATAAAGTATTTGTTGCACCTCCAGCAGCTGTAACATTATAATGCAGCTCATTTCAATAATATGATATTGTCTTTTAATATGAGCATGCATTTGAGAAATACATTTTATTCATTACACAAATGTCTTAATATGAAACATAACCAGTAAACTCAAAATAGTTTTTTGTTGTCGTAATATAGTCTTAGTAGTAACAGAATCTAAGCGGCCCCGTCATGCTCTCAATGTCCCAAAACTAAAGACAATCCTCGTTTCTTTTTGCACCACTGACCAAAACAAAAAGAACACTTTGTCCGACGAAGGTAAATCACCCAAATGGCGATCCCAAGCTCCTGGCTATTAAGCAGACGCACGGAGCGCATTTCAGATGATTGTCTAAATGGGATGTGCTGTTGTTGTGGTCTCCGCTCACGGCCCAGCGTCATGGCAACAACAGAGCCGAGCCGAACCACCTGAGAGGAAGAGCAGCAGGGTCCAAAGCAGCTCATCGCCTCACATTTTCACCACGAAGAGGGAGATTAATGCAGCCGCTGCAGTATGATGTGAGCATGTCTCCGGACTCAAGCTGGGACAGAAATTGAGAGCCTCGTGATTCTGTCCTTCAGGACGTCATTAGTCTGCTTGAGTGTTTTCATTGGGCACTTTCTCTCTCTCTGTCTTTATACGGAAAAAAGGTTTTAAAAAACCTCTTGAAAGTGTAACATTCAGTAAATATTATAAGTTGTGATGAGACTAAACAAATAACAAAAGTACATTTTTAAACTTTCTTAGCAGAAACTTGCTGTTGCCCTCGTGTTACAAAGAAACGCTTGAAAACTGCCTCTCGGAGGCCTTTGTACTGTAGAATCAAATGATTGACGCGCCCTCTGTGCCGTCCCTCCAGTGGACGCAACATGAAGGGCCCTCTTCAGTGCCCCCACGGTAACACATTGACGCTCCCTTCTTGTAAAGAAAACACCATGACGTGCCCTCTGGATGCCCAATGGCAGATCAGATGTGATGCAGTGCCCTTGAGGAGGCCTTCTAGTGGAGAAAGTGCCTTCTTGATGCCCTTACGACGGTAAACATGATGTCCAGTGGTTCTCAAATGGGTATTGAGATATTAGATGTCAGATTATTGTTGAAAGGAAGATATTTGTCACAATAAATAAACATTTGGATGCTGTCTCAAAGCGTCAGTGTGCCGTTGTTCTCCGAGGCAGAGAGACGGATCTTGGTCGATAGAGTCGCCATGGAAACTTCAGGCTGCTTCAGGACGTGAACCAATAACAAAACAACAGCCGTGCTCCCCAAAGTATAATAAGCCGGGGATGTAAGATCTGCCGTCAGGGCTCGGCTCAAAATGGTCATCATCGGTATCGTTAACATCATCATCTTCATCACTGCATCTGTGTGTAAATCACCAATGAACCACATGCGTTCACATTAACATCTTCAAAAGGAACCCAAGATGACATTAGCCTCTCCTCTCACGTTACATGGCATGTGCATCGTCTCGTCTCATTTCCAGATGCTTATCCCCGCAGGGATCTGGCAGTATTGGTTAACCTGAAACACACATATAATCATAATAAATCTGTTCCCAGACCTGGTCAGAGCAGATCGATAGCGCAGGCTGAAGCCTCAGGACGATCCATGGAATTAAGAACAATTATAAAGTATTTCCCGGGTGAGCCACAAGCACATCGCTTTTTGACCCTTAAGAAAAGGGCAATTTCAGAAGATTTGTATAAAAAGGTTGTTAAATAATTCAGCCAATAATTCATATTTTTTCATATGTAAAATGAATTAAATAATAACATCTGAATGTATCCACAATGCTTGATAACACATGACAACTCATCTTATACCAACATGTGTTGATGCAGGTTTTTTTAAAGTGATGAGAGACTTTCTGTTTGTTCCCTTCTCACTGGAGTCAGAGGAAAGGTGTTGGCGCGATGTGATGCGCGCGCCATGGTGACGTTGCCAAGAAAGGCAGCCTGCAAGCGCATGAGCTCCATCGTTTATTCACAACAAATTAAACCCGCGCTCCACTATAGCAACATGTAACTTCTCTCCACCAGCGGAGGGAAAAACCAAAAAGATGGAGCTCGAGGTGGAGAACCAAAGTCCGCCTTTCAACACGTTCACCGCGCGGCTGCCCGCTAAACCTATATTGGGGATGGGTGTGGACAACTTCATTTCTCTTGTGATATTTGCACTTATCTTCATCCTCGGCGTGCTCGGGAACACCATGGTGATCACGGTGCTGGCGCGCAGCAAACCGGGACAGCCGAGGAGCACCACCAACATCTTCATCCTCAACCTGAGCGTGGCGGACCTGTCCTACCTCCTCTTCTGCGTCCCCTTCCAGTCCACCATCTACATGCTGCCCACGTGGGTGCTGGGAGCGTTCATCTGCAAGTTCATCCACTACTTCTTCACCGTGTCCATGCTGGTCAGCGTTTTCACGCTGTCGGCCATGTCCGTGGACCGCTACGTGGCGATCGTCCACGCCAGGAAGTCCTCTTTGATCCGGGTGTGGAGGCACGCCATGCTCGGGGTGGTGCTCATCTGGATCCTGTCCCTGGTCATGGCTGCGCCCGTTGCGCACTACCAGAGCATCGTGGAGAGGGAGGTTAACAACACCTTCTGCTGGGAGGTCTGGCCGGATCACCACAGGAAAATCTACGTGATGTGCACGTTTGTTTTCGGATACGTCCTGCCTCTCATTTTGATATCGGTCTGCTATGCAAAGGTGCGCGCGTAAAATTGCAGATAGATGGTCAGTTCGGAGTAGACGCAGGTGAATGCAAAGATAGACCTGTTGCGCAAAATGTGGTTTCAATTCGTTTCTGAAATAAAAATACGGACTGAAGTTGGGATTCGACAGATAAAACATGATCTACTCTTTCCTCTACTCTGATGACTGCATTGATTGAGCATGTACATATTTAAGAATTCATTTCGGTAATACTTTTTCTTGTTGCAGGTTTTAAAACATCTACATAAAAAACTGAAGAACGTCTCCAAAAAATCAGAGCAGTCCAAAAAGAAGGTTGGTGAGATTTCTGTATCTATGATCGTCACATAATAATGTTACAGTTAATGATAACAAACTTCACAGATTTCCCCTTTAATAGCTGATGGTTTAATGATTGACCGGGTCTGTTTGTAACTGAAATAGTTTCATTTAACAGCTTCTCAAACGAATTTGCCTTTTTAGTGTCTCGTATTATGAGAGTAAATTAAATATTTTAATTTATATTAAATATATTTTAATATTATAATGTTTTGGAACTTGAACCTGAATTTGAAGATAACCTGAGAAACCTCGAGGGTCAGTTGTACCTTTTGACATTTCAGGGACTCAACCAAAAAATAATAAGATCAAAAACGGTCAGTCAGGACGTTACTCCATAATGTCTTCCAGTGTACCACCAGCATGGTACTCAAATGCTCAAACTCAAAATGTCTTGGATGACATTGAATGATGGAGGGATGATGTTACTCCGCCTCCATTTACGTTTGACAACATGACAACAGCCAATCATTTTCTCCACAGACTGCCCAGACGGTCCTAGTGGTTGTTGTGGTCTTCTGTCTCTCTTGGTTACCCCATCACATCGTCCATCTGTGGGTGGAGTTTGGCTCCTTCCCCCTCAACCAGGCGTCCTTCGTGTTCAGGGTGGTGGCTCACTGCTTGGCCTACAGCAACTCCTCCGTCAACCCCATCATCTACGCCTTCCTGTCGGAGAACTTCAGGAAGTCATACAAGCAGGTCTTCTTGTGCCGGGTGTCCAGCACAAGTCCCGCGAAGGACAGCAAGGAGGTGCGCAGCAGGATGGAGAAGGGGCCGTCCACTAACATCAGTGTGACTTACAAAGGTCACAACTCTCAGACCAGTAAAATGCTTTGATTTTGCCGCTGACGTTAAGAACTTCGTCTTTGTTCTGAGTAGATACATGAGGTTAACAATGTTTATTGATTTTAGACATTTAAAATTGATTTTGAACATATTATAAACAACCGTGCTTGAGCAGCCCTCTTTATCGAACTTGTTAACACAATCTTTTACTCATTTTATTGCAAATTTGAAACATTTGGCGAATAAGAGACTCCTCACGGACACGTTTGCTGTGTTTTTCGCCGTTGGCTACTCGCCACCAGCTCAGCCGTCCCTCAATTCACTGAATTTGGATTATAGTGCTTGTAAGACTTTGCATCCAAATGGACGATGTTAAAAGCATAGCTGTTTTAAAATTTCTGTACTGAAATAGTTTTCCTGAAAAAGAGAGGTGGTCAGTTCTTCCTGCCAAGTTACATTCAATTCCAAATTTTCCTTTTTTTTGATCGTTGTTTCCTTCAACAAAGCATGGCCCATATGTTAGGGATCAGAGGTGGATTGTGGATGGAGTAACGTGACAAGTACACAGCACAGACGTTCAGATTCACATAGAATGAACTGAAACTATGCATTCAGTTAGTATACCTTTTCATTTGAGCATATTCATCGAAGGCTGGCGAACACATAAGGCACAATTCTCTTCCCACACGGGAGCATCTGACTCTGATTGTGGTAAGCCTGCCAAGGCAGGGTCACTATGTGCGCATGGAAATAATGACGTAGCATTGCAGATAACCCTTCTGTCTCCAAAAAGTGTCCCCCCCTGTTCAGAACATGGTTCAGTGTCTGAATCAGAGTTAAAATGTTAAAATTAAAATACCGCTGTGAATAATTTTGACTTTTTGATATTAGCAAACTAATTCCAAAAGTCCACAATGTGCTTGTGAATGAATGAAGTTTACAAAGAGATGCAAACTAATTCATTATTTATTCATATTTAAAAGAAAATATAAAGCAGCTCATACATGCATGAAGCGCATGAGGCACTTGACTCTCTGATTCACACACATTACATATCGTTTCCTGTTCACCTCCAAAAGGCTGAATTCGATTGAGAGGACATTTTCAAGAATGTAGCGCTGCATGTTCTTCTACGACCCCCTGCAGCCTTTTTATACTATTACATGTCAAAGCATGTTATGTATGAAAAGGGAGGGAGGGAGGAAGATTTGTTTATCAATTTCATGACATCTTGTAAAGCATCGTAAAGGATTTCATGTATAAATATACAATATTCTGTGAGGAGCCAGTGCACAGAATGTTGGGTGAGGTGTCTCTTTCAATGACATTAATTGTAAGTTATTTGCAGAAGGAAAACGCTCCAAATAACTTGTAAATACTGAAGAGGAGCAGTTTAGCTTTTGTTCACAGTACACTATACAAGCAGAAGATACATTGCACAACAATCTATTTTCTATGTGTTGTTTTCTTTTTCTTATGTGTCAAGAATTGTGTGTGAAATGTGTTTTTTTGTTTTTAATAAACGTATAACTAAAAGATAAAACAAACGTCTGACAACATTCTTAGCATACATATGATTGAAACAATTCCTCCTCTGAAACCTTTTTAAACATCAAATTTCATATCTAATGTCCAACGGTTAATGACTTAATTGCAACATGGTTCTTACATGGTGAATATGATGTCTCTGTTGCAAATAACCCAATATGCATTTCAACAATCCTCCTGCAAGTTCCAAGACTCCAAGTGACCAAGAACTCTGGCCGGATTGCAGGATTCTTACAACCGTAGTAACATTGGGAGCTTTTGTGATATTTTATCTTTGGAACGTGTCTGAAGGCAGCAGCAGCCGCCGCAGTGCCGATGCCGTGCCAGTGATAGATCCCATGGAGCTGCCCCATCCGAGGCACTGCGGGATGAGTAACGGCAGCTAAGCCTTTCCTCAGGAACTCAAGGCTCGGGTTTTTGATCGAGCCAACACTCAGGGGATGCTCTCGCTAGCACGCCACCTAGTTAGCTTGGACGATTTCGAGTGCATCACAGTACAGAAACAGCACTGGTGAAAATTACGAATAATCTTTTACTTGCATCGGACCAAGGACTCATCTCTTTTCTTGTCTTGCTGGACCTCAGTGCCGCATTTGATACCATAGACCATTGTATCCTGTTGCAGAGACTAGAACATTTAATTGGTATCAAAGGAACTGCACTCAGCTGGTTGAAATCCTACTTATCGGCATCGACATCAAAACTTGGATGACCGTCAACTTCCTGATGCTAAACTCAGAAAAAACGGAAGTTATCCTGATAGGTCCAGAGCGCCTTCGAAGCCAGCTGTCACGTGATACAGTTTTTATGGATGGAATTGCTCTGGTACCCAGCAGCACCGTCAGGAATCTGGGAGTTCTCTTCGACCAGGATATGACCTTCAACTCGCATATAAAGAAGACTTCAAGGACTGCCTATTTTCATCTACGTAACATATCAAAAATCAGGAACTTCCTGTCTCAAAGTGATGCAGAAAAATTAGTTCGTTTGTCACTTCCAGACTGGACTACTGTAATTCTTTGTTATCAGGCTGCTCTTGTAAATCTCTTAAGCCTCTCCAGCTGATTCAGAATGCTGCAGCACGTGTATTAACAAGAACTAAGAAATGGGATCATATCACTCCTGTATTAACTTCTCTGCACTGGCTCCCTGTTAAATCAAGAATAGATTTTAAGGTACTTCTCACCTACAAGGCACTTGCTGGTGAGGCACCGTTGTATCTTCAAGAGCTTGTAACACCGTATTGCCCTACAAGGCAACTGCGCTCCATAGATGCTGGGTTACTTGTTGTTCCTATGGTTTTAAAAAGTAGGCTGGGGGCCAGAGCCTTCAGTTATCAAGCTCCTCTTTTGTGGAACCAGGTTCCACTTTCAGTCCGGGGGGCAGATTCGGTCAGCTCTTTTAAAGTAAAACTTAAAACGTTCCTCTTTGATTCTGCCTATAGTTAGGGCTGGCTCAGGTTAGTCCGGACCAGCCCTTAGTTAAGCTGCTATAGGCTTAGAATGCCGGGGGAATTCTTAGGACACACCAAGCTCCTCTCTCACGCTCTCGTTCTCCCATAATTCAAGTTTTATTAATGCACATGACTAATTCAGCTTCTTTCCGGGAGTTTTTTTTGTGCTTTCTTCCCTATCAGGTCTCCGTAGATCGTGGTTCCTTCGGGACCCTGGTCCTGACACCTACCGTGGCCATGCTGACGCCTGCTGCTGCCATCATCATCATCATTATTTTAGATATTAATCATATTACTGTACTCATAAACCGACATTACCCTCTCCTAAAATCTCTGTGCTCTCCCTCCCCACAGGCTTCTGTGGATGGTGGTTCTATCTGATGGTGGTTCTGTCTGATGGTGGTTCTATCTGATGGTGGTTGCCCCTGCAGTGGTCCTGCTGTGCGCCTGGCTTACTACTCACAACTACTTCATTACTATCATTTCTGTCATAGGAGTTGCATGTATTATACATTGTTCATTCTGTACACATGGCATCCATTGTAGTCTGTCCATCCCGGGAGTGGGATCCCTCCTCTGACGTTCTCCCTAAGGTTTCTTCCCTTTTTTCCCTCTTGTAAGGGTTTTTTCATTTTTTGGGGCGTTTTTCCTGTGCCGATGGTGTGTTTCGGGGCAGAGGATGTTGTATGTGTACAGACTGTAAAGCCCTCTGAGGCAAATTTGTAATTTGCGATAACGGGCTATACAAAATGAAATGACTTTACTTGAATTGACTTGACGACAGCACTCTACCAATTGTGAAAAAGCAACAATAGCAATAGCAACAATTATCACTATCTATCACTGTTAATATTATAGAAGCAACGTCTTTCAATCAAGCAGTGGTCACAATGCGAGTGCAAGCTCCAAGAAAGCTCCTAATTAGTGGCAGTGATGGCTGACCATTAGATCAGTGGGACGCCGCCCCATTTGGTGCGCCAATTAATTGCCCCACTTAATTGCAGTCTAAGAAGAACTTTTACTGTAGAAAAAAAAAAGACTTAATAGTCAAAATCCAAAAATGCCAAGGGGGAAAAAACGCAGACGGGGACCAGGGAAAAGATACCAAGGGAACCAAGAGCAACACTCAGTACATGCCACATTCAACAATGAGGCGACAAGGGACACAAGACACACATGGCTTAAATACACTGGGACGGTCAAGGTGGACACAGGTAGGATACAGGGGATGACAGGAGAAGGCAGGAAGTGAAGTTAACCCAGGAGCCCCAGAGGCATGAAACTACAAAATAAAACAATACGTGAACCCAAACCGTGACACTGTGAACCAATATTGATGGTCGTACGAGACTTCTCTATTTCGCAAAATATAATTACACTATTCATACTATATTTCACTTTGCAACTTCTGTTAGTTATTAAAATCTTTATTATTTTTAATCTCGAGCCAGTTGACTTTTTATCACTTCTCTGCATCAGCAGGGCCGAAGGTAACAGTAGTGATGCTTGATCGGAAGTTCAGAACCCAATAATTTGCTCACAAAGCCTGAAAAGAGCACCAGCGGACTGACAACTACTCCTGTCCGTTCGCCAGACCACTAGCCATCGCTGGAAAATGGGTTCTTGTTTTATTTGTTTATTTCGGTGCGGTCGATGGGGGGAGAGGGGGTGGTGTTGCCGCTGACGGTTGACGATGGGGGGGGTTGGGGGGCAGCAGCGGTAAGGTCGACCGGCGGATGTTATGATCGACGGGGAGGTTGGGGGGGTACGCCAGAGTCGGTACCCCCGGCAGGCCTAGGCTACCAGGCATAGCGCAGCCTGAGAAACATAGAAATACAAGTGTTGGGTGTGCACCTTTTTTTCAAACTTGCGTTTGGGAAAACCGGACAACCGGACGAAACCCTGTCTGTGTGCGTGTTGGGTTTGCACCTTTTTTTCAAACTTGCGTTTGGGAAAACCGGACAACCGGACGAAACCCTGTCTGTGTGCGTGTTGGGTTTGCACCTTTTTTTCAAACTTGCGTTTGGGAAAACCGGACAACCGGACGAAACCCTGTCTGTGTGCGTGTTGGGTTTGCACCTTTTTTTCAAACTTGCGTTTGGGAAAACCGGACAACCGGCCAAAACCCTGTGACGAAACCCTATCTTCCTTTCTTTTGTTTCTTCAGTTCCGCCTTTTCTCTTTTCTCCTTTTCTTCACACGCTTTATTCTGCCTCTTCAGCAGGTCATTTTCTGCCTCCTGACGTTCCTTCATTTGCTTCTTCAGCATCTTTTCTCTCTCCTTCTCTAACTTCTCCTCCTCCTTTCTCATCTGCGCCTTTTCCTTGTCAGTTTTTTGGGAGAGCGCCTGAAGGTGGATGTTCCAATTATGGAGGTTATCGTTCTGTTGTGTCAGGTGCCAGATATTTGCCTCCAATTGGTTCACTTTGAGACGCAACTCCTTTTCCATTTCTCTGCTCAGTCTGGCACTCTCCTGCCCTCTCCGGTAGTGCTCCTCCTGTAGTGCATGGGTCTGCCTCTGTTGATCCAGAGTCGCAGATTTGATTTTACGCTCTGCCTCGCTGCGGATGGTCTCGATTTCTTTCTCCTTCATCTCCAAGGTGCATTTGATATCAGTAATCTCCTTCTCCGAGGCCTCCTTACTGAGTCTCTGCAAGTCAAGTTCCCTGGCCTCCTTTGCGGAAAACTCATGTCTCATTTGATCTTCCAGAGCCGTGAGTTTTAATTTCCACTCGGCCTCCACCAGGATCATCTCGCTTTCTTGCCATTTCTGCTTGGCCTCGCTCCAGTTCTGTTCTTCGAGAGATTTCTTTTCACTGGTTTCGTTAGTGATTAGATGGTCCTTTTCCGGGGTGATCTGGCTTTTCTTTCTGTCAAAGTCGTCTTGCAGAGTTTTGATCCTTGCAGAATGCTCCTCCTCTCTTACAAGCCATCGTTTTTCCCACGTGGAGTCCAAGTTAACAATATCAACTTTGTTCATGGAAAATGTGATATTATTCTCTTTAATCCAGTTCTCTTTGTACTTCTCATTCTGTGCTATCACTATCAAGGACTCAATGGCACTGTTGAATTTATTTTTCTCTTCAAGCAGAGTTTGACAAAGAAAGCTGGTCAGTTCCTCTTTCTGTTTCTCAAGGGCTTTCCTGTCAGCCTCTGCTTGTGTTCTGATGGATCTCTCTGACTGTAGAGCCTTCACTATTTTGGCCTTTTCCTGCTCCCAACTGACCTCCTTGGTGACCATCTGCTCCTTCAAGACAGCGTTTTCCAAGTAGAGCTTGCTGACTTGTTTTTCCATGTCCGATATGGTTTTGAACAAGTCCTCAGGCTCTCTGCTGGGACTTTGCTGGTCCAGCACTGGTGGGGCTAGGCAGCCCTTGTTTGCAGGTCCACTAGGAGAGCTGACCCCCTGTTCCATCCGCTTCCCAAGGGCCTTCTTGTCGGCCTGTATTTGTTTCCTGATGCATCTCTCTGTCTGTAAAGCCTTCATTATTTTAGCTTTTTCCTGCTCCCAACCGAGCTCCTTGATGGCAAACTGCTTCTTCAAATCAGCATTTTCTGATGCCAGCTCAACTTCTTGTTGGACGTCCACAAGGGTTTTTATCTCGCTGACTTGTTTTTCGATGTCCGATAGGGTTTTGAACAAGTCCTCAGGCTCTCTGCTGGGAGTTTGCTGGTCCAGCACTGGTGGGGCTAGGCAGCCCTTGTTTGCAGGTCCACTAGGAGAGCTGACCCCCTGTTCCATCCGCTTCTCCAGGGCCTTCTTGTCGGCCTGTATTTGTTTCTTGATGCATCTCTCTGCCTGTAAAGCCTTCATTATTTTAGCTTTTTCCTGCTCCCAACCAAGCTCCTTGATGGCAAACTGCTTCTTCAAATCAGCATTTTCTGATGCCAGCTCAACTTCCTGTTGGACGTCCAAAAGGGTTTTTTGCTCGCTGACTTGTTTTTCGATGTCCGATAGGGTTTTGAACAAGTCCTCAGGCTCTCTGCTGGGAGTTTGCTGGTCCAGCACTGGTGGGGCTAGGCAGCCCTTGTTTGCAGGTCCACTAGGAGAGCTGACCCCCTGTTCCATCCGCTTCTCCAGGGCCTTCTTGTCGGCCTGTATTTGTTTCTTGATGCATCTCTCTGCCTGTAAAGCCTTCATTATTTTAGCTTTTTCCTGCTCCCAACCAAGCTCCTTGATGGCAAACTGCTTCTTCAAATCAGCATTTTCTGATGCCAACTCAACTCGTTGTTGGATGTCCAAAAGGATTTTTTTCTGGTCCTGCATTGTAACAAAGTGGTAGTATTTGATAATGATAGAATAACAACGTTTCTGTGAATTTGTGTCTTTGTATGAGTAGCTGTCCCTCTGTTCTCACAAGCTGTGTCCCTGGGTGGCTGACAGATACAAGTGGCAGTTAGAATGTTTGGTTAGAATTCAGTCCTATTTCTTGATGTCCAGACTGATGTCACTGAATGTCATATCATAGATGAAAGGGTTAGAATGTGATGATGTCATCGGCCGTGATGTCAGAATGTGATGATGTCATCGGCCGGGATGTCAGAATGTGATGATGTCATCGGCCGTGATGTCAGAATGTGATGTCACACAGGAATGTACAGGCTCAATTACCGATGTTGTTGTGGCTGCAAGGAATTATTTATTGCCGTCTATTGATCACATTCTATACTTTTTAATTTTTATACTTTTTAAAAATTACTCGTTGGCTTTACTTTAAAAAATCATGGAAAGGATTTCCACATGATTAAATTGGTTTCTCTCTATGCTAAACAATTACGTTGCTCTAACACTATGTTATTGTGTTGGGTTAATATAGTTTAGTAGAGTTGAATTGATATGAATGGTTTTATCACTTTCAACTACATTTAGTTAAGTTAGTTGAACTTAATTGAACTTAATTTAATTGAGTTCAAATTAAATACATTTAACCTATTAATGTCACGGTTTGGGTTCATGTCTGGTTTTATTTTGTAGTTTCTTGCCTCTATTCTCCCTGGGTCACGTCACTTCCTGCCGTGTCCTGTCTTTCCCTGTGATAGTCTGTCATGTCATGATTGTTTCCAGCTGTTTCCAATCACCTGCACCTCTCTAGTGTATTAAGCAATGCGTGTCTGTTGTCACTTGTGGCGTCATTACTAATTGTTGGTTGTCCGAAAACTGACCTAGCAACGGAAAGGGCAACCTTCACTAGCAGCAGGTTGCACATACAAAACATAAAAACACATGGGAACTAGGCAAGTATAATTTAGCTAGACCATCACACATGCGCTTTTTAACATTGGAATCGCTTTTTCAGTCAGAAACATTCACCGTTTTATGCCTAGCAGGTCAGTGAGGTGGACCAGGACACTCTTTGAGGGACAGCAGACACAGGACACTTTTCCAGTCAGAAATTGCTGTAAAAAAGTCAGATAGAACAATCAATTAATATCCATGAAGGTTAAGTTATTACGTTATCTTGATTAAAAAATATATTGTTATGGAAAGTAACTAATGTTAACTGGCTAAACTAGTGCATTGAAGTAAAAATAAGTAACATTTTAAGATACAAGTTCTGATTGCTTAGGGGTAATACTTCGAGGCGAGACTCATGATTTGCTGCTCCTGACGTTTTTACACTAAAATAAATATGCAGCCATCTCAAAAAAATGATTCAAGCCCTTCTTAGATGTAACAAGTTTACATGGTGATTTCTTTATTTGAATATATCTATAAACAGATGAACATATATATAATCAATAGCAGCAACATAAAATGGTTTAATAGTTTCACTTATGAGATTTGTTTAGGTTAAAGCATGCATGTGTCAACCAGTGTTAATTTCGTTGCCGAAAACTATGACGAAAATTTTTCGTTAACGAAGCTTTTTTCCATGACTAAGACTAAGACGTGACGAAAACGATCTTAAAAAAAAAAAACTATGACTAAATCTATTCTAACTTTCGTTAACGAGACGAGACGAACATGTTGGTGTTTGACGAAGTCACGATACTTTTCCCCCCGAAATTCGCACGCAGCTGACAGACAACAGACCGGCAAAGTACGGCGGATATTAACGCGTCACGATGACGTCATCCACGAACCCAGAACGCTCGCTCGCGTCGGTGCAGCGGTGGTTTCTTGTGCACCGACTACGGACCGCGACGACTATTTTACTCTTCGCCGAGTTTGAACGTGGCTTCGTTAGTTTAGCTCGGCTGTCTCTGTTTAGCTGCCTGTTAGCGGGCTGAAGCCGCGCTGCTTCACAGAAACATGAAGACGCGTTTAAAGACTGTCGGACCTTTCTGCTCTGTTCTCTGGCGACGGCAGGCAGCGTTTCCTCGGTAGATGAAATGGTCCGTTACAAACGCGTCTAACGTAATAAACTCATTGCAGGTTCTGAAGCCAAGAAAATAATGTATTGCACCGATTGTAGGACGTTAAGGTCTCTTTTGTTGGGACAGTGGAAACAATAAAGGACCATGAAGTGTCAAAAGCATTGCAAGTAAACAGACAAAGACAACAAAGTGTTGCGTTTAGATCCCTGGTCCTCATAAAGTTGTTACACCTTTGGCGATTTGTTAAAAAGCCTTAACAATAAATGCTTTGCTAATTTGTTAAAATCCAAATCCTTTCATGTAATGATCTTTCACATGTCATTTATATTCGCTCACACAAACACTTCAACCATTTGTTCTTGGCTCGGCTCCTCCGTCACATTTTACAACCCATTGTGTCCGCGAGTCAAAACGTTTGCCGACCTGCTATAGGCCTGTCCTAGGAGGGACATCTATAGACCTGTCCTAGGAGGGACATCTATAGGCCTGTCCGAGGAGGGACATCTATAGACCTGTCCGAGGAGGGACATCTATAGGCCTGTCCTAGGAGGGACATCTATAGACCTGTCCTAGGAGGGACATCTAAAGGCCTGTCCTAGGAGGGACATCTATAGGCCTGTCCGAGGAGGGACATCTATAGGCCTGTCCTAGGAGGGACATCTATAGACCTGTCCTAGGGGGGACATCTATAGGCCTGTCCTAGGGGGGACATCTATAGGCCTGTCCTAGGGGGGACATCTATAGGCCTGTCCTAGGAGGGACATCTATAGACCTGTCCTAGGGGGGACATCTATAGGCCTGTCCTAGGAGGGACATCTATAGGCCTGTCCTAGGAGGGACATCTATAGACCTGTCCTATGAGGGACATCTAATGGACAACCAAGTACTGCAAGCTAGACTATTAAGCAGTTGTAGACACAACACAGGGGGTCCCTGGGCCTGAGAAGGGAAGAAAAGGTGTTTAATATGGCTATTAAATGTGACTAAAACTAGAATAAAACTAATTACATTTTAGTCTAGTTTTCGTCGACATATAGGATTATGCATGCAAATCCAGATCATGCGGTTTGGATTTGAGGTTGATAATTAATTGACATTGTCAATAATGGAAATACACAATGCACTTGATCATTTTTGGACTTTTCTTAATTAATTTCTTCATTAGATGGTTTATTTTTTTGTTTTTGTTGTATTAGAGGGTCAGTTTTGACTTTTCTGAGCATTTGCAATAAAATTGCTTGAACTACATTATGTTTCATGTGTCTTAATAGGGGATCAAATAAGAAAAGTTTAATAAAATAATTGTTTTAGAAGTATTTGATCAAAATGAGTTGGGCTAATTCAATGTAATCCTATTGTATGATTATTCTTAGATTGAGTCAGGTCTACACTTATGTATTGGATGAAAATGCTAAATAAAATGTATTGAGTGTATAGGCTGTTATAACCGGAGCTGAACAGAAGATGTCAGGCTTATACAAGTATTGCATTTCTTTCTTTATTTCTGTGTGTTTTCTCAGACAAATCTTGGAGGAATAATTGTAGGGTACATGCATACAGTTAGACCCCTATGCATACAATTACATGTATGTATGTTTGAACACTCAAGTGTTTAACAAAACAAAAGCTTCATCATGTTTCTCAAAATCTCTTATCCGGGTTGTTTGGTTTTTATATGATCTTGCAGGATTGGGGGGTATTCCTGTCTGTTGAGATTTTTTTCTCCAACCGTTTTTAAATTAAATTAAATTAAATTCTAGATCCTGTGTGCTCATCAATAACACAGCCTGATAAGCTCTTTCTTTCTCATTGCCCTCTGTGGCAGCTGAGGTCTCCATCCCTCCCCTGAGACTCCCACTCCTCTTCAAAGTGTCATAAATATTACGGGCTAATTAGATATGAATTGATTGGTAGGAGGTTGCGGCCGTTTTCATCCATTACTCTAAAAGCTGTTACACAATAGATTACCGGCCAATAATTCCCCATAGAGCCTCAGTGAATGGAGCAGTGGGCTTGTTTTCTACTGAGGGGGGGGGGCAATAAATCTGCAAAATAATACATAGTACTGTGGTCCATTCTTTCGGTGCTGGAGGTGATGAGGTTGTTAATACAGAGGAGGTTATAAATCATCACAGGGCGTCACTGGACGCTTCTGGGTTTCAGCGGAGAAACTCATGACTGTGTGTGTGTGGATTACTTGTGCGATATATTTTTTGCAGTTACACTTCTATAAGATTAAGTACTCCATAGTCTTTTATTTTTATTCATGCCATTGAAGGCATGACAATGTCAGCATCGAGTTAAGATCCCTCCCAATTTGCTTGGGGGACATTAACGCTCCTTAAAGACCGAACTGCTTTATCTCTTAATCCTGATGACCCTCATGTCAATACTCACTTTTTGCTGCTTCCATATTTCTATTCGAAATGATTCGTGAATTGAATCCCCTTGTGACACCACTACCCTGGGGGCACCCGAACCTCATCAGAAGCTCCTGTTGCATTTTGAGGGAACCTGTGTTGGCCAGCTGATGAGTATTGCTTCACTCCAGTTAGTTTGGTAACAGATCAGTGTGAGAGGAAACTCCCTAACATGCCGAGCATTGCATGCGTTGAAGCCCTTTCACAAGGGGAGGGCCTCCACCCTCCGCGACAATGACGGGGATAGTTGCAGCCAATCCTGGCGGCCAGAACGCGATGGGAGCTTCTGATGAGTTCCCATCGAAGGTGCTCCCAACGTGAGATGCGAAACGAATGCTATGATGAATAAATTACTTCACATTAAACAGGAAATAATAAAACGCCAGCATTAATGGGGGCACAACAGTTCCTTTTGACCCCTTGGGCCTCAGGCGGATCGTATCAGTGTGTTATGTTGGAACTTAACACCTCTTTTACATTTACATTGTTTTGTTTTGTGGGGTGACGCATATTTACGCCTCACAGACCTAAATCCTTGATGAGTCACTCAAATGCATTTTGTGTTTAGCTTAACAGTGAAGATGTGCTGCTTTGTTGTCATGCGTAGAGGTGGCGGTGCACTGCACTCTGAGCGGAACGTAGAAACTGTTCATCACATTAGACTCTGTACATCCTCACGGCTCAATTTGGACTTCGGTACTGAAAAGTCACCGTCATGAAACATGAAAAACTCAGCTTGCAATGAATTGGAAACATTTAAAACTACCGTCCTACACTTTGTTTGGACGTTATTACAAGTGATGAAGTTGAGTTGAGTTACAAACCCAGGTTTGGCGATGGAAACATCTCATGACAGAAGAGCGGAGGTTTAATCTCCATCAACATTCGGCGGGCTCGTCAGTTCTCTGAGTACACGGTGCGACTCTCCGGCTGGAAGACGACCACGGCAGGTCTGGCTGTCACGCTCTCTGATTAATGGCCCCGCTGAAACATGTCCAGCCACATTAGAGCCCCATGTATCTCCCAGAGTCCACACAGGCCCGGCGCTTTGTTCTGATGGGAAATGGTGTCAGCCGCTCACCGCCGCTCGCCCAGAAACAGATAAAGATTTACTGTCATCAGAGGCCAGATTAAAGCGCACAAACGCAGACATTGATTTCCA